CTCATCACTTTAACTGGTCTTCATTTCTTTCAGTAAATTAATGTAAACTTCCATTCGAAGTTTTAGCTTTTGCATCAGTGCAATGGCTGCTATTTTGGCTGGCGAAGTGGTTACGCTCCGAGAACGCTGAAAACTTCAATGACGACCTTTTAATTATCTTCGGTTTTAAGGCCTCGCTATCTACCGTATTGTAACGCTATCTATCGTATTCTAACAATGAACTTTAGATCTATTAACTACAGGCATTTTACCGTTTCGCATCGTTCAAGAACCATTAATAAATCGGTATAACTTTTGTCTTAAGCTTCTTGTATCGCTCTGTATACTCAAAGTGATTCTCGTACACACCGCTAAAACGCATTGAATTTACACTATCATACTGCCTTATTACTCACAGATCTGCTCATGTTGATCAATAACAATCATTTTGAATATACTTGTCAATACTAAAGGGTGTTTCATTAAGACTGATCAAAGTCAGCAGTAAATAAATCAGTGTAATTGGTGAAAATTTATTTATTCCCCTATTGGATCATGTTATGTAAGTCCTGACAATTATGTGTCAAAAATAATATCGCCAAAATGTCCGTCAAATCTAAAAGAAAAAAGAAGTCACTGGGCGCTTAAACTTAATTCATATTTAAAATCGATCCAAGTTATTGAAACATCCTTTATTATTGAACTGAAGACAATATTTTCTACAAATTACCGGTTGTTCTCTTTCGTTGTAGAAGAATTCTCCGATATGTTCTTTCCATCTCTGAAATATTTTTATTTCTCTAATATCAGCGTTCACTCCTTGGGTTTTATGCATCCAAAAGATATCCTCATCAACAGGAAAGTTTTAATTAAAAGTAACAAGAATGAAGTATAAACTATTCCAAAATTAATAAAGGCTTTTCGCGTCCATACCAGATGCGATAACACTTTGGATATGCGCACTTTTATTCATATTTGAGCAAAGAATAAAGCAATAAAAGTTAATTCTTCACTTCGCACTTGCAAAACCAGGGATTAGAAAACCTGTAAACAAAGCGTCCTTTGCGCTAAGTCATCAGTCACTTATTAATATCGTTTGTCCCTCGGATTACTTTGTAATTGGTAAAAATAAGGAACTGTTTCCATTTTCTGTTAAGTGCTGATATTGAATCGATTTAAAAAGTCCGGTTGGTAATTTTTTTAACCTTCGTTCATGCAAAAAAAAAACGGTGTATCAAAAGGACTTCGTTTCTCTTGACAACGCCATTACTGTAAACTCTTTTCACTCCTTCGACAGTGTTTGTTTTTAAGAAAGCGATAATTAGAATTTTAATAAAACCCAATTGTATGAAAATAGATTTATTTTCTTTATTCTTGAGAATTGGTAACAAAGATATTAAATACTATTTATTTATTAGATTGAATAAAAAACACGTTTTAATACTTATTTATAAAATGGTAAATAATAAAAAAATATTGTGTTGACATAGGTTTACTTAGTTTGTTAATTTGGTATAAATTTTTTAATAAATTTTTTTCGAATTTATTTAATGACCGATAATAAATATCGCATTTTACTTGGTTCACATTTTTATAAACTTGTAAATAAAAATTGCCGAGTGAATCAAAAGTGTATATAATAATATCAGTGTCAAGGGAATAACCACCTTTTTCTACTTACCGTTTGTTTTTTTTTGGGGGGGGTGTTTTTTTTTTTTTTTTTTTTTTTGTTTTTTTTTTTGTTTTTTTTTTTTTTTTTTTTTTTTTTTTTTTGCGAGTACAAAGGTTAAACGTTGCCGGTTGGTTATTTCTTTACTGTATGTTCAATACTGATTTATCCGGGGGGAAAGAACCTAGATATTCCGCATAGATTTTGAAGTCTTCTATTTCGCGAATCTCGATTATTTTTATCGGAATAAATTTGTAAAACAAAAAAAACAAAAAAAATTGGGATACAAATGTAAATTTGTACTCTTGTGCGGAAAAATCAACTTTCAACGTCCCCGAGTTTGATAAACTAATTGCTGTTGTTCTCAGGTCCACCCCGACCCGGAGTGGTGGCACGTGTTAGGGTTACAGCTATGGGTAAATAGTTACCCCACTCCAAAAAAAAATGGGGTCAAAACACCATGAAAGTATTATAGATTTTTACAGTAAAATTATCAGCAATACATTTCTTGAAAGAAAAAAAAATTAATATCTTTACAAAAATACGTCAACGAAACCTGACCTACAAACTGATTTTTTACAAGGAATACATTCTTTTCATGCAAACTTATTCTAAAAATCTTGTCTGTACTAAATAATCCATCGATGTTGATATGCCGTAAAACAAAATAAACCAAACCAAATCAACTTTCAAACCATATTTTTCGCTTCGTTTCTCTTCAGGAATAAACGAATGTGCCATGTATCCAGATGCTTGTGAAAATGGAGCCTGTGAAGATTTGGATATGGGCTACAGGTGTGTTTGTTCCCCTGGTTTCAAAATGGACGCAACAGGCAAAGCTTGCATTGGTTAGTAATTATTTTTTACTTCTCGTTACGAAAATAATTAAGTATCTGGTGAAATATAATTTAAAAATTCGTAAAACCCAATATTGTTCTCCTTTGACATTTCATCTGATTACTTTTCGTTTCATATTCAGATATCGATGAATGTGTCGAAAACAAGCAAGTCTGTGATGGCGGTCAGTGTCGAAATTCTCCCGGAAGTTATACATGTGTATGCCCAATTGGCTTTGTTCAAAGCAAGATTACCAAGATGTGTGAAGGTAGGTATATTCTTTTAGATAATTGGTATTTCTAGTTATAATCTTTGTTCTCAGTTGATTGTAACGAAGAGGTGTACAGTAATTGTTTACCAACTAAGAATCCCTTCAAAACAAAATAATGTTTGATTATAAATTTGGAAGTAGGTGATATTTCAAATGGTGATGACTGATTGGCTTGGAAATTAGTGTCTAAAATCCTAGTTTTAACTGACTGAACACCTACTTATTTCAGTGGTGAGGTTGACCACTGGCATCTAGTTCTCTAGAATGGCGTACTAAGATTCGAACTCGGTATCGTCATAATGGCCTATTAAATATTACCCCTCACACCAGCACAGTGTCCATGAGTATTTAAACTTCGCTATTGCAGTGAAATACCCATTGCTTGATTAGCTTAACTGTTGCGCGATAGCAGGCGTTCTTAGCCTTTTTATGCACTACAACTCAAGGAAATGTTCGATTAATGTTCATGACCCCTAAAAATATAACGTCACATTTGGAGATTAAAGAGTTTAAATCGGTAAAAAAACAAAATCAAACTAATAAGATTTTAACTCGGGACATCCACAAAAAAACGCGATATCTAATGTTTAAAATGAATTTAAAATCTGCCAAAAATAAAATATACTTCCCGAAATTTTATTTGAGGAATATTAGCTGATTTAAAGTATAATTAATCTGATTTTAAACAAATTTACTTTAAGTTAAAAATATCGCAAAAATGCATTTTTTTAACTCGACACTGTTGACGCATTTGATAGCGTGATATCTAATGTTGTTTTATGGAGACTTTATCTGTAAAACATAATTGAAGAAAATGATGCGAGCGTCTTTTTTATTTAATTTTTTTAAGTACTCAGAAAGCTTAAAACCTTAGGAAAATATTCTCCATAATTTAATGTTTTATTGAATTTTAGAAATGTTAGCCTTAAATTTACTATAGTCATCGCTTTTATTTTTTGATTGTTGTTTATGGTCATACGTACTTACAAAAATCGGTACGTTTATACACATACAAAAATATTCAAAATTCTTTTTTAAAATATTGGTCTTTGACGATTTGCACTAAGCCTTTCCATTTATGATTAGTAAACATAGTTTTAACTAAATATCATCTAAAAGGCTATCATCTAAAATTAATACATAATTTTAAGATTTAAAACTTAATTTTTCTAATAAGAATTTTGTAAAAATTCATTATCATAATCGTTAAAACAATAGTGTTCTTAATATATCTTGTTTATAAAAGCAATTAAAATCTTTTCTGATTAAATAATGTCATCGTTTAATTGCATTTTTTTTTTATTTTACGATCAGAGCAGATTTTCTGTAAATGGTGCGTTTTTTTGACAAAAAGAAATTGATGATTTAAATTCTTATAGGAATCCTGCTTTTAACTGATATAAATATGAAGAGGCTGAAATTTCAATTTCTAGACTTTTCATGAAATTAAGTTGTTACTACAAATGTAATATATATATATATATATATATATTTATCTACCAAGAAAAAATTAATTCATTAAAATAATATCATTCATTTAGGAATAAGTCCTGAAAATTAAATTAACATCTGACAATTATTTGATTTTTGCATGAATTTCTAAAATATTGTGCTCTTTTTACACAAAAAAAAGAGGCTAGATTTCTCATACTAATCTTTGGTCAGCCTGCTGGTGCAAGAAAAGATTTTTAACCAAAATTTCGAACGTGCTAAAAAGGATTAAAAAAAAAAAGAAAGCTATAAATAAACAAAAATACTTTGGTCTTTCATCTTAATAACAAACATTTTAACGATAAAACTTTATCAAATTTGGGGCCTTTTTCTTCCTGGGATGCTCTGCTTTTACATAACATTTCGAGGTACCAACTTTAACTCGGTGAAAATGTAACTATAAATTGAGCAATTAGATTTTAATGCGATAACTGCTATATATATATATATATATATATATATATATATATATATATATATATATAACCATGTTCTCTTAAAAAGAACCGATATATTGTTTATATATATATATATATATATATATATATATATATATATATATATATATATGTGCTTTAAACTGATATTAAACTCCTGCATTATTGCCTGTCTGTGCTCGTCCATCTTATAAAAAACAGGAAATTACCATATACTAGAAATAAATGACTACAAAGGCGCTGACGGTGATTTCTCATGGATGCCATCATTTTGGTTTTGATCAAATAATCTACAGTACAGACGAAGCTAAACGACACCCGCCCCCAGCACGTAATGTAATGAAATTACGCCATAGTTTCTAATATAAAAGCTAGGGAACGACATCTTGGAAACGTATGTATATACGTCGACAGCAACCAATCTAAATTTTATAAAGACTTAGAAGTACGCCCAGTTACAAAAGTGTAAACAGTAAAATGCATCAAAAGGTGCTGAATATAAAATATAATGATTTCTTTGCTCCTGATTCTCTTTTATGGTTTTGTCAAGACGTGGAATCTTCTTGCTGACTGCGATCTGTTAGGCTGCTTGTAGATTCAGGCGATTTTAGATTGTGTTGATACAAGAAAACTAAATCCAGATTCACATAAGTATGTTGTTACAAATAGAATAATAACACATTGCTTTATTTTTAGCAATATTAGGAGTAATTTGGTCCACCTATCACCCGGTTCACACTTCTCTAAGGTTTTTTTAACAAGAGTAGATTTATCTGTTGTTTTCTGTTTAGGAGTGGGTTTTCGGTTACTCCTAAAATCTTTTCATTGTCTTTCACTCTCAGTAACCCCTTGCGTCATTATCGCCTTGCTTGGAGTGAACCGATTAAAAAAAAATAGAAATTTATCTACTCCCGAAATATCTTACGGTGGAATAATGGATAGCGGCTCGGATTGAGAAATCGGAGAGCCAAGTTCGAATTCCAGTCGAATTTATTACATTCACTTACGTGCTGATAACCTTAGGGAGGGTATGAATCCTTTTCTTCTTCCCCATTACCCTATGGGTAAGTAGCAGGACATACCGGGTTCTATAGCCTTGGATAGCAACTGGTCTACCACAGAAAGAAATGGCAAACCTACTCGTCAGTCATGTATCGAAAGATACATGATCGCCTAAGCGTGTATCACGCACATAAATGACTGACTGATAGGCGCATAATTGTAATGCTGTTTTATGCTGGGCGTATAGATTGTATCCGTAACAGAAGATTGAAAATATTCTTTTACACTTCAAAATTAAGACTTTTTTTTCCTCTTCTCTTCAGATATCAACGAATGTCTTCAGGCCCCATCTCCATGTATCGGCGGTAACTGTGTTAATTTGGCCGGCAGTTTCAGGTGCGAGTGCGACACCCCCGGAACTGTTTTAGATTCCAGTGCAAGGATTTGCATTGGTAAGTCTAGTACTGATTTTCTTTTTGTTCCTCTGATTCAAAAATTTGTTTTGAACCAAGCATCAGCGTGATCCATCGGTGAGCTAGCTAGTCTAGTTGATCTTTGCAACTGAGTAATTTAGTAAACACCATGATCGTTAACGTTTGGCGTGTCATTTTCTGGCATGCTATTCACAATTATTAAGTGATAGTTATTTACTAAGTACAAAGATTCGTTCACTTGATCTGGATTTTTGACTAGAGATGTATAATATACTCTTTTTACTTTTTTTTTCATTGAATAAAAGGATTATTTATCTATCTTTGCAAATTACAGTCTATTCCTGATGGCATGAAAATCTCAAATATTGAAATCTCAAAATATATAAACTGAGAAAATGAAGATCCATACCTGAAATGAAATGAAACATTTAGAGAATACAATGATGCCTGAAGTGATGGTTAACTTTTAAAACAAAATAAATAAAAAATAATAATTTAATTATACTTTGTCAAATGAGACAATCCTGATTGCTATTTGAAATTAATGATCTATCTCAATCACATTAAAGAGTCGAGGCATGTCCTAGTGTCTATGATTAATAACGTTTTTCTTGTTAGAATCCATCTTGCACATTTACAATCTACCATTCGTTCGTAAATTGCAATACTGCTGCTATATCTGGTCTGGTGATCCTACTATACATCTCGAGATTCTTGACAAAATCCAAAGAAGGATCTGTAATGTAATTGATCCTGACCAGGCATCACGACTTCAGTCACATTCTCACCGACGTCGCGTGGCTTCCCTCTGTCTTTTCTACAAATATTTTCATTGCAACTGCTCTGATGAGAGGTACTTCGACTACATTGATTTAAGCGTGATACTTTATTGGCATCTAGGCCCCACCCGTTGACTGTTGAAATAGCTAAATGCATCTGCCACTTCGACGCCAAGTTTCATTTCTCCTATCTGTGAATCACCCTCCGTATACTTTCTCCCCTGTTCAAAAATTTAAATGCGACGTCAATCGCCATCTTCTGTCTTAAATCCCGGTCATCTTTTGTCCTTTCCTCAGTCCTCCCTATTCTTAATCATCTCTTTCATTCCCTATAATCTCTTGCGTACTAGTTACATTCTCGTCTTGCTTGGGGTGAAATGATTAAAAAATACAAATAGAATTTGCTTTTTTTTATATATAGGTTTTCAGCATTTAAATAAATCCTATCACTATTTAATAACTACTATATCGTATTTAATGGCTATCATTAAAAGTTTTCATTTGATTTTTCTGTTATTTTCAGACAATCGTCGTGGAACTTGCTGGAAGAATATTCGCAATAATTTATGCGAGGACAACATCAAAGGAGACACTTTGCGTTCAGAATGCTGTGGAACTTTGGGCAAGGCTTGGGGAAGTCCTTGCGAACGATGTCCTCCGGATTGTAAGTAACAGTCAATACTAGACAAGACTCATTACTGGTTCAATCATTGCATTTCAGTAAAAAAAAAAAAAAAAAAAAAAAGTTCAGCGACAAGAATATCACCTGATATTTTGAGTTCAAAAAATTAAAAACTATGAAGTTAAGTAACGTCAATCCTGGTCAGTACCCAGATGGGTGAGCACTTGGAAATACAAGGTGCTGTAAGCTTGCATGTGGATAATGGTTGAGAATTGGAAATCGGAGAGCCAAGTTCTAATTTAAGTCTGGTTCGTTATATTCATTTACGCGTAAATATCTTTTGGGGAATTTATGAACCCACCTCTTCTCCCAGCTATATCTACCGCCCATCTTGTACTATGGTATGATATCTACCGCCCATCTTGTACTATGTTATGATATCTACCGCCCATCTTGTACTATGGTATGATATCTACCGCCCATCTTGTACTATGGTATGATATCTACCGCCCATCTTGTACTATGGTATGATATCTACCACCCATCAATTGCTAGGCCTCCTGCTAGGAAAGCTGGTTCACTGTCGTGTTAAACGATTTTTCTCGTTAGAATCTATTTTACATACTTATAAGTCTTCCATTCGCCCATGCATTGAATATTGCCGTCACATATGATCTGGTGCTTCTGTTATGTATTTAGATTCTTGATAAAATCCAAAGAATCATTTGCAATGTTATTGGTCCTGATCTGGTACCACGGCCTCTATCACTTTCCCACCGCTGTAGTGTAACTTCCCTGTATCTTTTCTATAAATACTTTCATGGTATTTGTTCTGACGAATTTAAGCGTGGTGCTAGATTGGCGGTTAGGTCTCATCATTTTACAGTTGAAATAGCTAGATGTAACCGTAAGTTTTATACTAATAGTTTCTTTTCTCGCATCCCTCGCTTGTGGAACTCTCTTCCGGCTTCTTACTTTCCAGTCAAATTTGGTCTTCAAAAGAATTAAATGAAATATCAATCGTTATCTTCTGACTTAATTCCTTTTTTTTTATTATTATTGTTCTCTCTCTTTAATGTTTTCTTTTTCTCTTATTTTTTATACTCTGTACCCCCCGCCCTGCGTCTTAGTGGCTTTATTGCCTTGCTTGGGGTGAAATTATTAAAAAAAAAAAGAAAAAAAAAGGATGAATATACTAGTCTAGAAGATTCGTTAAAAAATGAAAAAATATCCCTGAAATTTGAAAGGCGGAGTTGAGCTATTTGGTATATCAATATTTACCCAAATGTCATAACAACCACTTTTCTGTTTTATTATTACTTTCATATATAACATTTTCAAAGTAAATAATTCCTGATTTGGTTCTATGACTTATAGGGAATTTTTTAATCTCTACTGGCAGCTTTTTTTTTCTCTAAACTGTATTTTTTTTTATATTGAAGATGATTTTGTAATTTAGTGCATTATTATTATTATTAGTCTAGCGCATAGCAATTACTATTGGATCTTGTTGACTTGCTTGGCAATAACTTCCAATATGTCCTTTTTCCAACGAAAACAAACCGTCTCCGGACATCTCGCAAGAAATAACATTCATTGCCACATGTTCAACAGCTAAACTTTTAGCATGAATTGCATTCTTTTGGACCACCCTCCAACTTCCACTAATTAGGGTGTTAGCTCCATATTTCAAACGTCACAAGATTTAACATATTTAGTACGCAATTTCTTAACATGAAAAAGTAAAGATTTTTATAGAGAATTTACAAGATAATTTTTTTCATGCTAAATAACAAATTGTTTACTACTTTTTTTTATAGCCGAAAGGAAATGTCCGAAGGGATTTGCTGCTACGACAGGGATTCAGTGTACAGGTAAAAAGAAATTGTTTTTTTTTTCCTTTTTCTTCAGAAAATATTTTCAGAATATATTTTCCTTGCTTAGTAAACTGGAATCGTCATCTCTGGCGCCGGCTATTTTCTTTTGTCATTCGATATTTCCTCTTTATTTCTTCCTTCTGGTCACATGTTCAAAGAAATATCAGGAGCATTCCCTTTTTTTAAGCAGATGTTTAAAAAACAAAAAAAAAAAACACTTCATACTTACTAAGTGTTGCTTAGGATGGTATAAGGCTACAAAAATGGGGCATCCAGTGAAGGCTGAACTCACTTTAGTTCATATATGCAACTAAACTCAAATTTGAATAAAACATAAGCAACTCTGCTACTGACGTCAAGATGGGTTAAGCAACACAAAGAAACGAAAGAAAAAGAAAACGTAAATTTAAAAACATGTTACCAGACATTATTTTGTACTGTATTAAAAATTATACCAGTTACATTGAAATGATTTTCTTTTCTGTCTATTAAAGCTAAGCTTAAAAATTTGAAGCAACCAGTTAAGAAATTGCTTGTATATATATATATATATATATATATATATATATATCGTGTAGAAATTGTAAGCTCATTTAACATGCAAATCATTGCTCCACCACAAAGCGTCCGAATTATATACTGTTTTCAAAATTTGGCATAAGGTACCCAATGAGGATGGAATTCCCGTTAGTGAAAGCTGTAAGCGAGCCTCCTCAAATTATATACGTTTTTCTAAGGTAATTGTAATGAGACCCAAATTGAGAATTTAGTCCACTTTAATAGCAAGTCTAATGGCTTCACCACCAGTCGCCTCACCTAGAGTTATATTGATTTTCTAAGCGTAGCTTAGATGTAGCACATGGGACACCAGTGAGAGTCGAACTCACTATTCAGTCGTAACTGTTTTAGTTAGACAAGCTTGCTAACCATTACACCACACCGAGGTGCACTTGATTTTCTAAACGCAGCTTAGATATGGCTCAATGCCGAAAGTATGGGGCACCTAGTGAGGATCGAACTTACTACTCAGCTACAATTTTTCTAGGGAAACAAGCTTGCTAAGGATTACACAAGGTATCGAAATGATTTCTTAAGCGTAGCTTAGATGTGGCACAAGGCTGAAAGTGTGGTGGAACCAGTGAGGATCGAACTCGCTACTCATTCGTAATTGTTTTAGCGAGACAAGCTTGCTAACCACTACACCGCCTCGCGGTGCCCTCACCCAGAATTATATACTGTTTTCCAAGCCTGGTTCGAGACGCTAATTGTAATCCGAGACCATTTCCCTCCACGCCCTAACACATCAGGTGTTCAATGTCTGTAACATTGCTGGTTGTAATGTCTGTATTACAGACATAATTTAAAAATTTAATAATGCAAGACAAGTCGTTAAAAATATCATTTGTTAATGTGTAACTTGGTCCATCTATCAGATATTTTGAATTGCATTCATATATTTAGATATTTATTAAGCTTAAGTGATGAAAATAAGCCGCTTGCTTTTTTTTTTTTTTTTTTAAGGGGATGATCTGCTGTCATTCATAAATGTGGATTTATATTACAAAGTGAAAGGATCTAACGAAACTTATATATATATATATATATATACCTCCACGAGATCGCTAAAAAAAAAACATAGCATGATGAAAAAGACGCCAAACTTGACGAAAACAAAATTTTATCGTCTAAATGTTTGTTATTATTAAGAGGAAAGGTCAAAGTATTTTTTGGGGTATTTTTTTCCATTTTTAATCGTTCTAGCACGTCCGAAATTTTCGTTAAAAATGTAGTTTTTTTGAGTCAGCAAAATTTTCCATTTTTTCCATTTAAAAAAAAAACTGGAAATCTGACTTTGAAATTTTTTAAATATCAATTATCATTTTTTCAAAACTTATTTTAAGAAAATCAGAAATTATAATGTTTATTTAAAATATTTTGAACCAAACTTAACTTAGCTTTTGTGCCAAAAAAGATGTAATTTGAAAATAAAACAAAGCAGGTCATAAACTTTCGCGTCTCTTGACATGTGATGAATGATATATTTACGAATTCCATGAGGCTAATTTGTTCTACGGAAGGAGAAAAGTGAAATAATTTACATTTACGTGAACAAATTATTTACCCCGTTATTTTTAACGAAAACTTTCAGCGGTCTAATTTTTTTTTTTTTTTTTTTTGTACTTAGCTTTCACCTTTACGTTTATGATGCTTTATGGGAAATATATTGTAAAGAAATTAAAATAAAACTGTTAAGAGTGACATTAAATTTCATATTTCTTAAGAAAGGTATCTAATTAATTTATAGGTACCTTTCTTATGAAATTTTATCAGAATTGTACATAAAATACTATAATTTTATGTACATTTATTACATTCTACTGTTATTTGTATTTGCATTCATTTTATTATTAATTTTGATATTTCATTTATGGAAAAATGTCGTAACTGAGATTAATATAAAAATAAGATCATATAAATTTCATAAGATGATACTGATACTTGTAGGTACCCTTCTCAGTTGAAATTGAAAAATCAAATTAACTTCTCCACACGTGTTTCGCAAAAAAGTAAAGGCCTTAACAGCGGAGAACAATGCTTAACTCAAATAACGCAACTTAATTATATTCTGGTTGGTCTTCCGTATTTTTATAATTACAGCTCGATTATAAGCACAAAATTACATTTCTTAATTACTGCAGATCTACTGATTAGTCAAAACGATATAATTTACAACGTGCTAAAAAAAGATCCATCTCATAAGGACACTTAGGAAATGTGATGCAGCTTTTAACTAATTTTATAATATTTTAACAACTTAAATAAAAAATCTATTATAATTAAAGAAATAATAAATAATTGTATTAAAAATTCATTTTTAATCGAAAAAATTTTTTGCTTTCAGAAAATATTGTCCATATTCATAAAAACAACTAAAAGCAAATAAAAGCATTTGAAATTAAATAATATATTTGATTTATTGAGTTTTGTATGTTACAATTCAGAGCAGTTTTTCAGGTACTGCGTATCCAATTAAAAAAAAAAAAAACATGATTTGCATTCCTCAAAGCCCTGTGCTTTTAATTATTGTAATCACTAAAACCGATGCGATCGAATTTCTAGCGTTTTCATAAAATTAGTTATGGGGGGTAATAAATATTTAAAAAAAATATTTCTACCATGACTTTCATAAAAAAAAAACATATTTATAATAATTTCGATCATTTGTGAATAGTTTCTGAAAGTTTCATTAACATCCAATAATTATTTCTATTTTTGCACGATTTTTCAAATGAATGTGTGTCATACCAAAAAACGTGCTAAAAATTGTCTATGTTATTTACTAGTTCCGCTGATACAAATAGAAAAAAGTTTTTTTAATCAAAATTTAGAATGTTCTAAAAGAAGGAAAATTTTTAAAAATAATAAAAAAAAAAAAAAACTTTGGTCTTTCCTCTTAATAATAACATAAGCATTTAGACAATAAAATTTAGTTTTCGGCAAGTTTGGTCTTTTTTCATCAAGCTATTTTTTTTTTTTTTTTTTTTTTTTTTTTAGCGATTTCGTGGAGGTACCTATATATATATATATATATATATGGATTTTATTTTTATAGGCCGACATATTTGATTTGAACGCTATTTTTAGTGTATTCCTGTATTTGACTAGACCTGCCGTTCGTTTTAAAATAGTATTTATTTCGTCAACTAGCTTGCATACTCGAGAAAACTTAAAGGAAATGTGCCCTCCGACAGGATTCGAACCTGCATTCCCTTTTGCAGGAGGAGCTACTGTTCGATCTGGCGTGATTTTACCTCTAAGCTACTAAGTGTAAGAATAGTTTTTTTGTAATAATAATACCATCAACACAAATTGCAGTATATAAAGTGTAAAAACCAGATTTAAAAAAAACTAAAACTTTCCCTAAATGGGGCCACCCGTTTGCCGCGGGTGGCGACCCGTGATGCCTGGGGACGGAGTCCTGGTGACTGAGTGACTCCTGATCTGATATAAAATGACCAGGAGTTTCCACAACACGTCACTTCGGCCCCTACCTGGGATAGACGGTCGGATGGAATAGCCCAATCCATTCCAATCGGCTAGTTACATAGTGGCAAGGGCTAGTTGGGATGATAGATAATGGGTCGAAACCTTACATCCAACTATACTTGGGTAGATATGGTGGGGGAGTGCAAGTGCTCGTATCCACTGGCGGATTAGGGCGAATAGGATTAGTACCCCCTGATAGTGTGCCTTAAGAAGGAACTCCGAGGTGGGTGGGGAGCACAGCGAACACAAATTAAAATTGTATGGCTATCTCGTATAAACGAACCAAGAGACTATATGAGACTTCTGAAAACGAAATGAAAAAAAAATCAATTTCCAACTTTCATTGTTGTAAATCAGTAGAGGGTGATATATCAAAAGTATCTCCTTTTGTGTTGCAATGGGTTATTTCAGACATGATCAAACCACAATCTGTTAAAAAAAAATAAAGAAAAATAATACTTTATTAATTCAAGTGATATCCATAAAAGACGCAGAGAAATTGCTAAAAATCAAGCAAATTGACAACAATAAAGTCAAGGCCTACCCCCATCAATTTCTTAATTCATCAAAAGAAGTAATAAAATGTCCAGAACTGTCGCTTTTGTTCATCAGAAGAAATTTAAAATGACGACACCCTAAAACAAAAGCACGGAGTAACAGATGTTAAAAGAATGCAAGTAAAAAGAAATGACACAGTAATAAACACCAACACATATTTTGACATTCGACAAACCAACTCTACCAAAAGAAATAAAGATAGGTTGTACAATAGCCAAGGTAGAGCCATACATGCCTAATCCCCGTAGATGTCATAAATGTCAAAAATTTGGTCATCTTCAAAATGTTTGTACGAGAACATCAGTCTGTAAAAGATGTGGGGAACCAAAAACTGAGCATGATGAATCAGCTTGTGAAAGGCCTCCTTTATGTCCAAACTGTAAAGAAAAACATTCAGCACACTCCAAAGAGTGTAACATTTGGAAAAAGAAAATAAGTAGAAAATACACGCAAAATATCTCCTTCCAAGAAGCCAGAAAACAGGTTGAATATCATTCACTTCAAGCATCGTATGCAAATATCACTGAAATATCAAATCAACAAAAAGTCATCCAAGAAAACAATGCATTAATATCTTATAACTCTTATTAACGAATTAAAAAGTTTAATAGAACTACTAAAATGTAGTATATCACTCATAAATCTAACGGCCATAGACAAAAAAAAATCCTGTCCCATCAACCTCAAACAAAGAAGTCTCTACATGTACAAAACAATTAAATCCGGAAATTCCAAACCAAAGTACAAAAGTCCAAGAAATAGAAAACTCTAAAGTAAACATTCTCAAGAGAATCAAAAGGTATATAAAAAAAAAAATAACTCAACTTTTAGTGAAGAACCAAGGGAAATGGACATAGAGGAACAAATCTCTAGCCCATCACAAACAAGGGAAAGATCATCATCTAGACAAAGTTCATTAAAAGAACCGAATGGTAAAACTAAGGGGGGAAAAATCAAACAAGAAAGTAGAAACAAGAGAGGTTCAAAGAACAAAACATAACAGGAAACAAAACGCTAACAGTCAGAAGTACACTTCACCGATACAAAAAAGAAAAACATTGGACATGTAAAAATACATAATCAAGATGTAAAACCTTATTCAATGGAATTGTAACTGCGGTGAAAACACTGAAAGTGTAAAAATAGGTTTTAATACCAGAAATACTTTGTAAAAAAAAAAAAAAAAAAATTATTGCCAGCAATGCATTTTTGAAAAACAAATATTACCTGCAATATATTTTTGAAAAACGGTTGATATATATATATATATATATATATAGTAGCCCTATGTTAATTTTCTATCTTTTTATGTGTATTGAGCACTTTTAATATTGTTTCCTGGTCTAATTCAACTCTGACCATTTTAATTTATATATCTGTCTCTCACACACACACACACATTAAAGAATTATGCAAATATACTTGATAGTAATTAATGTTGTATGAATAAAATTAAAACCTGTTTATTTATATAAGATTTATACATTTAGTTCCAGATTAAAATTAAAAAATAGACAGTTTGACATGGAATGAGCCAGATTAGGTTGAAATGTCGTTAAAATCACTAACCTAATTGAACACTTTTTAAAAACGTAACACGTCTTCACCAAATATTTTCGTCGCTTGTACTGCCTGTCCGAAATATTTCTATTCATATCCTGTATCAGTGGTTTGTTTTTTACGTCATTATAAAACACGTACATGACTGTTCGCAAGCAGATCTGTATGCCTCTCTTTTGGACACTTTTTAAACACTTTGAACTTAACCGCTTCTGGTTGTCTGACATTGACAACATGTCATGTTGATAAGTTGCAAATCCGTTGGAATCGGATCACTGTGTTTTAGGGCGAAAAGACACAACGGTCAGAATGACAAAAAAAATCCTATTGAAATTCTTTTATCAAAGCAGCTGAATCTGTCAGACGATCCCAAGTGTGGTGAGGGGCAGTTGGTGAGCCCCAAATTTGAAACCGTTGGACAAGCTTGTTATTACTCTATGACAATGCACTCTACAGGGTCTTGTTAAACTATAAAACGTTGTGAGAGGAAAATGTCTATATTTTTATATGGGGAAAATAATGACTATTGACCGACAAAGAAACAGAGAATTCAAGAACGTCAGTCAAAAACCATTGAAACCTGATTAAATCATTCATCTCTATTGATTCTCTCGATAGGCTTGGTAAGAACGTTCTCCTAAATCTAAAGGAGGCTGTCTGCTTATTTTTGTTCTCTTCCTTTGAAATACTCGCATTCTTTTGCCTCAAATTCAATTTTAGCTTAAGACATGATTTCCGGAAGATCTCTCGTTTAACTCTTTCGATTCTGATTCTATACATACCTCCCAATGACATGAGGATTTTCTAAACGTTTCTTAGATGTGGTACAATGCAGAATATATGGATCGAACTCACTATTCAGTTGATCTAGCGAGACCCGTTTGCTAACCATTACACCACATCGAAGTGCCGTACGCCCCAATGACATGTCTGTTTAGCAACTGTTCTAAATAAAAATCGGTTGTTAGCTACATAAATATGTCCTCCTCTCTCTGTGAAGTGCCGTGCTACAGCCTCACCACGCTGATATTGCTGCTGTAGCTTCGGTAGTAAATATGCTTTTTACGGCGGGTGTACGGAGTTTCCAGTCCTACAATTATGTGACAAACTTTAATATTTTGGGCTCAAACCTAAAAATACTTTAGATTCAAAGAGTATCACTTATTGATGGTTTCATGAATTCATTAATATTAAAAAAAATAGTAAACACTTTGAAAAGCTTGTAAACATAATTTTGATATGCTTGGAAAAATTTAGAAATTTAATAATTTAAATACGGCTATATATTAATTTAAATTTCTAAAAAATGAATGCATTTATTTTTAATCCGACATTTTTAATTCAAATGTTCTATTGGATATTTCAAAAATTAATATACAGTATAATAATACACTAAGTAAAATTATATATGGCGAGCAGCAACCCCTCTTTTTTACAAGTTTCATTAAAGGCTGCTGATAAGGGGGGATATAAAATGTGTAAAATCTGTCCAAATATATCCGAGGTTATTATTTTGGTTATTCTATTAGCCATTATCAGGGATTTTTTTATTTACTTTGGATATATATATATATATATATATATATATATATATATATATATATATATATATATATATATGGCAATTTTCAGTTACCCTATATTTACGGGTAAAAGTGTTCAATAACAGAGAGCTTATGTAAATGTAATGTAAAATTGGACCCTGAGGTCAAGACCTAACGGCGGCACCCTGCTTCATACTGGAGCGCAGTTTTCAGTCCATCTGAAGATTGCGTTCAAGCATTAAACACTTTCGCCGCTAGGTGTTGACTTCAGTGTCCAAATGTGTGTGTGTTAAAATTCGCCTCTTGGAGTTGGGGCGATTATATTCTTTTGCATTAAATTTCAATTTTTATCCACTGAGCAATCATGTATATGACTGTATATGGGAATATGTGGTGTTGCGTTCGATTGAATTCTAACGATGTATTGTATCTGCACTTCTTATTAACCTTAGTGATCCACGGAGACATATTTCCAATATAGCTCTATTTTTTATTATAAATATGAAAATGACCTACTTAATTTTATATTTTCCAGTTAAACTGTAAGATCACATCCACAGCTTTTAAAACAAATTTTCTTTTGTAAATTTTTCAAACTTTTCGCTCTTTTTCAGATATCAATGAATGTGATGTTCTTCCTGGAATCTGTTTAAATGGCTACTGCATCAACGCAGATGGTTCTTACAAGTGCAACTGCCCTGAAGGATTATCCCTTGATCTCTCTGGACATCGTTGTGTCGGTAAGTGGTTTTTGTTTTATTTTTTTTTTTTGTCTTATTTCATTTGATTCCACTTCACTTGCATTCTCAAAAAAATTATCTCTCAGTTGCTGTAAATAAAAGCAGATTATAACTACGAAATATTATACAAAAAACAGCAGAAGGGTTCACGGATCTGATTACAAGTTATAAAACTGGCTACATTTCAATGTTCAGCGTTACTAAATTTGGAACTGACTTCTCGTATGTTGAGAAATTCCAAATTTGGTTGCACTAGGCTTTCAAAAGTTACCTAAACTGGAATGCGTGTCTGATCGAATTATCAACCACGTTAACAAATCGACTCAGACCAAAATTTACAACGATTGTAAAAGATTCTTACATCTAAGCATCTCCTATATGGCATTGAATGCGGGATAATCTCCTCACAAAAGAAGAAAATCGAAGCGACAGAAATGTGGTTCTACCGAAAGAGGCGGATTTATCAATAAGCTTGGAAGGCTGAATTCTGAGGCCTCAAAATCGGGGGGTGGGGGCGCTAGCCAAGGTGTATAATATTTTTGACACTGTCATATACCTTTCTTACACATGATGTTGTCATAACGCATTGTAGACGCTAAAAACTTCACTAATTTTAAACACCCGTCATCCTCGGCTTCACTCAAATTGTTTAATTCAATACTTATCTAACTAAACCTCCTTCTTTGAAGCGAGAATATGTCCATTGTCAGATACTCATAATTTCAACAGATTTTGCCCATTAAATACAAGCGATTTCATTTCAGACTCAGATTACCCTAACCATCAACAGTTTAAAGACAGTTGGCCTCAACCTAATTTCTCCATACTTTCCTCTTGGTAAGCCGTATATTAGCAGTTCTAGGGTTCGATCCCCAAACAACCCTTTAATATTAATACTCATTGGGAAAAGCTTTATTGGTTTACAATCAATTTAAGAAACTAAATTATTCTTTTGATTCACATTCGGACAATTGTTCCCATCTTTGTCACAACATGCCATTGTGTCCTCTGGTAATCTTCATCTGTTTGTTGATCCAAGTAACTTTCAAGGATTTTTCGGAATTGACCTTTTATTTAATCTCGTTTATGTCTCGAGATCTCTCGTCTTAGTTATTGCTTGACTTTCTACTATATGTAAGTCTGCACTTTCCGATCCAGGAATTACAATGTAACCAACATTACGAAACAACTTTTAATCTATTAGACTATTGTCATCTAACCCTAAAATTTAGAAACTTAAATTTATCTTGCAAGCTCCTGTAGATTAAATAAAGGTTTTACCTGAATCGACGAACACCTGAAGCTGAAGGCTGATAACAACAACAACAAAGATGAAGACAATAGTCTGAATGCAAATAACAGCTTGTCCCAGAAACTCAAACAAAATCAAAATATTTTTTTCAGTAACTACTTTTTTTTCGAGTGGAAATAAAGCGATTTTTTTAATTATGAAAATAGAAACCTCTTGAAATTTTCCTGTTTTCTTTATAAAATATCTTGATGGACCTTATAAATATTCTAACATTTATTTTTCCATGGGCAATGACGAATATCCTTGTTTGTTTTTCATATATATATATATATATATATATAAAACGAGGGTAAGTAAAAAAAAATTAGCAGCATGTGAGTGCGGATATATTTTTACTTTTTCTCGTATATATAGATACAAATTTTTAGATAATACTTTAAACGTGTATTTATCTTGAAAGCCCATCACAATTTAAGAATTCCTCTAACACAATGTGTTTAGTATAAATATATTATTTGGACTACATCAACAGATGAGCCCATTGCATAGAAATAAGTGAATTTCCCAACACTATGTAGTGGACTCTCCTGACGACATGGAATTACAGTGCGTGTGTAAGTTCACACACACTCTTTCTGTCATATATATATATATATATATATATATATATGAAGAATTAGTCTTCAAATACAGCTCTCAAAATTTTGAGTATAAAAACTATTTTCTTTTAAGCTGAAAAAGTTATACAGTCCCTCGCAAACAAAGTACATACGAAAAGTTTTTTTATTACAGCACAAACGAAATGAATTGTTAGTATAAGGTGAAACATATGTGCGAGATTGTCACGGGAGAGCCAAAATCTACGTTATGTGCGTGTAGCGTCAGCAAGCTTGATATATTTGGGAAAGATATTAGAATAATCAAGAACCTATACTGGCAGCAAACGGCCTGTATAAGGCAAGGATGTGTTTTCTCACCGGACATATTCAACCTATACAACGAGGCAATTCTGAGAATTGGAAATCCTACCGGGATTCATCATTGGCAGTCATAATCTTGACATCATAAAATACACCGATGACAGACAGCTGATAGCAGACACGGAAAGGAAATTACAAAACCTCCTACAGATGTTAGGGAAGGAGAACGCGAAGAGGAGACCAAGTATAAATTACAAAACAGAATGCATGGTTATCAATAAAAAAAATGAGCCCAAAATGCTATTCATAGGTCGGGGACACTAAAATTAAGCAGGTGCTGAAATTCAAATATCTGGAAAGTGTTCTGACAGAGGATGGTAAGTGCGACGCTGAGATACGAAGACGTGTTGGGATGATTCAAAGACGCCTTCCAAAAGCTAGGCAGAATATTACAAGACTGGAGGATTTCCTTGGTAACAGAATAATAAACTGATACATAATATCTGTCCTCCTTTTCGGTAGCGAATGTTGGACGGTCTCCTCAAAGATAAGGAAGAGACTCGAGGCAACGGAGGTATGATTCTACAGAAGGAGGCTAAGGTTACCGTGGACCAAGCATGTGAGCCACGATGAGGTTTTGGAGAGGATGCAAACAAGGAAGCAGCTTATACTTAACATCAGGAGAAGCAGCTGAAATTTCTGGTACGCATAATGAGAAAGGAGGGCTTGGAGAATCTGATATTCACAGGGCGAATAGAGGGAAAGAAACACAAGGAAAAGCAACGTGTGACATATCTAACGGGCCTAAGCGAGTCGATGACAGAACAGGGTCTGGGAGAAGTAGCAAAGAGACAAAACTTATTGAGAGCTACGCGGGATAGGGTGAAGTGGAGAGCTATGATCGCCTACGTACTGAAGGCACATAAAAGAAGAAAAGAAACGTACACATAGCAACAGGTAGTCAGTTGCCTATCAACGCAAATACGGCTTTGACAACATAAACCCAGAAGACGTCGTCACTGTCTATTTGTTACCACTGTATTTTTGTAATATAAACTGTACAAACAGGTTTATGAAAATACTTTAAAAGTGAGAAATATTTTACACAACGAACTTTAGTACTCAATAATTATTTTTAGTAGACTTTTTGCATTTGAGAAATCAGTAGTGTTTACATCCCGGTCGAATGTATACTGAAAAAAAAAATAGAATAAATTTATAAAGGGTGCAATGGATAAATTGTCTAAATTACGCAAAAATGAGGATAACAGACATCTCATTTTAACAAATATATTTACCAAAATTACACAAAAATATCTTGAAATACTAGAGTAAATTTATTTAATAAAATCGCTTCAACCGCGGCCTCCAGACGACTTCGGAATCCCCTGCAACTCTTTTGCGCAGTCTCCTTGTTTAACTTAGTGAATGCCGCCATAATCCTTACTTTCAGTTTATCTTCGGTGTTATAAGGAGATTTGTTGGTCTCTGGCTCAACTGCGTCCCACACATAATAATCAAGAGGGTTACAAAATGGGGAGTTAGGTGGCCAGATGTAAGGGGTGATGCGGTCGCAGTAATTGTCTCCTACTGGTGCAGAGACCTGTTGCCAAACACAGGGTCTTCCAGCAGTCACTCTCTAGACCCAGGGAGCAGTATTTCCTGAAGGCACTTAATATAGGCCTCCGTGTTGAGTCCCTGTGGAAATATGAGTGGAGGCATAACGTCGTCATCACTAGTGATCACTCCAAACACCTTCGTAACCACCCTTAGACTCCTCCAACTCTGCCCGAATCCTCTGCCCGATCCTTATCAAAATCTCTGAAATGTTCAGATTGGGGCTTTTGGCGCGAATGCGAAGCATTAAAGCATGAATTTCCAAATTTCTGGCGGTGTAAATTGCGCCGTGATGCTCTTTTTGTCATAGACACTGATAGTACTATATTGTGCAGTCGATAAAATTAACAAACACCGCGAAAGCACGAAATAAATAAAAACATAAAATAGACAATTTATCGATAGCACTCTGTATTTAATTTTATTTACGGTAAATCCAGTTGCATGAATTTTTAATAAACCTTCTGTTTAATGTTATCCAGATTATCGTAAATCCAGTTGCTTCCTCGAATACCGACACGGACAGTGTAGCAGTAAGATGCTTGGAGTTTACCACCAAGCCATATGTTGCTGTTCTGTTGGGAAAGCCTGGGGTTCACCTTGCTCAGCATGTCCACGCCCGGACACAGGTAAGTCAGCTTTTTAAAAAAAAATTCCTCTGAAACCTAATGTAGGAAGAAAAAAATTATACAGTTGCTCTACTTGCTTTTTAATAAGTCTTGTCTAAGACTTGACGCTCAGCAGTCTTTGTCGCTCGCTGTTTCGGCCAGTGACAACTCTAAGCTAAAATTATTTATGGATCATCTTTTTCTAAAAAAAAAAAAAAAATCAATAGGTATTTATTTATATTATACAGGGTGCGATGAAAATACCTCCAACATATACCTCTCACATAGTGGTAAGACATTAGCGAGATGAACATACCATTGTCACTAATGTCTTTTTTTCTTTTTTTTAAAGCATTTCACCCCAAGCAAGGCGGGAAGCCACTAGGACGCAAGGGGTTACAGAAAATTTAGAGCAAGGTCAGATAGGAGTGATAGAAGAAAGGATGAGGGTAGTGGATAGATCAAGGCAACTGGAGATGTTTATTGACAAACAGGAAAAGGGAATGGAGTTCCACAGGCGAGAGGTGCGAGACATGTAGCTATTAGAGTAGAAGATACGGCTATATTTAGGAGTTTCGACAGTGAAGGGGTGAGAGCGGGATGCCAGCCTCGTGAGGCGCTGGAACTCGTGACGTCTGGGAACCAGCGAATGCAGCTCCTCGGAGCAATTTCCATGGAAGTATTTGTAGAACAGACAGAGGGAGGCGACGGCGCGTCTGTGAGAAAGTGACTGTAGACGAGACGCCAGGGCAGGGCCAACCACATTGCATATCCGCCTCTGGAGCCTATCAAGAACCCCGAGGCAGACAGAAGGGGCACCAGTACAATTATATCGGAGTTATGTCTACTGCACTCTGTACATATAATAGCTTTATTAAATAGCTGACGTAATGGTTATCGAAGTGAATAGCGGAACTAGCTAGACGAACTAAAATTTATTTAAACGTTCAAATTCTTGGCGGCATGAATTCATCAATTCCCCTCTTTAGCTATGTGTTAGAGTAGATTGTGTTCTCTAGCCTTAGTGACAACGAGCTGGAAGGATATTTCTGAATTCAAATCTATGAGTGGTAGAAAGATTCCAGATAGCTTCTGCTGAGAAAAGTGGTCTATCACGATACGATGAACCAGCTTTCCTAGATTCTGTGTTTGCAATTGAATCGTTCAAAATCCTATCAGTGGATTACGTTGCACTGAGAAAGCGCACTGAGTTACTCTCTTGGAGGTTAACATCAGCCATGATGGAAGACAAATAAATAAAAATAAACTCAGTTCAACTGTCTCAACTTCTGATGAAAGGATATCTTCAGAGAAGTTTTTGAACTTTATATGAAAAGTAGTTGAATGCATGAATTTTTATTCCGTTGCGAACGTTTAATGATGCTCTATTTGAATGAAACGTTGATAAACATTAGCAACGGAATAAAAATATAAAAATTTATATAAAATATATATAAACCAGTTGGATGCATAATATTTTATTCCTTTGCGAACATTTAATGATGTTTAACAGAGAAATTTAAACAACCAACTCGTTTTCATAGATGCATATTACGTTTCATTTAGTAAGAACATCACTAAACGTTCGTAAAAGGAAAATATATAATATATATATATATATATATATATATATATATATATATATATATATATATATATATATATCATTTGCATGCTTACATTTTTATTTTGTTTGAAACGTTTAATGATGTTCTTATTGAATGAAACGCTAACATCAGAAAAATTTAAACGTCCAACATTACGTTGGCAACGGAATAATAATTTAAGCATACAACTAGTTTTTATATATTCAATCTTTGTTCGGACATTTCATATCCGCCATTTTGTCATATACATGGACGTAGCAATTAATATTGCATAGCAACTGAGAGTTTCAGTCAGATCGGATAATCACTTAAAGCGGGGAAACTGCCTGTTACCATGCAGTTTTGTTGCTCGATGGTTAGTAAGTACGCTTAGTGTCGTGTTTTAAATTACAAGTATCTCACTTTGTGGCTTCTATGCCAAAGAAATCTTACTAAATAACTACATTTGGCGAAGGTGGGGCGGAGGTGAAATTGTTTCCTTTATACTTCTTTCCCGTGTGTTTCGGCTCTGTCACATTCTTATAATTTAGCATTCATACCGGACAACTAACGACACGAATAAATTGTACTCATCAAAATTTCAAGAATATTCGGGAGCGGCGTGAACAGGCGGAAACAGCCGATGCGATGTCGCCTTCTGCATAGCTTCGCTAAGGAGGACACCGCACACGATTGTCTTTTGTCACTCTCATGTCGTGTTATGCTATAGTCGTTTATGAACCCCCCCTCCTCTCCACCTCTTTTTCAACCTCCAACTGTTCCCATTCAGCACGTGATGAAAGAAACTCCTTAGCGTTACTGGCCAATTATCGATGGCGTGGTGCAAGGAGGAGGGAGTGGAAGAAATTGAATGTCGTCTCTTCTGACACAGGAATCTTGAGCATATCGCAGCTGTCAAAATAAGGCAAAAGAAGTCAAAGGTTCAGCTTTCGGCATTTTTCGTCTTCTTTTCGCAAAATTTGAGCTAGCATTTTTCTTTATATTAATAGCTTCATCGTTGGCTATTTAAAAAAAAAATTCAGATAAGCAGGTGATGAAATACATTGAATTAGAACAAAATTCCGTTTAATCTAGATTCACGTTGATGTCGGGCATACCGTCCAACTTGTTCAGAAAGGTCTCAACTATCAGCTATATACAATATTTCTTCTTTTTTTTTTTTTTTTTTTTTTTCAAATCATTGTTTAAAAATGGCTTCAAGGGAATTAATACTTTAGATCTTACGGAAAACAATCCTTCATCAAACCCTATAGTCTGACGCTACAGAATGCTAAAGAATTTTACTAAATTAAATAAAAATACACATCACGTTAAGACCTCCAACAGCAACAACTAAAATGGTTAGCACATTCAGAAAGTAAAATAATTATATAATCAAGATGTTTACTTTCTAAATAAATAAGCGGTTACGAAAGAAACTGTCATCAATACTAGAAAAAGCGATAAGTTTGGACTGAAGCCTATTAACTCGAAAGTCTACTTTAAAAGAAAGATCTTGTAATTTTTAACCGATAGTAATGTCAACTGCTCGGTCAATGAATATCGAACGTTTAAGGCTTATTTTATTATCATTGCAAGAATCTAGTCTTCCTAAGCTATTCGATTTCTGTCAACAAGATATTTGGTGAGCCTGGACGACTCGGTGGCTGAGACAGTTACGTATTTCTTACAAGCACCATGGCCTGTATTCGAACTTAAAGAAAATTTTAATGCTGCCTCTCTTAGGCAACAAACATCAACCATTGATGTCAGTAGGAAACACAAAATTGTCTTAGTATATAATTATATACTAATTGGAGATTAATTTAAACTGAAGACCTCAAGTGTAAGGTACTAGTGAGGTCAATATTCACTATTCAATATCTATAATCTGCAAGACTAGATTCGCTAAGAATACTGATAATAGAATCAGATGAAAGAGAGCTTGGAGAATTAAACACTCACAGAACATATTGAAGGTAAGTGAATTAAGGGAAAGAGTGACAATTTACTTGAGTTTTGTGAATAGATGACAGAACAAGAATAAAAGTGATGGTAGAGGAGGCAATTTTTATTTAGAATAACAAAAAAAACGAAGTTGTAGACAGTTATGATCGCCTACGTCTTGAAAGTACATGACACGTTGAAGAAAGCAAATCAAATCGTAACATGAATATTTATTGCGCCAATCTACCAAAGCCACAACTCTGTCTTAACTGTGTATTTGTAGGTAGTGTAACGGTTATTGACGCCAGCAGAGTTCAAATTCTTCTCTTTCGTTCACTTGGCGCTAATGAACTCAGGAAAGGCATAAATCCGTCTTCTTCAGCAAAGTAAACCGTTTTCTTTCCTTGAATGGCAGCCAGCCTAAGAGAAGAAAAACTCTAAAATCAGACACGAAGAGCTCTGTTTGGAGATTTCGTGGTATACTGTCCACCATTTTTCTGTTATCATTTCTTCTGAAGAGTGTGACTGGTTCTACACAATCCAGCATTATGAAAAAATCATCTGTCTAGTTTAGCGTCTAAATTCTAAACTGTTATATAGCACAAGTATCTCACTTTGTGGCTTCTATGCCAAAGAAATCTTACTAAATAACTACATTTGGCGAAGGTGGGGCGGAGGTTAAATTGTTTCCTTTATACTTCTTTCCCGTGTGTTTCGGCTCTGTCACATTCTTATAATTTAGCATTCATACCGGACAACTAACGACACGAATAAATTGTACTCATCAAAATTTCAAGAATATTCGGGAGCGGCGTGAACAGGCGGAAACAGCCGATGCGATGTCGCCTTCTGCATAGCTTCGCTAAGGAGGACACCGCACACGATTGTCTTTTGTCACTCTCATGTCGTGTTATGCTATAGTCGTTTATGAACCCCCCCTCCTCTCCACCTCTTTTTCAACCTCCAACTGTTCCCATTCAGCACGTGATGAAAGAAACTCCTTAGCGTTACTGGCCAATTATCTTAACTGATCCATAATATTACTGATACAAAACAATGTCAACCGTACACATGGATCAGAAGACTTGCTACCTATTTTAATCATTTCAACCCAAATAAGGTGATAAATGACACGAAGAAGCAAGGGATTATTGAGAATGAAAAACAAAATAAGACAACGTTGCTGAGGAAAGAGTATAATAAAAAAAAAATATAGGATTCAAGAGTACATATGGCGACGGTTGATGGGGCATTTAAACTTGAGACGATCGTAGTTGACAGGAAAGCAAGAAGGCGGGTGAAAATTACACCAGCGAGAAGTGCAAGAGAAGAAATAATTAGTATAGAACTTAGGATTACATCGAGCAATTTCAACTGTGAAATTATTAGACCCAGCTGTCTAGTACTGTGTTTTTAATTCGTGATGTCGAGGGACCAAAGAGTACTCATCAGAACAATTACCATTCAAACATTTATAGAAAAGGCACAGAAGCTAGGTTATAACCGTGGAAAAGTGATTAAAGCCGAGATGTCAGATTGTGATCGATAATAATGCAGATTTTTTCTGAGTCCGACAACATTGATAATTATGATGGACACAACGCTTATTCCTTAAAATATTTCGGAATTATTGTTATTCTTTTACTAATGTAGTAATTTGTTTTTATTGATAAATGATTTCCGGATTTTATAAGTTTAATTATTATAGATATAAGGCAATAAGTTTATACTTTTGAATATATTATTGGGAACTAATTATGAAACTTTTAGACTGTATGACTTGTCGATAGTTTTGCGTCTAGCATGAAACAGCTTGTCGCCTCTGAATGTTGATTTCAATGTTCACTTTTATATTTATATTTACATACGCTCTATTTCTGATATTGAGCACTTTATCCCATAAATATAGCACACCTTAAAATTATATTTCCTTATATATATATATATATATATATAACAAACATGAAACATTTTAGTTTTATATGTACTAATGTATTAAATAACAGCTTAGACTAGCTTCAGATTGCAATCAGTCTAAGAGAAGACAACTGGGAAACCAGTCCTTTACATTTTCTCGAAGTCATGGCAATTCCCATATAATAAAGAAAACGAGTCTGGAGTGCCATAGTCGCCTACGTCATTAGAGGCATGGCGTGTAAAAAAAAAAAAAAAAAAAAAAGTACCCTTCATTATCACTTATTGTTTGTATTTTTATTTGTTTCAGAGGAATACAAGCGTCTTTGTAACCGGGAAGGATATGCACCCGACTTCAAACGAGACAATTTGGATCTATTCACGGGTAAGATAATTTTGCACGATATTCTCGCTTTTGCTGTTTCTCTTTTCTAAAATTTTTCCATTCTTATCTCAAATTATCGTACTTGAACTGCTATCATAATTTTTGCTTAACAATGAAATACATTAATTTCATAGAGACGTCTTTAACCTGAGCATTTTTCTTAAATGATTTTTATTTTAAACGTAAGGTTCCTTCAAGTAATAATGGGAAATTAATTTTAAAACCCTAATTTTGATTGAATTTTACTCTTGTTCACAAGCTTCGTTCTCGTTTTTTTAAAATACAGGTAGACACAATTAGTTTTATCATTTCTTTGAAACTCAAATATAAAATTTTATTATCTAAAACATATAAAATAGTCTACCTAATTACCAACAGCTATCACTACCGATATCAATCTATATCTGACTCCTGTTGCGTACGTCTTTCTCTCTCTCTCTCTCTCTCTCTCATATAATATATATACTCGCGTATCAAGTAACTTTTGAAGACCCAATTTTTAAACTAATTTTAAGCGTGTCGCATCATACAGAAGATATAAAATTGGCGTATGTACCGCTGGCCCTTGCTACGCCGTTGACAAAACTATATATCCATTTAATGTAGTCAAATTAGCTTTACAATTAGGTCCAGCATTTTATTTAAAAAAGAAAAAAAAACAGTGCTCGATACAACCGTAGAGCATATTATAATTGTTTTTTGTTTTTTTTAAATATATTACCATCGCAACACAGAAGTTCCCGTATTTCAAAACTGAAACTCAATTCAAATTTAATCATAAAAATTAAACTTAAAATGCAACGTACCGTTCCATTATCAAGCGATATGATTAAATTTGAATTGAAGTTTCAGTTTTGAAACATGAGAATTTGTGTTGCGATGGCTATATATATATATATATATATATATATATATATATGTGTGTGTGTGTGTTTTATAGGAGTAAACCCGAAGATTAATATAATGAACATTTATTTTACGCAACAAAAAACTTAATTTTATTCACAATCTCCTTTCTTGTTAATTAACTTCATTTTGTAGGGGGGGGGATATTGATATAACATAGATTGAACATTTATAGTGAAACTTGCTGATCAAAATTCAGCTAATGAAGACGTTCCATGCTGTGAAGTTATTCATGCCCCCCTTGTGCGTGTGTACGCCTCTGACTATATTATGTAACTAATTTTATTTTTATTTTGCATAATTAAAAATAATAAAGAAAAAAACGTCGAGATTTTGATAATTTTTACGTGTCTTTTTGGACATTCTATATTTTGTGTTAAATTTGAAAACGTTAGTACATTTCACCTTTTGTGTGTTATACGAAAATAGTTTTATCTGCCTTTGTTGTAAAGAGCGTAAAATCTGTTTTTCTCTTTTTGGATTAATTTGAAATTTTTCACACAATATTTAAGTTTCTACGAAAAAGATTTCATAGCTTAATTTCATTGACATATTGGTAAGGATTCTCTTTCTGATGCTACGAATAGAGATTTCTAATGACATATATCGCGATAGAGAACTTCCCTCAAAAGATTGACGCTATACGATCTTGCATAATTTGTAACTTTTAGACCAAGTGTTTTAAATGTATGTTCAGTATTGCTTGTCTTGTAAAGACCTCCATTTGTTACTGATTTCTCGTTGCAGACATCAATGAATGCGTCGAATTCCCTACGATATGTTCAAACGGAGCGTGCCACAATACACCTGGAGGCTACTATTGTAACTGCAAGAAAGGATTTGCCATAGACAACACTGGACTTAACTGTACAGGTGAGTCATACGCATGCGACTAGAAATTAACTGAATGTCTTCACGTTTCGGTAGAGAAGCATTGCACTTCCCAATGACTGCGAACCTATAAAGTTGCTCACTTTTAAAAAGAACCTATCATAAAATAACCTAATATTATTCATTCAAATTTTTCTCTTGTCTATAGGTTCCCTAAGTTTTGCCTTAGCTGGAAACAATATGAACCACAGATAAGAGAAAGTACAATTCTTAGCGCAAATTTGCCTGACAGTCTATCTATCAAAATTAAACATAATTGTCAACTCAGAAGCCAGAAAGTATACTGGTTGATTTAAATACGCCGATTATTAATGGGCTTCTGAAATATCCAGTTAAATATTAATAACATAAATTTATTAGCATAATTTTCATTAGTATTCATATTTGAATTACTACTGCGTCGTTGGTACTATCATTATTTGGAGTACTTTTAACGATAAGTTGATATCAAAATAATTTTAAAAATATTATAGCTGTACGAGATTTTCGAGCAAGTATTTTCATCATACAAAACAAGAAAAGATTATTTTAAAAATAATCAATTTTCATAATGAATTGTGTACACATGTGCCCTGTTGGTGGGACTTAAATACGCGGAGTTCATCCCCTGCAGAGAGATACCCTCTCCAAAGAGGTCATCTTCCGAATGGTTACTTGCATTGAAATCAGACCTACGGCTACTGTTTTATTCTATTTACACTATTTACATTGTTCGGACTGTTGTCTTCGTCTTTGTTGTCATATTCACGACGATTCGGCCGTTCGCGCCCCGGCCTTCTTCAGGCGATTGGAATTTTGAACTGAACCCTTTATTTCGTCCACCGGGTTTAAAAGAGTTGGTCGAAGTAATCCACTGACTTGACCCAAAGAGTTGTGATTTCAATACCTAGTCACAGCAGAAGTGAATGAAAACTTGGAGAGTTGAGATAGTAAAGGGAAATAACTGAAACTGAAGAAGCGGAAGAGGCATGGGACGTGGAACTAGAACAATCTACTTCGATGGATGAAATAAAAGGTTGGATTCAAAATTTCAATCACCGGAAGAAGAGCGAGGCGTACAACGGCCGAAACGTCGTGACTATGACAAAGATGAGGACAACAGTCCGAACAATATAAATAGTGTAAATATATACAATACCTAACCTCAGAAATACAGACGTTTTATTTTAGTATAAAACCGGGCGAATGTCAAACTAACTATTAATTCCTAGTGAAATTTCCACAGTAACGCTTCGTATAGCGTCAGATTATCCAAACTAGCAAAGTAAAATGCCTAAATATGCATTGTTAAAAAGAAAACCTTTTGTATTTCAAAGGATGTTTGTACCAGTGTACTCATTTTTATGCTGCTTTTATTGTTACGACTTCTTCAAGCTTAAAATCCATAAGGGAATAAAATGAATTTAAGAAAAGATAAATTTTACGGGCATAAACAATTATACCAACCGGTTTGCTTCATTCTAAGCAATACGAGCCTCGTAGAGAACGAAAAATCACATAACTGTAAAATGCCATTTCATTCAATTTTTTCACTCTCCAGCGATGTTCTCTTGTAAACTTCGTCCCAGAGAGGATAATTGATAATCTCTAGATTTCGTCACTCTTAGACGTACAATTGCTGATTTTATTTTATTTTTTTATTATTATTATACAGACTATTGTAAATTTTAATGCTTTTATAAGGATCCATCTGATTTTTTAATTATTCCCACTTTTTTTAATTTCCTCTAGTTGAATTATTGTACCTGTTAATCTTGTTCTTCTGGGATCTATGAAACTATTCAATGATAATGGGGTAATGTCTTGAGTACGCTCTGCTATTTGCGGTATTAACGAAGGGACATTTTTGTTATGAGCTTGTATAAAAATGTCATTTAACATTTGTGGGTACTCTTTCATGCTGAATACAAGTACATTCTGGAATAGTAATGCCAATGGAAATGTTTAAACTTATAGAATAAGCGTGCGGGTTGAAATAAACGTCCCGTCATTTTTTTTTTTTTTTTAAGACAAGTTTAACAAAATAATCGTATGGCGGAGAAAATGTTTTGTGAATTTTCTAAGCGTGCCGTACGGAATATGCAGTGTGCCATGTGGAGGGTGAGAATTGAAGGAAGTTATTAAACCGTGCCGGCACATGTAATTGGTACACCCTAGGATGCAAAATAAATATCGAAAGCGTTAAGGATTTGATTTTGAAAAATGCAAATAAAAATAAAGTATGAAATAATCATCTGTGTCACGTCCTTCTTATAGTAACTCAATCAGGATAAGCATGAACATTAGTGTTAAACATTTTCTGAATTTAGTGTGACAAAGCTAACGTTTTTACTCGGACTCTCCGCGAGGTAATAATGTTCTATTACTTGCCAAGTGACGTTATGACTAATTATTGGTTTCTTTTCTGTTTTCAGATATCGACGAATGTCGCATTTCGTTCGGTGTATGTTCCAATGGTACATGTGTCAACACGCCTGGAGCGTTTACCTGTGATTGCAAAGATGGTTTTGAGGGTGTCATGATGAACCAGATGTGCATAGGTCAGAGACAACATTAATTTCAATAGCAAACTGTTGAGAGATAATTCTCCAAGTATATAAAGAAACTAATACATTTTTTAATCGATATCACCCCAAGCAAGTTAGTAAAGCCACTAAGACACGAAGGGTTATAATGTACGGAAGAATTAGGAACAGAAACATTAATAATAAGCGGGAAGAGGAAAGACTAATCCAGAGGACAGTAGATAGCGATTGACATTAAATTACATTTTATGCCTTTTGGATGACTGGCTGATAATAGTTATCTTAAATCTGCGTTGGTTATTGTTGTTTAGCAAGGCAACCAACTGGTTATATCGTTAATAAAGACGGTGTTGGTGAGGTTCTGACTTTATAAAGAGAAAAGATTTTAAAAACAAAAGCTCTACTGCTGGGATCACTCTCCTATGTGTGAAAATCAAGAACAGTGTAAAACAATAAAACAGTGTATTATTAACTATGTAGGACTTTTTTTTTTTTTTTAAATCAACTTACATTATTTTTTGGTTACAATGTTACAAAGACTTTTTTATAAATTTATAAATTTTCTTTTAACAATTTTAAGAAATTCTAGAGAATCAGTATGCTTCTTTTGTAGATGGAACTTGCCACAAATATTTATAAACTAGCATAGTACCCATAAAAAGGTCATTGGATTATTGATATATAGGTTGCCACATCTGCTTAGTTTCAATGTGTTTGCACAACCACATGATGATAAATAAATAAATAAATCCCTCTAATGAAGTTTTGCAGTTACCGAAAGCTGGAACCAAAGAAAAATATAGAATAAATAATAAAATTAAGATATGAATATAAATAATCCAAAACAAATGAAAAGAAATAGGAAAGGACAGTTTCATACTCCCTCTTCTTCACACAATTTCCCAATTGTCTATATACAGAGCCCGCTAAAGGTGTAGTGCACATGGTCTGAAGATCGCTAGTGGCATAAAATTAACATGCAGTGTTGTTTCTATATCTATATAGTTTTATAAAAAAAACAAAAAAAAAAACGCCCTATCCCTATCTAACTGAAGTGCCCCTTTCAAGACGTGGGAGATCATGGCTCTGAGCAATTTCCTGTCTTTTGTAGCTCTTAGTAACATGTCTTTTACTGTCTCTCCTAATTCCTGTTCTGCCAACCATTTACACAAGTTGGGTTATTTTCATCTGCCCCCTCTTGCTTTCTCTATAACCTAAGAGAGTCAAATTTTCTAAGCCGCTTTACCTCATTATGTACTCTAGAAATTTCAAATGTTCCTATGTTAGTTTCCATTTTCTAGCTAAAATGCAGAAAAGCATCAATATTAAAACTAGTATTATTGTAACGTTTCGTGCTCCTGAGTTTATGAAGTAGATGGTAACTAGTCTGGGACAAGTTTACTGATTACAGCACTTAGTACCTATAAAAGATGCATTCTTGCTTATACTTTGTCTGCATGGTTGAGATGAGCTTTTGTTGCTATTGACTCATTCGGATTTTCTGTCTGAATTTTGGATCTGAGAAGTTATTCTTTATTGAGATTATTCAAACTCTGACTATTACTAGGAATATCTTGTTTTTATTTCGTAGTGCTCAGTTATTGATCGCCCCCTTTTCCGCTGAGCCTATGTCTGCACTACCCAGTCTAGAGATTTAACTCGCAATTAGTATGTCACCAGCTTCACGAAACAACGTTTTAATCTACTCGGTCAATGTCAATCCAGAGTCTAGTACTTGGAGCCTTAAACCTATTCTCCAAGCTGCTGACGCTACATGTCCCGCTTCGTTGCATTCACCTAGACATGTACAACGGAACGAGAACAAATCTACGGGCGTAGCTTAAATAATAGAGAGATAATATTCGATAAAGCTTACCCAGATCGATAAGAACCTGATGATCAGAGGGTACAACGACTGAAACGTTGTGATAATATAAAAAAAATGAGGACAATATTCAGACGGTAAATAATATAAATAATCATTTCTTTGTTGTTTTCAACACAACATTAATGTCGCTGCAACTTTAGATACAAAACAACAAATCTGGTTGGAATGCATCAATTTATAACGTCTCTATACATTTTCAAGCATTTGGAGTTTCTTTCAAGGACAGAAATATAGGCTTAACAATCTCAATAAATAGACCAAATTACTACAAAGCCCAAAATAAAAATTAAGAATCCTTTTAAATCGCTTGTGAATATAGTACATCGTTTAAATAAGTATTATTAGAAACGTTTTAAATAGAAAACTGCTTTAACAGTGTTGACAATTTCGGATTTCAAATGGATTACATTTTTTTTTTTTAATTACACGCCCATCTATTCGAGATGGAGCAGTAAAAAATGGTTATCTCCCTTTTTTTTAAATTGTTACGGCTACTGCACTAAACTATTGCGTCGCTTGTCGACCAGCTGCAACAACATAAAATGAATATATGAAAGAGAAAAAAGTATGAGGAAGGATGATGGATGTCCGATGCTTTAGAAGCATTTCCAGAGTAGTTTTTTTTTTTTTTTTCTCTCTAATTTCTGCTGTCGGTGAACAGACGTTTAGGATTAGAAAGAAAAATGCGGCCAACCGGGACAAGAAATATTTACATTCAAATAGAAGAAATTTACTTATTTTTGCACTGCAAAAGCTGACGAATTAGTTTTTGTTGGGAGACGAATTAATTATTTTAACATTGCAAATCTATCCTCACGAGCGACTTGTGTAATTTCAGTCTGTGAATATTCCTGATTCCCTTTTGTCTCTTCCTATTATTATTGCTGCTACTATTAATATCACCAACATTAATCATATTAATGAATAAAATGTATTAAACTCGTTCTTACGAATAGTTAAAATAGACAAATAATCATTTTAAAAAAAAAACTAAATAAGGTAACCATCTTGTAAAGCAAACATATTGGAGCATTAATATTGTTATATCATATTATTGTGATGGCAGCCATTTGTAATTTGGCTACTCGAATGTTCTGATCTTTTTTATGTAGAACAATTACTGTGGTAATGTATATTTATCTATAACTAAATCTGACAACGCGGTCAAAGAGTTAATTTTGTATTCATTTACAGTTCACGGAGTAGCTGTCTCAGCTAAATACAAGAAAAATTTAATACACAATGTTTATCACCGATTAATCATAAGTACAGTAAAATCTATTACATAGTTTTAATTGCCTTTAACGTTTTATCTTTAATTGTACTGTTCATATGACTATAATTATTTGGTATATTATTAATGATAATTGTTTAATATGAAATATATAATATTTAATATGAAAACATTTAAATATTAATATGAAAGCACAATCTTTTTTTTTCATCTTCGCTGATTCAAGTTACACTTCAGTAACCATAGATTTTTTTTTACCAATTCACTGGTCATCTGTAAAATATAACAAAAATACTCGAACATCTTATATATATGTATATATATATATATATATGAAATAAGCGATTAGAGAATTCGAAACGTATATTAAGTTCGAATTCAGTATTTCACTATCCGTGGATTAAGATGAAGACATTTATTTTACACAAAACATCTTTTCATTATAATTCACTTCCTTGTTCATGCATTTAATTCTGTTGGAAATATTAACATAGAACTTTATACAGTCAGCATTCAGCTAATAACTATTGTATCTAATAGTCGCAACAAGTCCTGTCCAGCACAGGTCAAACTGTAACTCATTCCCTGTGTGGTTCACCTTTTATTCAAGCTTTTGACCATGCATGCAAATTAAGGATAGTTTTTAAAACGCTAGAACCACGCATGCGCTTTACCTGAATTGCAAATGGCGACTCCGACCGATCATGCGAGACCTTTTGGCCTCTTAGCCACGGTTAAGTTATAATTCCTTGGTACTATTTCAACACACTTCCCACTGATCGCAAAAAGTGCAGTCGGGTGCAGGTCGCTTCTGACGCATACTCCTTCTGAGGGAGATAGCTCCGACTTGATTGTTTTGGAGTTCGAGGCACTCTCGTATCAATCCCCTAATGCCCTCTTAGCCAAGGGTATGTTAGAATTCCTTAATCCTATTTCACCACAACTATATCTAATGCTTTATCGATGCACGCTGGTATAAGGTAACGTGACTGGGCTAGGATTGTTGACCATTAATATTAAGTAGTGAATTCGATTGTCACTGAATGCCTCACACAAAATTCTACATTAAATAACCCAACAAGGGTTAACATGTAAAATCCATCAATAACATATAGTCTGATGCCCCTGCTATTTACCTTGAGCTCCGTGAAAAGATCCAAAAAAGAATCTGAAATATTATTGGTCATAATCTGGCGGCTCGGCTTCAGTCACTTTCTCGCCGCTGTAAGGTTGCCTGATTTTTCTATAAATACTTTCATGGTAATTGTTCGAATAAGTTCTTCGCTATTATACATATGGGGACTAGTTAGGATTTTCATAGAGACAATGAGATATTATGGTGGATGTAGTAAGAAAGAATTCATTGTTTTGGGGTTAGGAATATTGTTTGTATGTTTGGGTCAGTGTTTGTGGCTAGCTAAGTTTAAAGTCAAGACAGAAGACCATCTTTCCCCATTTTGGCCTTGTGCCACATTTTGTAAATACAAATAAATATCGCTCTTCACTATGGTGCCTAGAGTTTTTTTTTTAATTTAAACACAGCACTAGACTGGCGTCGAGATTTCTTCAATTTACAGTTGAGCTGGTTAAATGTAGTCGTAAATTCTATACTAACTTTTCGCGCACTTCTCGCTTGTGGGACTCAGTTCCGGCTCAATGCTTCCCACCTAACTTTAATCTGCAAAAAGTTAAATGCAATGTCAGTGGCTATCTATTGCCCACCTGATTACTCCCTTCGCTTTTCTGCTCATCATTAATATTTCTGTTCCTAATTCCTCTACACCTTGTAACCCCTTGTGTTTTATTGGTATTACTTCTTTGCTTGGGGTGATTCCAATTAAAATAAAAACAAAACACCGCATAATCTTTCAAGGGAATAAAAGTTTTGACATATTTGTTTAACGAATCATCCTCTGATTAATATAATTTGCATTGCATTTCTACAGTAAAATAATTTCCAATTAATTTCTATATGTGCTTTTATTATTTACAGTGTCACTGGATATATAACCAACGGGGGGGTAGATTTTCGTAGACTTATTTAATAAAAACTGATCGTGATATCATGGGTTGCATAAAACGTTTAATGACTTCAGGGAGAAGCAGCCTGAATGTCATTCCTAAAATATTTATTCTATTGCCACTTTTAATTTCTTAATTCATAAATTTTCATTTTAGATGTGGATGAGTGTGTAAGACGTCAGCCCGCTCCCTGCCGTGGAGGGACTTGCGTAAATACTGCAGGAGGCTTCCACTGCGAATGTCCTGAGGGTCACGAACTCTCCCCAGACAAGATGACATGTAAAGGTATGCTAATACAATCAATTCTGTAATCTGAAATGTATACAATTCTAACACCTATCGTCTTTCCGTCATGCTTATCTCTTCCTTTTATCGATATTGACAGTTTGTCTGAATTTCTGCGATGAGGAATTATCCTTATAATATACTGATGTTTTTATTTGGTCGTTAAAATCACCAACTTTCGACCGTTATACATTTCGGTCTTCATGTATCTTTCTCAGAATTTCGTCTATAACTAAGATAGTAACACTGAAGAACCAAGAGAGTTCAAAAATACGCTTACATTCTAAACTCTGAAAACCCCTTCAATATGTCTAGCACAGAACTAAATACGATATGGTAGTCTTTGATCAAGAAAGAACTGACGTTAAGCTTTTTTCAGAATTCTGCTAAGTGGGCATCTTAAGCGACTGAATATAAATCTTAAATTTATAAATTTTTATCCTGGAATAGGTATATAAAATCCATATCCTTAAAGAAGCGATATTACAAGGACAAATTATCAAATATTATAATTATAATAAATTATAATTAATACGATTTATCTCCCCTAAGCACGGACAACAGAACGAAAACAATCTGCATGGATTGAATTGAGAGTTCACTCGAAATTACGATATTTCCGAGGGCACCAGTTACAATAAATTAGTGCAAAATAAAGATAATGACAAAATTTATTGCGATAGGAGATTAGCTAAGAGTGTGGATAAGATTATCTTATACTAGTTATCCAAGTGAGGAGGGCTTGTCTGCCTTGAAAATCGGTAATTGAAATTCTACCTGAATTCGAATACTGATCTCTGGCACCAATAGGTAATACGTAATATTTTCAGTAATGAAATTACGAACAGATTTGTAAGTGAAGAAATGATTAGCAAATTGGGCAACAGTGAGTTCGATCCTTAATAATGTTCTGCTTGTGGTCTCTTGAAAGACAAAGGTAAGCTTGATTATTTTTTTTTTTATGAAAAGAGAAAGAAATTTATTAAAACGAGTAAGTACTGAAAGTACTCAATTTCGGAATCCTCTATGGTAAATTTCCATTCTAGATCACCCAAAATATCTTTTTCTGTTTTTTACTTATTTTATTTTTTAAAAAAGTATTGCCGATAATGCGGGCTAATTAAAAACAATATTGATAAAGAGAAAAATGTTAAAAAAAACTGAATGAGATCGGTTAAGTTCATCTCCATACACCGAGCGTCAACTTTATATTTAAAGGCTGAGGCACTCCATGTATTCCCTGCAATTCTAATACATAACACACACACACGGTGTATCATAAATACGTTTACAAATTTTAGGCCGGGTTCTTCACACCAAAACAAGAACAAAAGTCTTTATATACATATGTCCGCAAAACCTTCGTTTTTGATTTAAAGTTTAAAGAAAATTCACGGCAAATGGAACACTTTGCAAATGATACAGATAAAGGAGCTGCTCTTGAAGTACCCTCTATGAGGTACTATGAGATGTACGACATACTAGGGCCACTTGACGTGTGCTGATTCCTAGATCGTCTCCGTCAGCCTGTAGAATGTGTTCTTCGGGATTAGGCGTACGAGCGGATCCGTCTTCCTCGATCCATAGTTTGTGGTACCACGGATCCTGTCTCAGCAACGCGACGATAAACAGCAGCAAAGGTTGGATGACTCGGCTGCCTTCAGTCTGGGAACGCAATCTGATACAGCCGTGCAGCCTCGTGTTTATTACCATACGTGAGGCCGTATTTAAAAATCATATCTGCCTGCTGACAATATGAATATCCTGCCATTGTTAAACGGAACACATCTCCGTTAACTCACTATTACACACATTTTAACGTTGAAGACAGACTAGCCACAAATGTACATAATGACAAATATAACCTCGTCTACATAACAACACAAAACCATCTACCGTAAACTTTCTGTTAACTTAACTCAAAAAGCGAAGGAAATGCGGACATGTTTATAAGGTTTTTTTTCCTTGTTTTTTGGTGTGAGGAACCTGCCCCTAAAATTTGTATTTTTGATACATCCTCTGTGTGTATATATATATATATATATATATATATATATATATATATATATATATATATATATATATATATATATATATATATAATCAAATGTGGATTAGAATCGACAGAATGATAAGATAAGGAACAAATAGGAAGCTTTTAAAATTTAACATATTTCGCTTTTATTTAAGCTTCATCAGAATATGAAATATGGAGGAGAAAAAATTCTGTTCTTTTTTTCATTGGTTCAGCAAACTTCACGTATCTGCTCTGTGAAGTAGCGTTTGTGTCTATAATTTGAGTGTATCACCTTTCTAATTGATCTGTGCAGGGTTCGGTTGATAATGTATAGTGTGTGCGCATTTGAGAGTCTAGTGAACATTTTTCATCTGTGTCTGGTAGTTGTCCGTATGTTGATCGAAGGTGTTTTATGTGAGAGTAAAAATAACTTAAGTCGCACCGGTTGTGGTTGTAAGTATCTAAAATCTGTCTACCTACAACCACAAAGTAATAAAAACTTTCGGATTAAAATAAATTAATTCTTCACACACACACACACACACACACACACACATATATATATATATATATATATATATATATATATATATATACACGTACACACACACACACACATGATGGGTAAATTGCGCGTTGTTTTTGATCGAGGGCACAGTATAGTAGGGTCAGCTGGGCACAGTCTGTGAGAAAAAGACCACCATAACGCAACTCCACCTGAAATTTGGAAACATGCTATACTGCTTCGCATTCGCGCCAATACGAAAGATTTCAGTGTGTTTTGGTGTCAATCTGAGGACAGTGCGGAGAATTCGGAAAGAGTTGGATGAGTCTAATGGTGATAACGAAGATTTTTGGATGACCACTAGTGATGGCGACGTTATGCCTCCATTCATCTTCGCACATGGTCTCAGCCTCAACACGGAGGCTTATAGCAAGTGCCTTGAGGAGGTAGTGCTGCCCTGGGTCAAGAGGGTGGCTGTTGGAATTTAGACGGCAATTTATCCATCGCACTGTGTGTGTGTGTGTGTGTACATATATCATTCACATTTGTCTTTTATTTCTTCACTTTTTCATCTATTTTGTATATTTCTTCCTCTCTACTTCATAAAATAGCGTCCATTTTTCTTTCAACTTGGTTTATCGGTTTGCGTTCATGAACTGCGTGTATTTTCTGTTTGATTCGATGCAACCATTATCACAGATATTTTCTTTTTCTTTAGATGTTGATGAATGCTCCATCGACAGCGCTGTCTGTTCCAATGGCGTGTGTGCTAATTACATGGGAGGCTATCAGTGCAGCTGTTTCAATGGATATAAGCCTAATCCATCCAAAACCTCTTGCATTGGTAAGTATTTATTTCTATCATATCAGCCATAGTATATAACCTGTTTAATGTTCGTTATTCCCCTTCCCAAATGCTTCCGCGTCTTCATCTTTAACCAAAAGATTAATATCAAGATGTTTTAAATATCGAAATAACGGAATTTTTTTCTATGAATGATTCCGACTACTGGCAAAGACAGGCTTGGAGAACTTAACACTTTTAGAGCGCATTACCAATAATGGATTCAGAGGAAAGTAGCAACCAGCCTACTCATGCTTGAGCAAATGAATAGACGAACAATGACATGGTAGATAAAGTAATACTTATTCCTGTATGAATCCTGACAGCAGCAAAAAAGGAAAGTGTAGAGAATCATAATTTCTCGTATCCTGAAGGGAAATAACACAGGATATTCTGACTTTTATTTAGACCACAACACTGCAATCAGTGTTGTTTTTAAAACAAATAACGTAGGGATACTATAATAACGAATAATGCAGGTAATAATAAAAACCATTTCTCCTCCGTACCCCAAAACTTTAAATAACGTTAGTCCGGAATACATCGGTCGAACTATTTTCACCAAAGCAACGATGGTCGTTGTCATTTAGTAAATTCTAAAAAAGAATCAAAATGAATGTTTTAATTTTATTAAATGAACTATTATCATTAACTGTTGAGATTTTTGTACTAATATCCCCATCCTGAGCTATGTGGTGTAACGGCTCGGAATGAGTAATCGGAGAGCAGCTTTCGAATTTCAGTCGGTTTTGCTACATTCAGTTATACGCAAATACCCTTGGAGAAGGTATGAATCCATTTCTTCTCTCTCCAGTTATGGGTTTACATTTGGTTAAAAGTCGATCTACCGCAGAATGAAACAATACTGAACATCTTATGCTTGGTTAGTCATGGTGATTTTTCTAGGCTTGGATTAGATGTGACACAAGGCCGAAATTATGAGACACCCAGCGAGGATCGAATTCACTACTCAATCGTAATTGTTCTAGTGAGATAAGCTTGCTGACAATTGCACCACGTCGAGGTGCCTGGTCTATCAGGAATCGAAGATATGATCGCCCAAACGTATTACGTATTGCACTAGACTGACTCATCCTCAAACTTCTTAGTATTGACTTTTCGGTCGATAAATTTTTCATTAAGATTGCACTGAGCAAAATGAATTAATAAAACCAAAAAGAATAAAATTTTAAAAAAGACAGCAATTGTTAATTAATCAAACTTTATACGTCAATATTTTGTTTCAAATGACTTAAAAGTATTCGCATATTGGATTACAGGCATAAAAAGTGGTTTTACTAGCAGTTTCTCTTATTTATAATTATGTGCAAATATCAAGACTGGCGACGGGACAATACTGAAGGCGTTTCGAGTAAATGTCCATCGAAAGTGATATAATGTGCGAATATTATGTTGGACGAATTCTGTACTCGATAATATCGTATTTGACGGATTGTTGCAACCTCCAACCATATTTTCCTCCCATAAAATGGCTAAAAAATATCTTCCGGATCTTATACATGAATATGAGGTATTTGGTATGTTTATATTAACTGAGACACCATAAACAACGAGTGCTTAGATGCAGCCTATGCATCTATCATATTGAAAATATTAGCATGGAAATGAGGTTGGTAGGGTCTTATATGTTGTCTAATACAGTAATTAAACCAATTTACAGGGAAGAAAAATGAAATTAAATGAACCGAATGTTAAATGTACCAGATTGCCTTGTCTAATTAGTAGCTGTTGAATATTGCCCTCATGTTATTAGTTGCATTTATCTTTTTTTTGTTTTGTTTTGTCTTGATATGTTTCAGTTTCTCTGTGTTAGCGATTGTTCTTTCTTTGTGCAGATATTAATGACTGTGCCGTTAATAATGGAGACTGTATGTCTCTTTGCATCAATTTACCCGGTTCTTTCAAATGTGGATGTGAGATGGGATACATGCTTATGCCTGATCTGAAATCCTGTCAAGGTAAATTACTGTTGCACTTTTCTATCTCGCACACACACACAGTCTCTCTCTCACTCACACACACACACACACACTAAATCGCTCGTACACATATACACATTCTCATATTCATGTAAATGCATGATTTCTAACAATATATTTCTCGAATATTCAGGCCAGTAGAAGAAAATAAATACACTGTTTAATAAATGAATAAAAACCGAACATCTGCTCGAATAAGCATCCCTTAAAAATAACGTTTAAACAAACGTAAATTAAAAATATGTCTGATTAATAAATGAAAAATCCATTCCTAAAAATTCTTTGTCTGCGTTAGGATATGAAACAGCGGATTTAGTTAGAAAACTTGGAAATATGTGTTCATATGTACTATTCGGGCTTTGTTTCACCAGGAGATCTAGGGGACGCAGGTTCGAATACTGCCGGAAGGCGCTTATTTTTCTAACAATATTTCTTGAATATTCAGGTCGGTAAATTGAAATAAATAAATATACTGTTTGATAAATAAGTAAAAACGAAGCATCTATTCAAATATGAGTATCCATTATAAATAATGTTTAAACAATGTTTGGTTAAATAATTTAGACATGTCGATTAATTTTCGTCATGATCCTTTCAAGTTCGCCGGTGAGGTTTTTTGTAGCCTTAGAAAATTGAGTAAGAAAAATACCAAAATTTTCTTTCGAATATTTTATTTTCCCCAAGCACTTTCAACCTCATTTGAGACTATCTTCAGGGGGTTAAGTTGTCTGTGTGTATGTATGTGTGTTTCTGTGAATTTAAAACATTTCAACTATTTTTTGTTTTTGTTTTGTTTTTTTTTGTTTTTTGTTTTTTGGTGGGGTTATTGCAGCGTTCTAGATTTCAAAGTTCACGTGTTCTTTGGATTTTTTTTCCAATATAAGGGAAGTAACTTTTTGGCTTTTTCTCATACATACATATATATAATATATATAATATATATATAAAAATTCATAAGCACTTAAGGACTTTGTTGCTATACTCATAGTTGACTTTATTTATTTTGAGCTTTAACTCTTTTTATATAAAGGGCTTCAAGGATTTGTAATTTGGGCTTGTTATTTTTTATGTAATATAAATGTACTTTCAACTAGTATCCGTCTAATCTGTGAGCGTGAGCAAGAGTGTTCCTTTAAGTGCTGATAGATTGAGCTATATTCAGCCAAATAAAATGTAAGTTTTTTGGGGGTTTTTTGTTAGCATCGTCGTACTAAAGCCAACGAACAATCCCCCAAAGTACATTTAAATTGATATATGGACTCAGATGAGATTCAAAGTACTTGGGGAAAATAAAAACTATTCGAAGGAAAATTTTGGTATTTTTCTTACTCAATTTTCTAAGTCTACTGAAAAATTAATCCGGGAACATGAAAGGATCACAACGAAAATTAATCGACATATATCTAAATTATTTAACCAAACCTGTTTGAATTAAAATAGCCTGCCTAAATAATCACAGCACATGATTATTATGAGGCAAACGACTGCGCTGAGAAATGTAATTGCTATGAAGTCTAGTTCGAAACTACATTTTTATGTTTAGTTTAACACGGGAATGATTAATCTTTTTATAATTATTTTCATAGTGATGTGGCGTTATAAATATGCGAATCCCAATAAACCCAGGCTGATGAGGTTATACCAAGTACATGCGTCACAACTAAATGTATACGATATGACGATTGTGTGTTTGGGGTGGTGTCGTTTAGTTTAGCACCCAATCTGTTTGGGGTGGTGTCGTTTAGTTTAGCACCCAATCTGTTTGGGGTGGTGTCGTTTAGTTTAGCACCCAATCTGTTTGGGGTGGTGTCGTTTAGTTTAGCACGCAATATGTTTGGGGTGGTGTCGTTTAGTTTAGCACGCAATATGTTTGGGGTGGTGTCGTTTAGTTTAGCACGCAATATGTTTGGGGTGGTGTCGTTTAGTTTAGCACGCAATATGTTTTGGTGTCGGGCACGCAATATGTTTGGGGTGGTGTCGTTTAGTTTAGCACGCAATATGTTTGGGGTGGTGTCGTTTAGTTTAGCACCCAATATGTTTGGGGGGGTGTCGTTTAGTCGACACATGAAAAGTGTCGATTAGCGTGTTTATGGTAATTTATATTCAGTAAATTGCAATTTCCCATTTTCTCCTAAACTGGCCAGTATAGCCAGGCAACAATGCTTTCACACTGAAGAAATGAAAGTGTTGATAACGCCAATTTCTTTATTTGACGCAAATTCAATCCACGCGACCCGGTCAGGTTCAGTCATTTCGACAATTTTAATTAAAGTCGATTTTGTCGCTCTGGAAAAAAATTTTAAAGTCTATTATCTACTAAAATATCATTAACACAAAATAACCGCGCAAAATCTTCAGTCAATCAATGGTTACGTCCACCTCGCGTTGAATCATCGCGTAAGATCACCGAAGTTAAGCAACACCAATCTTGGTCAGTACCTAGATGGGTGATCGTTTGGGAATACCAGTTGCTGTATGCTTGGATGTGCGGTTGGTGTAATGGGTTATGGCTCGGAATTGTTAATTTGAGAGCATAGTTCCAATTTCCATTGTGTCCGTTATATTCACTTACGCGCAAATATCCTTGCGAAAGGTACGAATACCTCTTCTCCTCCAGCTATGGGTTAATTAGTAAGACTTGTATCACTAAAATTATCTAAAAATAATAATCTAAAAATATTTTCTGGTTTTAAATAACCTGAAAAGGGGTTAAGCTACAAAAAATACAAATCGATTTATTTAGTATTTACTTCAAGGAAAATAAATAAATTTTGATTAGTTTTGTTTGTTCAAACATGTCACCATCCTTGAAACCCTCAAAACATCAATTTTCTTCAATACTATCGATATGTGATTTTATATTATCTATTACGTTATATTTTTCATTGATCTCGGTTGGATCGCGGAAGTTTACCTACTTCGGTTTCTTAGTAAATGCCTGTGGTAACACAAATATGTACTAGCCACACTCTACGAAATAAGAAGGTCAGCTTTGTACTCTGAATCACCTCAGAACATCAAGAGCTAGATGTGTCGAGACGTTGGTGACCTCAAAGCCACCAAATGCAGAATTAAGACCTGTTATTCTTTCCTTATATTCGAGTTCTTTATTAATTTCCTAGAAGTATCTCCCCCCACTTCTGTCTTTCATATCTATTTTATTTGTGCAATATTTATATGACACCAATGCAATATCTACCATCTCTGCCTTTTTTTAGATGTCGATGAATGTCGTGAACGGGAGGATACCTGCGGAGGTGGTGTGTGTACGAACACAGACGGAGCCTACAGTTGTCTTTGCACGGATGGATTGCGATCATCAAGTGACAACAAGCAGTGCCTGGGTAAGAAATCCTCTTGATTTACTTTGAATGAGACCTCAGGTGAATCACGACAATGACCAATATAATTCGGATTTGACTTCCATTAAAATAAATATCGCTTTTTAAAAGAAGTTTATAAGTTATTCATTTTATTTTCCAGATTTGATTTGATTTTTCTCTGATGAAAAAAAATATCAATCTTCCTAAATTTCGAATAAATAATTTGCATCTGTCTCCAGACACTTATCTCTGAGTTAAGTTATTTAGTAACCACCGGAGAAAGATAGTCTAAGGAATTATGAGCAAAAGCAAGATGAAATATTATTTGAAAAAAATATTGACAATTTGAAACAGATTTTTATAGTATTTTAAACTGAGAGAGCTTGCCACATAAGCCAGTCTATAAAATATTAATGAATATGTCACCAGCAAAGATATCAAAATTAACAAGGAATAAATATCACTTATGATCAAAATTGTAAGCCTTTTTAAGTTTGACTTAATTCTTGGGGTATTCGAATTAAACAAACTAAGGAAATTATACTGTTGAACCTGTTAAAAGCTATTATGATGTTTTGTTATTGAAGGAAAAACTGTCTATTTCGAGAATTATTTTATCTTATATAAATCTCTCATCTACATTCTTTTCTAGATATCGATGAATGTGAAAATCCTGATATCTGTCGAGTCGGCACATGTGTCAACACCCAGGGTTCATTCACTTGCAAGTGTGATATCGGCTATTCCATGCAAGAAGACAATGGTGTTGGATGCTACGGTAAATTAAATAAAAATATTGCTTTTCATCCATTTATTTCTGTCTCCTATTGTCCTATTTCAGCGACAAATGATAGAATCGCTTCAAGATTTGTTATTAACGTTTTCAAGCTAATTTTAGTTAGTTTTGCTAACTTGGCTATAAATTTAGCATAAATAAAATGAATAAAAAGAGACATAAAAAAAAACCGGATATTTTTGTTTTTTTAGTGATTTCCGCCAGGAAATGTAAGAGGTTTGATTTGAATTTAATATCTACTAGGAACCTTTTGAGTTGGGTGCCTCGGGACTTTGGTGATTTCAAAAGCCACCAATTGCAGAATCAAGACTCTGATAACGACGGTGGATTTGCCGAAGCAAACAGGAAACCTGGTTAGTGTCTAGATGGATGACCATTCAAGAATACCAGGTGCTGTAAGCATGGAGGTGCGAGTGGTGTAATGAATAAAGGCTCAGAATGAGAAATCGAAGAGCAAATTCCAGTCAATTTCGTTATATTCACTTGCGTATAAATATCTTTCGGAAAGGTGTGAATCCACATTTTCTCCTCTTAGCTACGGGTTAAATAGTAAGACTTGTATCAGAAAATTATCTCCTAAAAACATTCTTACAATCTACAAATGTTTCGGCTTTAAGTAGCCTCAAAAGGGTTGATAAGCCGTAAAAAGACAATGGCAATGCTTCCACATTTACTGCCTAATTGCGCTTTCGCTGCAGTGACGACGACAGTTAAATTAGAAAAATTTTAAGGCAACAAATAAAACACCTAATTTGGTCGCATTACCAAGTTTTATGACACCGTAGTACGTACCTGAAGATAAACGGTCCTGATTTCATTGTTACAAGTCATTCTTGACTAAAGTAGAATTGAACAAAGTCACGACATCGTATGTGGTTAAGTATGTAGCTCAAAACTGGTGTTTGGCGATGCTAACCGTTGTTCTGTGGTGGGCCGTATCGGTTGCGTCACTTGTTCTCTACGGCTATCAAGTAAGTGCACCAATGTCACATTGTCTATTTACTGAAAGTTAAATCGGCCGACTTTTCACCAAGATATCTTTTAATATTAAATAGCACAACGCATATGGCATGTATTGATTATTTTTATTGTCGCTAATAAGATTTTGTCTAGTATTTCTCGCCAGAAAATCTCAACTTCTCACTAATTGCTGGTTTGTCAATTCACGAGCTAATGAAAAGGCACCGTCACATCCTTTTTTCTCTGTTTGTGTATGTTTCTTTTATTTGCTAGACTTCTGACCATCAACTGACCCAGTCAAATATACATTATTTCAGAAATACGATACGTTTCCAACAACCTGTGTGGTTGCTTTTTAATTAGATTCGTTTTCTTCCTGTCCTTTATTTTATACACACAATGCTACTGAACATCTGGAACATGCAAAGATCTAGGAACAATTAGGCACTTACCAGATGTGATGTCTTCATACGTCGGAGATATATATAAAATAATGTATGTATGTGTGTGAAGAATAAGAAAACAATTAATTTTATAAACAAACAGATAAAGTAAATTCTTTTGTATCAATAGATCTTGTTCTTTAATATCTGAGACGTACGGCCACATCATGTTGAAACACCGGTTCACGTACGATCATCGAACTTAAGCAACATCGAGCCGGGTGCCTAGATTAGTGACCACTGGGGAATACTAGGTGCTGTTAGCTTGGATGTGCGGGAGGTGCAATAAATAATGGCTCGAAATTGTTCATCGGAGTTCCAATTCCCAATGGATTCGTTATATTCCCTTACGCGCATATAACCTTGGAAAGGTATGAATTCATTTCTCCCCTTAGCTATGGGTTAACTTTTATTGTAAACCATTACCTCAAAAATTCTTACAATCTAAAAAGAAATATTTTTCTAGCTTTAAATAACCTACAAAGGGTTAACCTGTAGAAAACGAATCAATCCATCAAAATATCCCTGAAAAATAATGAGGCATTTCAACCATATCCTCTTGGCGTCAGTTTAAACTGATACCTGTTTTTTTCAATATAACTAAAACTCTAATTTGGAGAAATAAATTTTTCGCTAAAATATGTTGGAAAACTTCCAAGTTTTCATCTGAAGTCAAGAAAATATGAACGGTCACAATATATGTGAAAATAAGTATCAGTTAAAATTGATTTAACAAAGGAAAAAGTTTGACTGAATCTACGGCACAAGAAACTAGTTGAACATTTCTTTATTCACTCACTACAAAAGCCACCCAAGGTAGAGGATTACTGTGTGATGTTGTGTGAGCGTAAGTTCAAGCAAGAAGTGTCCATGGCTTTATGCAGGAAAGATAACGCTGAAGAGGTCAAGATTATAGCGGTTAGGAAAACATCCTGCTGGGAGTCTGTTCCACGAAACAGATGTTCTTGGGAAGAATCTGTCTGAATTTACTTACTGTTGGAATACGAATGGAACGAGGATGAGTCACCCTTTTGTACCTAGCCTGGCGGGTTCTAGTTGCAAAGGTTATGTGTGGTGAGACTAAGGAACGTAGCTAGTCAGAACACAGGCCATGGAAATAGCGATAGAGCAGACCGCTAGGAAAAGATGTTAAAATAAATCTGAACTTATATTGGGTGCATACGGATAGAAAATGAACCGGGTGACTACACGAAAATAAAAAGTTCCGTAAGGCAAGGATGTCTCTTTTTACACCGGATTTATTCAACCTTTGCATTGAGGTTATCATACCAGGATTTATTATCGATGGGCACAATCTTAACAATATAAGAAACGCAGCTGACATTATTTTAATGGTAGAAACAGTAAAAAAAAAAAAATTACACGACCTCCTAGACAAGGTGGTAAAGAAAAGTGGGAAGAAAGAACTATCAATTGTAAAATGCTGGTCAATTGTTGAATCAAAGAAATGAACTTATTTTCAAGTGTCGACATAACAAATTTAGAATTCTCTAAAAACATTGGCTTTGAAGGATATACACTTGAAATGTTGATTCTTATTTTATATGGGTAAAAACATGTGTGTACGTGTATTCATATGTATGTATTTAGTTATGTTGCTTATCACACACACACACACACACGTGTGTGTGTGTATAATTGTTGGTTCTGACATCATTCATAATTTTTAATTTAATATTTTATATTTTACTTATTTATTACTATTATCTTTATTTTTATCTTTATCCAATTTTTTATATTCTAAATTTGTTCATTATAATTATTTAAATATATTAGCTTTATTTATTGATTTTTCGATTTTTAATTTTTTTTTTATTTATTTTATATTTTATTTGTTGGATACAGTTTTTATTACTATTAGTTTACAATGATGATTATAGTATTATGTGATGATGATGCTGGCTAATCTGACCTCACTTTCGCTGATTTTAGGCACATTCTTGTAACACTTAACTTCCTATCCCTTACCTGATATATTAACTTTTTCTCTCTTTATGTAAACTCTTTTAAGGAAATTTTTCTATGTCAATTTATTTTTGCTATTAGCTCATCCTTTATTTCTTACTTCTTCCCTTTTTTTTTTTCTCTCTTTTTCCCCTTTTTATCCCGGTATATTTGTCTGGATGGATTGATTCTATTTCTTTAAAAAATATTCTGTCTGAATATAACAATATTCATGTAATAAATTATAACACAAATGGATTTTTAAGGTATTCTCTTAATTTATCATAAATTGCTCGGTAACTTACGAGCTCTCATTGGATTAAAGTTATCTTTGGAATAATCACTACAAATTACATATTAGTATATATATATATATATATATATATATATATATATATATATATATATATATATATATATATTTATCCCCAAGTATATGATTGGTGTATACGGAATAAATTCCAATAACCAACAATTACTATTCTTAAAAGAGTGCTCAATACAGAGTAGAGCGAATATAATTATTTATTTAAAAATTATAACATAAATATGTTATAAAATCACTACAAAAATAGCCATTTTGTTTCAATACTTCTGGTGTCTTATCAAGTGATGTTGAATGTAGATTGTAGAATAAATTCAACATCATCACTTGATAAGACACCAGAGGTGTTGAAACAAAATGGCTATTTTTGTAGTGATTTTATAGCATATTTGTTATAATTTTTAAATAAATAATTATATATACACACAATGATGTTGAGAATACGCTGGACGGAACATGTGAACAACGAAAAACCTTTAAGGAAAATAGAGATAAAATGAAAATTATACATCAGATCAAAAAGAGTTGAAATTTCTGGGACATATGCGAAAAGAAGTCGTGGAAATTTTGACTCGCGGGATATACTGGAGACAGGGAAATATTAATATTTACATTTATATATATATATATATATATATATATATATATATATCTGGATGTTTGTTTTTTATTAATATTTACATTTCTTTTTCTACAGATACAAATGAATGTTTGACCGGTGAATCCAAGTGTGATGTGAACGCAGAGTGTTTCAACACTGAAGGTTCTTATAAATGTGACTGCAAACCTGGTTACAGGGGTAACGGTTTCAAGTGCAGAGGTAGGATAATTATCCATTCACACATTGATGATTTTTTTTTTTTTTTTTTTTTTTTTTACGTGCTTTCGATGCGGGGAGCCAGGTCGTTTGTTATGGAATTGTTCGGGGGGAAAAAAGACAAGGTGGAGAGTCCGTAGTGCCAGTCGCGTCCCACGGTAAAATGTGAATTCAGCGCGACCCACAATAGAGGTGTACGTATGCGGGAAGAGACGTTGTGCTGGTGGATTCAGGGCGTTCTCGGAAGCAGAAAGGTGTGCCGGACATGTTAAAAAGAAGAAAAAAAAAGGCTGTTGAAGTGATGACTCTTAGGTGGAGAAACGTCCATTAATGATCTCTGACAGATCTTCGGGTAAACTGCCGAAATATCTGTATCAATCTGTTTCACAATTCTAATTGCGGCGTCTTTGTCCTTGAACCTCACAGCTGACTCGTTTTAACATATTCCTCGCCGTCCGTAATCCATTTTTCTTTCAAAGAAAAAAAACTTGCTTTTATGTGTGCCTCGGTCAGTTATACAGATTTTTTACATGCCCACCTACAGGCATTCATTTGGTCCTAAGGTAGTATGCAACTTACATGACCGTGTATGGCACTGGCGATTTTATTCCTCTTTCATCGGGGAGACAGGCTGTCTTTTACATCTCGTTTTATATAAGACTGAATCATGGAGTCTATGAGAAGGAAACAATTTCTTTGGCTAATCGTATTAATATAAGCTAAATAGTTTCAGTTTGAAGGTTACGGTGTGGATATTCGTATTTTAAACATTTTTCTCTCAATATAACCCTTTCTGTTATATCCACTTTTATATCGTTACTGATCTATTCGTATACACTGAGTAAGAGGTCAAAGTTGATCGCAGCTTGTGATAGTGGTTTCTTATTTTTGTAGTCATGAGTTCGTAAAACTTGTGGATATGTATAACCCTGAAAAGTAGTCACACATAATTTCTAAAACTCACATGAAAGAAATTGTTAAAAGTATAACGGTGTCTTCTGTCAATATCTTATTGCTACTGTTATTATTCAAGAGCTTCTAATCTCATTCGACCCGAACTATTCAAATGACTCTAAATGCTATCATGTATACATGAACAAAGACATACATGTGTGCGTAAATATGCATATGCAATTAAGCTACAAAAGAATTTAGCCTTTCTTTATTGGAATGACCTCCATTACTATAAAGAAAGGCTTATTTAAGACCTTTCGAAGTCGATATATTTGCCAATTATATTTTCGTACTAGTAACGTAAAGTAATTTTAAAGCAACTAATGAATTTTTCATTCGAAATTATTTTTATCACTATATTATATTTAGTGGGTATACGTGTTTGCGTAGGCAACAGTTTTTTGGGTTTTTTTCATCCCAATCAAAGCGGAAGTGCCAGTTGTACGCAAGGTGTTAGAAAGTCAGAATAAAGAGTGTTTTGTTTTGCTTTTTTTTAAGGAAATAATAAAGAGAAGGACGAGGTTCAAGATCAAAGCAACAGAAGAATGACATTACATTTGAATATTTGAAGATTATAGCTATCAGGGAAGCAAGTAAATGGAAGGGAGTTCCATTGTCGGGAAGTGCAAGAGAAGAAGCTGTTGGAGTAGAAGAGGCAGTTACATTTAACTGTTTCGACAGTAAAAGGGTCAGACCGTGATGCCAACCTAGTAGTACGCTTAAATTCATGCATTTGGGGGTACCAGTGAAAGTATCTCTTCAGAGCAGTTGCCATGAAAATATTTGGAGAAAAAACAGAAGAGACACACATCATGTGTGTGAGAAAGTGATTAGCCGATATGCCAGGTCAGGACCTATATTGTCTACCGTTTCAGTGGCTTAAAGAAAACCCGCTTGTCTACAAGAATCGAATCATTTTTTCTCCTTTAATCTCGAAAATTGTTTTCCTAAATATGCTTTTATTTTTTGTTTCCTAATCACTTCATACGAAGTAAGACAATAAAGCCACTAAGACGCATGGGGCTACTAAAAATGAAAGAAACTGAGAAAGCGTTAAAGAAAGAAAGATTCGTGGAGACCGAAGTGGATTCATGTTGCATTTAAATTTTTAAGTTCGTAGTTGACAGGAAAGCAAGAAGACGGAAGAGAGTTCCACAAGTGATAAGTACGAGTGAAGAAGCCATTAGCATAGGCCTTGTGCTTATACTTAGCAATTTTAATAGTAAAATGATGAGACCTAGCTGCCAATTCAGTACTGTACTTAATTTCGTGAAGTCGTGATACCAAAGAGGAAAGCTCATCAGAACAATTACCATGAAAGTATTTATAGAAACGGGCACAGGGAAGCTACGTTACGGCGGTGGAAAAAGACTAAAGTCGAGATGCCAGGTCAGGACCGATAAGGTTGCAGATTCTTTGGGTTTTGTCAAGAATCTCTAGATACAGACCAGATGTGGCAGCAATATTTTTATGCATGCGTCTGCATAATATATATATATATATATATATAGAGAGAGAGAGAGAGAGACAGCATAAACATATTTAGTTACTGTGTGTACGTTTACGCGCTACTCTCTCGCACAAATAATAATTATGTGGTTCCTAGCTTCATGGCAAAATGACGCATTTTTAATTTTCGCTGAAATGAATATGACTGGTTTAAATTCCACTCAAGGAGTGGACAGACCTAAAAAAAAAAGAGTCTTGTAAACCAGTTATAGTGTGATGATGTTAAGAAATATATTTAAAATGTATGAAAAGCAAGAAAAAAAGTTTAAAAATTGGAAATCTCTACCTCGTAACATTTTACTCCGAGTACAAATTCTTGAACTGTAAACTTTGTGTATCCTGCTGATTTTTCTATCCGCTGTGCTATCACTAAGAACTAAATTTATTTACAAAGATGTTAGGATTTCTATTGTCATGACAAATACAGTTACTTAAGCTCTTTAATGAAAATATTGGTAACACAATTTTATATATTAATGTTTCTTTTGTGCCAGAAAAATAATGTTCTTGATATTATAACAATATTTAATAATCCTCAATAGTAATAATTTTGTTCCTTATTGCTACATTCTCCTTTATCTGGTTTTCATGTCACAGTAGCTCTTATTTTTCATGTCACAGTAGCTATTAGGCTATATCACGTTGAAATATTGGTTCTCGTACGCTTATCGAAGTTGAGAAACGTCGAGCCTGATCAGTACCTAGATGAGTGACTGCTTGAGAATACAAGGTGTCGTAACCTTAGATGTGTCGGTGGTGTAATGAATAATGGCTCAAAATTGTTACGCGTAAATACCCTTGGGAAAGGTATGAATCCACCGCTTTTCTCACCCCCAGCTATGGGTGAATTAGTGAGACTTGTATTATTAAATCATTATCTCCCAAACAAAATCCATACAATCTAAAAATATTTTCTGGCTTTAAATAACCTTGAATGGGTTGATAAGTCGTAAAAATCTAATCAATCGATCAACAATATACATTGTTATTCATCTTTTCTTTTTCCTTTTTTTAATTTTTTTTTTTTTTTTTTTTGTCATAAATTTTGAATTAATCACCAGTTATGTAATATTTGAACTAAAAGACAAAAAAATGATAAAAATGGAGTAATTGTCAATCTTTCGTACCTGGAACATAATTCTATTTCTTCATATAAGTCATCAGAAAATCCTCTGAAGAAATGTCATATTAACAAGGAACTGAAAAATAATAATATAAAAAAAATCGGTCAAGGGAAATGATTACCATCAAGGAAGTCCTGAGTATGACGATAAACTACACTGGGCAACAAGGCCTCTGATCGGGAGATTAGATTTTATGAGGAGCGTTGAACAACCTCGTATTTGCTGTTGTTCCCAGGTGGACCCTGACCCGAGATAGTAGCACCTGTTAGGCGAATAGTGAACCCCAAAACACAATGAAAGTATAAAAATACATTTTTATAGTAAAAATACCAGTAATACATTTTTATATGAAAAGGGACAAGCAGTACATTTTATGTGTAGTTGAAGGCATACAATTGCGTTCAAAATATATTTAGCTGAAGCCATAAAATTATTTAGATTTCGGCATTAAATAACCTATAGAGGCTGATATGCCGCTAAACAAAACTAAGTAACCAATCAACCACCAAGGATTATTAGTAGTGATGTTTATTTCTATTTCAATTATTTTTATCATCCATTATACTGCTAGTTACTAACAATCAAATACGATTTTTAAAACAAGGAAATTATGGATTCTTATGTTGTCAGTTTTGTATGTGCTGTCGCCATACAATAATGTACATGGCGCATTTTTTTTAAAATATTTTAGGCACAGCTTCATCTGCCTGCTTATTAAGTTTGAGTTGATATTGTTTTTAATTCACTGTTTTGAATCTTTCCAAACAGTTTGACTGTAAGAATGGTTGTCAGCAAAAGAAAAAAGACAATCTAAGGCGTGATCTACGTAATGGGAGCGTCAAACAGGTACAGAGATCTGTCCGGTCAATTGTAGTAACAGACAATATGACACAAAAACCCGAAAACAATTACTAATGGCAAAATATGTATTTGCAGAAACTAAGCAAAGTATTAGAACATAAACATTCTTTTCTTTGTTTCTCATATTTGCTTAAGTGCTATATAATATTTAATCCTCCTGTATGACAGTGAATGCTGCACAGTCTCTTCACGAATTAAAAGGCCAGAAACACTGAGGTTCTACCGATCAATACTGGGGACAGAACATGTAAGCGACGAGAAAGTTGTAACAAAAATAAGAACAACATTGAGACGTATACTTAGAACAGGAAAGAGCCAGCTGAAATTTATTTTCTGGGCGCAATGAGGAAAGTGGGCCAGGAGAATTTAACACTCACAAGAATTTATTTGAATGGATGAGAAAACATTGACAAAAAGGGATGGTAAGAAAACAAAAGCAGGAGGTTGTGGAGAGCCATGATCACTCAAATCCTGACGGCATCTGGCATATGAAAGAATTCTGCCGTAGTTTCGGTATGCCCAGCGGGGCTTACTACCTCCACAAATCTCTTTGGCCGATATTTTATTTATTTTAGAAGTTTCATACCAGGTGTAACAGAAATAACATTTTAATAGGTACCTCTACAGAAAACGCGATACCTAAAGTTTCAAATGAATTTTTCAAAATGAAATCTTTCTTGAAGCTTCTGTCTTAGTGTTAATTTCAAGCTAATATGTTAACTTTAATGTTTCCAATAAGCAAAATACTTTGCCCTATTTCAAAAACTAATTTAAATTCACTGGAAGGATATTTTTTTTTTTTTTTAGCCTTAGTCGTCTTTCATCGCAATGCAATTCACTTCATTAAAAAATATTCGAAACATAAAATATATTTTTCTGAAACTTTATTTGAGGAATATTAGCTGATTCAAAATATAATTAATCTGATTTGAAACAAATATTAAAAATTAAATTTTAAATATCGCAGAAATGCAATTTTTTTTAAATCACAGCCGTATTTGCTTAAGCTGTTGATATGTTTGACAGCTTGATGACAAATTGATATTTATCTAAAGTTCTATGGGGCTTTAAGAGTAACAAAATAATTGAATATGACGTGAGCGCATTTTTTATATAATTTTTAAGTACAAGATAGTCTTAAAAATTTAAATGTTCTCCATAATGTTTTATTGAATTTTAGATACTTTCTGGGTTTAAGTTTACTATAGTTATCGTTCTTATTTTCTGATAATGTCTTGTATGTGTGCCCATATCTACAAAAATTGGCACGTTTATACACATGTAAAAAATTCAAAATTCCATTACAAATATTGGTGTTTGATTTGTATTAAGCTTCTCCATTTGTGATTAATATTAATAATCTAAGAAAATACAGAATTTTAAGATTTAAAACTTAATAAATTATTCTAATTAAAACTTAAAAAATGAAAATAATTCTCGTAAATTCATTATTCATCGAAAAAAAAAACCCAATTCTTAGGACAATAAGGTCCTTAATGTATCTTATTTATAAAAGCAATTAAAAATTTTTCTAATTAAATAATGTCATTCTTATTGCATAAATTTTGGGATTCAGTGCAAATTTTTGCTAACTGGTGTTTTTTGGTTGACAAAAAAAAATTGATTTAAATTCTCGAAGGAATATCGCTTTTAACTAATATGAAAAGAGGGGAATTTTAATTTCTCGAAATTTCATAAAGTTAAATGTGAGGCAACATGTAAAAATATTTTTACCAAGATTTTGTTAAAAAAAAAAAAAAACAAATTTCAAATTATTTTCATTCATTTGTGACTAATTCCTGAAAATTTAATTAAAATTGGACAATTATTTAATTTTTGAAAGAATTTCCAAAACAATGTGCTTTTTACTGAAAAAAAAAGGACGCTGAATTTTCCATGCTGATCTTTGGCCAGCACGCTGCCGCAAGAAAACCAAAATTTCGAACGTGATAGGAAGGATCAAAAAATTTAAAATACTCAAATAATACTTTCGTCTTTCATCTTAATAATAACATTTTAACGATAAAACTTTGTTTTAATATCAAGTTTGGGACCTTTTTATAGTGGCATGTTCTATTTTAGTGAATTTTTGGAGGTACCTACATTTTAAGATACTCAAATAAAATTATAATTTTTTTCTTCACCGATGTTTTGCAAAATTAACTGACAAATATTTCCTCTTACACGCGTGCAAAACATGGAATGAGAAAACTCGCTTACGTGCGCACACAGAACTTACCCAATTTTTCCTACCATCACGTTCAAACTCATTTAAGATTTTTATTGTTTGATTTTCAAACCAAACTGACTTTAACCGCTAAGTGCAGAACGATCTTGTCCCAAAAGGCTGTAATGGAATAAGCCTAACACAGGAAATAATTTGTCTTTTTGTCGAAAATATCCTTCCAATGATTCTAACAAATATTCTTTTTGTCGTTCTCAAACAATTTTAACGAAAATAATCATCTAAGACCTCCCCTTTCTACCTTTCATCAGTATGGCTGATGCTCCCTTCCAGGATACAGACACGCTGCGCCATCCCGGGCTAAAAGTCTTAGCTGACATGAAATGGAAAGACTACATTGAATCCATTGCTAAGTCTGCTGCTAAGAAAGTTGGTTTACTCTATCGGCTAGACAATTTTTTTTTCTCTCCGGAATCTATCTTACGTATCAATAATCTCTCCATTCATCCATGCTGTGAATATTACTGCCATATATGGTCTGATGCTCCTGTTATATATTTAGAGATTCTTGATAAAATCCAAAGAATCAGCAATATTATTGATCCTGACCTGGCATTTCAGCTTCAGTCACCTTCCCACCAGCGTAAATTTACTTCCCTGTGCCTTTTCTATAAATACTTATATCGTAATTGCTAGGGTTAGCTCTTCCTTATGGTACGCAGAATTTATGAATTTAAGCGCAGTACTAGATGGGCGGCAAGGTCTCATCAATTTACAGTTGAACTGGCTAGAACTCATCAAATTATAGTTGAGCTGTCTGAGATGTAACCGTAAGTTCTATGCTAAGTTTTTTTTTCGCTCACACTTCTCGTTTGTGGAACTCTCTTCCGCCTCCACGCTTTCCAGCCAGCTTTGAGCTTCATACATTTAAATGCAATATCAAATGTTATCTACTGTCTTCATGATTGTTCTTCTATTGTGATCGCTCCTTAATGTCTCTGTTTTCTAATTCTTTCACACTCAGTAACCCCTTGTGTCTTAGTGGCTTTACTGCCTTGTACGTGGGGAATTTGATTAAAAAAATCATAAAAAAATAATACATTGTCAACAAATAACAAAGTTGTTTATTATTAGCCCCCCCCTTAACGTCACGGATGGGTTGATTATAAATTTACTGTGAATTTTGAGCAAAGTGGGTGATTAAATTTAATGTTTCTCATTTCTTTTTCATAACAGATATCAACGAATGCGTTCGCAACAATGGCGGATGTCATCCTGATGCAGCCTGTCTTAATCAGCTTGGTTCTTTCAGATGTGTCTGTGATAATGGATTCAGTGGAGATGGCTACCGATGTGCTGGTAAGATAGACACATACTCATTCTTTTCGACTTTCGATTCTTGTTTCTTTTAATTATTAAAACACTTAAATTTTGATTATAAAAATTCTGATTATACTTTTACTGAACTTAAATTATACTATTCTAAAACACAACCAATAACTGTTGTTTATTATATACTAGGATGTTTCAATATCTCCATTGCTTTATACTATTCAATATTAATCTGGAATTTGCATTGCATAAATTTTTGATATATGTGATATAGAAGATTTAGATTAAGCGCATTGACAATGAAGTAGACAGTTGAAAAGTTAGATTTTTTTCCAGCATTAAGCTGCCATATATACCACGTCCAAAACAGCATACATATCATACATATGGCATAGTACTTAATGATCAGAGATTTCAAAATACGCATGTATTTCATCCAGTGACATCGAAAGATGGACAGTTTAAGTGTTACATCAGCAAACGATCACACAGTACGGAGGCTGGGCTGAACAGTCATATGTATGTACATTGTCGTGCGGTGATCAATGAAGAGATGTCTGTCTTACAAGATGATGCAATCATATATATATATATATATATATATATATATAATCAAATTTTGTTACGATAGAGTACTCAATGTAAAATATAAAAAAAATGCAGTGTCATACATATTCAACATTAAAAAGATGACATTTACTGGATCTTCGTTTGTCCCTCTACCGACAGTTTCATATCCACTCGTTATATATATATATATATATATATATATATATATATATATACATGATCTTCCGAATGTAGGATAGAAGTAGTATATTTTTCTGAATTCTGCTCCTTTCTTTTACCACCTGAGGATTATTCATGAATAAAACACACATGCACGCACAATGAAAATATATTTCAATTTGGCACAGTTGAGTGATAAGCTAATTCTATAAACAACAGCCACCTGCGTTAATGCAAAGCTCTTTAGTAAAATGAATAGAACACTCCGGTTGATTGGCATTTGTTTTTACATTCGTAAAAACAATACACTAGATTCAGCTGATTCACTCTACCGAATGAAGATAGCTCAGTGTTAGAAGCGCTGACACCAAATCGATGGGTTTTCCATCCTGGCTTGAGGCATTCGGATGTCTAGTCGCACTGAGAAGCTGTGATATAGCGAAACTGTACTGTCTGCGAATGACACATACACACAAATATATATATATATATATAGATAGGAGTTTGTGACACTGAATTTCACGCTTTTTCGATTATCAGACAAATCGATTTATTTTTAAAAAGTTGGATCTATTAGATCCAATTTTTAAATAATAAACCAGTTTGATGATCGCAAAAGCGTGAAACCCTGGGTCACAAACTCTTAACCATACAACTGAATATGTTAGCTCTATCACTGATATTGAGCACTTTCCAATAAGTGCTGTGCGTATAAAATAATATATATATATATATATATATATATATATATATATATTCAACTGCCAGTAAGCTTGATAAGCGAAGATCAAATAAATTGTGTGAGATATATGTCTGCGCGCGCCTAATGATAGTTATAACAATGAAATATCTGATTTCGACATGCAAATACTATATTGTAAACAAATATAACCTTCTTTTAATCAAAGTATAAGTTTCCGATTAACATAACGAGTCCATTTTCCTCACACGAAACCTTTTTTTTTTTTTTTGTGAACAACCAGTGATAACTGCATCTTAAAACGACGTTTCTTCTCATTTGGGGGAAATTCCTGTGTGAACTTCACATTTGTCATTTTCTTCTAATGAGGCCAAACGGTGAAAAGCCTCTAGACTTACTGTACATTATTGTTCTGGAATTTATTTTATAGTTTGTCACAATAGGTCATCTGTCATTACGTTCGTGGACGTTTCTCAAATCTCATTTTTATAAAGATAAATATTTGAAAACATCATTACCATGTTTCCCGAATCCAATGATACTATCTTAAATTCATTTTGATATCTTCAAGGCATGCATTAACACTTCATATCTTACAACATATATATAGCTTTTATTGTTACTCTGTAAAGTTTTTAAAAATTCACTTCCCTGTCGTCAGGGTGTAGAATACACTGACTGCATTCTCTTCAGAGGATAAGACGCTTCCATTTAAAGATAAGGGAGAACAATTGGCTATACGTAAATATTTCATTCTGGGGCCAAATTCCAACTTCTTGAAGCGTTTCTCATCATGATTTCTTTATAGTTCTCGCAAACGCAGGACGAACAAAAAACTGGATTCTTGTATATAAAAACTTAAGATATACAAAAGAACAATAATGCGTTTTTATTAAATAAATATTTATTTTAATCATTAAATTGTTTTTAAAACAGTAAGAGTATTTTGTATGTTAAAAAATGACACTTCATTTTTCTAAAAAAAAAAAAATGAATGAAAATTTATTGTACTAAGCTACGTACCTTAGTAAACCAATTGTACTTTGTACCACCTTACCTGTTTGCATTTTTTAAAATTTGCTTTCGATCGGACAATGTATGCTTATTTTAGACGGTATGACGGACGGATTAAAGAAGTCACAGAATTTTATATATAAATTAAAAGCTAAAAATATTACCGCAGTGAACAGTGTCGGAAATTGACACTTGAGATTATTTGAATGTAAGAGGGGAAAATATTGTCATTCAGAAACAAAGTTAAAGCAAAAAAATTCTACAGAATTTAATATGGATCTAAATTAACTCAAGACTTAATCTGTTTTTTATGCAATTCTAATTTAGTAGATAACGATTTAGCATAAAATTGATCATTAACATTTTCTAACCGTTGAAAGAAGCACTCAACCCTTGTCGATATCTGAATAAGCGAAACAATATCTATCGTGAATGTAACTGTAAATAATGTCTTTCTCTATTAACAGATGTTGATGAATGTTCCCTTAATCCGAACTTCTGTGCGCACGGCCAATGTTTGAATTATGAAGGCGGCTACAAATGCGAGTGTGACAAGGGCTTCACCTCAACCGATAACGACAGGTCTTGTAAAGGTAAGGATGAAACTAGTATATTTTAAGACAAAATCATCATCATCATCATCAGAGATGGTTTCGACTAGAAGACACGCTATAAATCGATGGGATTTCTCATCTTCAGAAATGTTGTAAATACCTCTTATCACTCCTTTCCAAAGCTCCGTCTTGTGATAACTCACGAAAGTAGGTCTTCCAAGCTCTTCAAAGATGAATGATGAAATTTTATTGATAGATCTTTTAATGTCGTTGTTCATTGTGTGTACTATGGATGTTCGTCCAATCTCTATATATGTTATTCTTTCATTTGTTACTGATGACAATTATTTCCATCGTTGCTGTTTCCAAAACTATTAAGTCGTGTTTAACTTTGATATATTAATATAAAGTCCTTTCAAGATTTTATATTCTTGGAGACCGTATACCTCAATAACTATTAACGTCCTTAGTCAGTAATTCCTACTTTTCTTTTTTCAGAAAACCTATTATATTATATATGTTCTGATGGTAAAAGTTTTATTTATATATTGTAGGTATTTACAAACTTTTAACTAAGTTGCTAACTTTTAATCATTGACAACCAAAGCAGTAATTATCTTTTCCACCAAAAAAAGCGAAAATACATCGTCGAAAATATGCCATATATAATAATCATCTTCGTTGTAAATGGTTTTGCTAGCTTACATTCTAGCGCCGCTAAGTTTGACCCACAGTTCAAATTAAATGACACGTACTAAAAATCAAATTCAATCATTTGTAAGACCATTACATCAGTACAATATACTAGTAAAATCCTTTTTTTCAGTATTTCTAGATTGTGTTTAAATGTTTTATTTTAGGCTTTTGAATAGAATTTAAGTTAATTTTAACTATTTGTAATGGCAACTAAAAATAGCTGCTAGTCTTACAGCTACATTGCATTGAAACACTGTTTCTTATGCAACTTCGATACTGATCAGTTCTTAGGTGGCTGACTGCTTCAGAATACCAAGTGCTGTAATCTTGAATGTGTGAGTGGAGTAATGCCTAACGACTGGGAACTGCAAATCAAAGTGCTAAGTTCCAGTTTGGCTCCTTATATTCATTTACGAGCAAATACGATTGAGAAAGGTATAAATTCATTTCTTCAACACAACTCCTCTCTATGGGTAAATCTAAAAAAAAATCTTACACTCTAAATTCGGCAAACTAATAAAAATGGGTGATATATATATAATACTTCATATTCACATTCACGAAATATTATATAAAGACGTGATAATTTATTTTCTGCTTATTGATGTGTGTACATACCTAGAAAATAGGTCAGTAAATAACTAAAAGAATCGTTGATGTTACTGAAAAAAGGTAACAGTACAAAAAATAACTATTCCTCAAGTGGCAAAAGAAAAGCAGATGAAAAGAATTAATGAGAAATGTTAAAAGGTACCGAATAGCAGAAAATCAACGGAATATTGATAATCAAATAAGAATATTTTAATTCCTCCGTTATATCTGGAAATTTTCTGATGAAAAAGTTTTGTTTGTCTGTTGTTTTTTTTTACTTTACACTGTTTAATTCGTTTAAATTGTATACTTTTTACATCTTACCACTTTTCTTCGTCTTATAGACATTGACGAATGCACGATGTTCCCGAACCTCTGCGTCTTCGGCAAATGCGAAAACAGTTTTGGAATGTTTAAATGTCTGTGTAACCAAGGTTACCAGGTAGACGCTACGGGGGGTAACTGTACAGGTATGTTATTTTTATAGCCGTTATTGTTTTTAATAACGCGCTTTTCAAACTTGTCCGAAAAGGCCCCGAATATTAACCACTAACTTTTTTTTTCTCAGTCATCTGAATTAAAATAGTTTGAATGCAGGACTCCATCTTTTGCAATTTTTTTTTTAATTTAAAAGGTTTAATACCTTGAATTCTATGATCAGATGAACATAATCAATTAATATTCATTTTCAACTAGAATTTCTTTCACCTTATTTAATCGCAACTCATGCTTTCCGGTCCGAAGAATTACAATCTAAATCGTTGCGACAAAAACTAAGAAAATAAATGCTAATTAATATTAACCATTCTCTTAGTTGTTGACACATAGTAAATCTGAACTATAACTAAATAAACTGTTTATTTTCTAGTTTAAGTGCATTGTTTCGTGTAAGAGAATTTTGCTTTTTAAATCATGAAAAGTAAAAATATAAAAAAAACAGAAAAAAACTAGAATATCCGTAAAAAGTAGATTAACAGACTGATTTTTTTCTGCTTACTAATAATCAGTTATATTTTTAATACGAGATTTATTTTTCTTATTCCTCTTATAACAATATAATATTTTTCTCTCATATATAGGGGAGGTAAGGATGTGTGACCGATAAATAAATAAAATTGCACTAGTTCATATTATAGTATACAAGATTTTGTGCTGGCAGATTCTAAAACTCGATCAGTATTTGTTGGTATGGCCTTTATTAAAATGAACTCCTCTAAATATCGCTATATACTCACCCCCACCCAGCCCAGATTTAATTTATATGATTTTTAATTATTTTTTTCTTTGTTCTTGTCCTTTTTTTTATTTTGAGAAACTGTAAACTTTCCTTTTGCTTATAAAATAGACGACGACTGTTTCTTTCAGCAAAAATATAATTGTACATCAATCAGTATAATGTTTTCTCTTATTAAATAATGTCTAAATTAGCTTTTTTTGTATTCCCGTTTTTTCCCAGATATTGACGAGTGTCTCAATCCTGACAATTGTCTTTATGGCAACTGTATTAACAGTGAGGGTGGTTATGAATGCAGATGTCCTCCAAATTATGAACTTAACCCGAGCGGAACTGGCTGTGTTGGTGAGTTGATAAATTGCATTATAAATTTCAATCATAAATAAAAAAATAAAAAAATAACAAAAAATGAATAAAATAACTGAACGAATGTTAATTGTATTTTGCTTTTAAAGTTTATTTTTGACCTCTGTTAGAGTTATCTCCCCTAAAAAGTAAAAACGGCTGGATTTTTCCAATTTTTGTTTCATACATTTTCCAACTGAATATGAACTATCACAGTGCAGGCTAAAAATGCTCTTTCGATACGGATCAAGATTCCAAGGTCAGATCATATTGTGCATATAATTACCTGGTTAGCGCGTTAACACACACACACACACACACACACACACATATACACATATGAAGAAATATAGTCTTAAGATGCACTATATTTATGGGATAAAGTGCTCAGTGTAAGAGATAGAGCGTGTGTAAATATAAAAGTGAACATAGAAGTCAACACTTAGAGGCGACAGTCTGCTTCAGGCAATCATCAGGCCTGATGATTGCATCTAGCATGAAGCAGACTGTCGCCTCTAAGTGTTGACTTCTATATTTACACACACACACACACACACACACACACATCTATATATATATATATATATATATATATATATATATATATAAAATCCCAAATATGGCTACTACATGGCTCGAATCATTTTTTTTTCGTTCGTGCTGGTCAGCGCATCCAAGATGTCAGCCTTCAATGAATCCTTGTTATTTTGGGTTCGATGGTTGGTTTCTCTCTTCTGACGTCACATTAGACTTCGTAATGTAAGAGGTTTAAAATAAGGAGAGCCAGAAGACCATATGTTGGGAGTAATATAATCGTTGAAATTTTCGGTCAGCCATTCTTGAGTCACTTAGTCCATTAGCAAGGAGGCGGTGTCCTGCTGCCATGCTTAAATGGCCGTTGCGTCTTTCATCTCGAAGTTAATGGCGACATTGAAAAATTGGAGGGTTATGATATGGCTCTTGTTACTACTAATCTCTAGCATCATCACAGATAACGTGAACTTGATGTACATCACCATGGCTACATCCTTGGGGCCTTAGCAGACCCACCTGTTCACTTGGCTTACAAGAAACTCGCTACCCACGTGATGTTGTAGTTGCATGATGGAACATAAGCACTGTGTGCCTTTTCGTTTCCCAGGTCAAATTGGAAGCTGCTATGTTAATACTCTCGATATATCAGATAGAGAAATGAAAATCTTAAAATTTGGCACATGCATGTTGGGTTGTCTTCTATTTATGGCCTATTTAAGTGACTTCTCAAATTCAGAGCGTATTTGTTTCATATATATATATATATATATATATATATATATATATATATATATATATATATATATATATATATATATATATAATAAAAAAGGCTTAAACACAAATATTCCATGGTAATAATTTATTCCATTGGAATCGTAAATACGATCCAATTCATCAGACCTACAAATTCAAAAAGAAAACAGAAAAAACAACTCCGGAAATAAAAACAGAATTTAGAGAGAGTGTAAGTATGAGGGCGTGGGACGAATGTTAGTGTTAAAGAGAGGGGTAACAGATTAGAGAAGGAGGGAGATTAAACCATAACAGAGAGAATTTTAGGAGAGGTGAGTGGAAAGGGTTTAAGTAAGAGAAATATGAATGTTGTCGGATGTCTAATGCATAAGGATACATTTCGTGGTGACATACATTATTATATTTTTACTCTGTCCTGGACATTGAGTTCTACCTGGATTCTATCCTCTTGGAATTTTTATTCAAAAAATATACATGTATGTGTATGCACCTATGTATATATATTTATATATTTTGCATATGTATGTGTATATTTACCACTAATATTATATATATATATATATATATAATGTGTGTGTGTGTGTAAATGTCTAGCTAAGTCTACGTATGATTATTAAATGAATTTTGCTCTAAAGATTTCGTTGCCAAATATTCGTTCTCTGATTTACATTTATCATTAAGTGCATGGACAAGATAGAAGATTATTCTGGAAAATATTTGCTTTTCTAAATAAATATTTTAACATGATTAGATTGAAGTCTCATTGATATACATAAGTTCGTGTTTTTGTCCATTAGTAAAATAAATTCAAATGGAAATTGGCTTACCACCGCATCAAGTTGAAACACAGGTTTCCGTACAGTCACCGCAGTTAAGCGGCATCGAGCCTGTTCGGTAGATAAATGGCTGACAGCTTGGGAGTCAACAAATGTTGTAAGCTTGGGTGTGCTAGTGGTGTAATGGATAATGGCTACGAATTTTTAATTTGAAAGCCGCGTTCCAATTTTTGTTGACTTCCTTATATTCCCCTACGCTCAAATACCATTCAGGAAGGTATGGATCCACTTCATCACCTACAGTTTCGGCATAGTGGTTGATATGCCGATTAAATAGCCAATCAATCAATCCACCTTATCTCCCCCAGCTATAGGTTAATTAGTAAGACTTATCTGAGAGTTATTACAATCGAAAAAGAAATTGCTGGGGGGGGCTTTAAATAACCTTAAAAGGGTTGATAACCCGTAAAAATTCTTGTGCTGAAAAAGCCTTCTTTCCAATCCCCTTTATCAAATATTTTCAGGGTGTTTCTTTACCTTTTTATTTAAAAGTAAAGTGAAGTTTTTTTTTCACATATTATAAAAATATATTTTTAACTTATCAATTGACTCTTTTTATATCTTGATTTATTTTTATTTTTTTATTTTACTATTTTTCTTTCTCAAGATAAACGTCTGGGAAGCTGTTATTTCGAAGTCGACAGGCGTCGGCGTGGGAACCGTTGCCGTACCGAATTATCACAAGACGTATCGAAAGCTACTTGTTGCTGTACAATAGGTCAAGGATGGGCGGAGATTCAGGGTCGATGTGAAGCTTGTCCCCTCAATGGAACAAGTAAATATTCAGCTTTATCTTTTTCTCTTTCTTTCTTTCTTTTTTTTTCCGAAAGAACAAGAGGTAAATGTAAAATGAAAGCGATAAAATTAAGTTTTAATCGACAGTCTGGAGCCAAATGAAAACTAAGTTTCTCATTGGCTAAAAACACTAATCTCTATTCTGAATGAGAACTTCGTAAAACGGTTAAGGGCAAAACGGAATTACCCTCACTGATTGGCTAAACAAACAAATAGTCAAAATTTAAGCAAATTCTAATTGGTCAGAATTCATGCATAGAATATAATGAAAGGTCTCGACTTCGACGAATTGGCGCAAATATTGCAGTTCTTGCAATCATGCGGAAGCCATGCCAGAATGAGAGTCGAGAAATGATCGCTCTCTACTCGGCCCATGGCAGAGAAAGTTTGATGTGATGGCGGCTCGAAAGTTTCTATGACCTCAGAATAGGCATTACTGAGAAAGCATTCTGGTACCCAATATATGAGTATGAAACCAACTAATGGATGAAATTTAATTTTTATTCATGACATTCTTCTCTTACATTAATTTTTTTCAGGGCGTGGGATATCCTGACTCTCCACATCTTCCTATCTTTTGTTTCTCAAAGTAACTTTTGACTCTATATAGTGCCTCTTTATCTGCCATCGATTCACACAAACTTGGTTATTGCTTTACCCTGTTTCTCTTGGTTTTATTATATCCTGTGATGGTTAAATTGTCTAGACTCTCCCCACCCCCAATTTCCTCATTATATCCCAGAAATTTCAGCTATTGAGTCGGAGACCTTCAACAAATTCAGGAGTTCTTACCAGAACGATCAGCGAGTTTTCAGAGTTGTCGTATCTTCGTAATCACCATTACTCATCCAACTCTTTCCGAATATTCTGCATTATCCTCAGATTGACGCCCAAACTCTCTGAAATGTTCGTATTGTAGATTTCGGCGCGAATGCCAAACATTATAGCATGCTGTTTACACATTCTTGACGAAGTGTATTGATGCTCATTCTCTCACAGACGATGTCAGACTGACCTTACTATACTGTGCAAGCGGCAAAGTCAAAAACAAACCACGCGCATGCGCGAAATTAAAAATATTAAATGACGACAATTTACCTCCATGCAAACTGTATATAGATTTTTAAAGAAGTGATGGATTTTATTTTTGAATCCGGTATATTTTCAATATTTCAAATCTTATTTTTAGTGAATAACCGTATTTATTTTGTCTACCGGCCCTGAGAAAACAATTTCTTTAAGCTTTCTCTGTTACGTAGACTGGCAGACAAAATAAATTCCGTTTATATTAAACGGAGCTTCTACAGTATCCACTGAAAACGTTTGAATAATAAATTTATATATACAGGGTGTATCAAAAATACTTTTACAAACTTTGGGAGCGGGTTCAGCATACCAAAACAAACAACGAGACTATAAACATCGGCAAAGGTTAGATGATTCGGCTACTTTTGGTCTTAAAACGCAATCTGATACAGTTGTGCAGCCTCGCATTCATTACCATTCGTGCGGCCGTATCTCAGTTAACTCACTACTGCAGACGTTAAACGTTGAAGACAGACTAGCCAAAAATGTACACGAATAACAAATGTAACCTAGTCTTCATGTCAATAAAGCGCCATTTATTGTACGTTTTCTTTAAACTTATATGTTTATATGGACTTTTGTCCTTGTTTTGGAGTGAGGGACACGCCGCAAAATTTGTAAAAGTATTTTTGACACCCCTCTGTGCCTCTGTGTGTGTGTCTGTGTGTATGAGACGAGAAGAGGTAAATTAATATTTTTGTAACAGCATTTTTTAAGATCGAGTATTGCGCCATTTTACCAATTCTCTTAACCAAAATCGTATGATTGGGTAGCCTCCTCAAGACGTGAACTGACGGATCAGATTTGGGCAATGGGGTTGGGTGTCGAACAACCAATGTATTCTTGCCTCTTGCGTTAATTGCTGAAAGTCACAAAGCTGAATGTGGTGGGTGAGGACTTGATACACCCTGTATATTAGAACTATTTTACATTAACAAATATGTAAATATTAGTGAATAAAAAGAAAGAGAGAGTAATAAAAAACAAAGCTAATAATGAAACATTGTGAAATATAAACTATCCTTTATCAAAAGCATTTTATTTATCTGCCACCAAATATCAGCTTCCTCTAATTTAATAGTGATTCTTATAAATTCGAAATAGATTGAATTCCTTTGTTCCTATATATTATTTGTAATTTACCATTTAAAAAAATAAAAAATAAAAAAAAGCTTTATTCTAACGGATTATTCCCTCCATTCTCTTCCTGCCATCATTATTTTTTTTACCAACCGGTTTTCTCTTTTCCCCTACTAAGGGCAGAGTTGGCTCTTCCCAAACAGCCGACTCTATTTTCACCTGAATACGCCATTAGTATTTCAGAAATAACAAAATATAACTTTCAATTCATCTTTTTCCTAATTCAATGACAATAATAAACAAAATGCAACATTTTCTTTAATTAGTATTATAATGCCATCATACAAGTTTTAGTAATTGGCGTACCTATTCGCTGCCTCTTTGTAGAACCGTAAATGGTATGTTAATATTTCAGACCATTGTTATTCTAGTGAGTTCAATCCTCATTGGGTACCACTCATTTTAGTGAGTATAGTGCGTTCTACATTATTTTAACCCATGAAACACAAAGCTAAGCTTAACGAATACTTTAGGGAACCTTACCATGGAGCAGTGGTTAGAAAATGGAACTGGTTGGCCATTGCTGTTGTAATAGATTCGATCTTCATTGGGTACAAATAGCTGTACTAAATTTTGCTTAGAAATTAACTACAGATCGTCTGCTGATACACTGCTTCTTTCACACTGGCTCCAGCTGTCGCCGTTCAACACCAGATGAAAAGTCAATATTTCAAATGATGATTTTTTTTTCAGGGCCGATAGACAAGCTCTTTTTACTTGGATGAAGTCTCCTTAATCTCTATTTTCGAAAAGTTACCAGACTTTTACATTTTTTTTCTATTGCATAACCAGTCTCTAGTTTTCAAAATAAGAGAGTGATAAGGATTTTCGTACACATCTAATTTTACTATATACATAAGTTTTTTTTTTTTTTTTTTTGGTAATGTCTTTTTGCTACATTATTTATCTCCCTTATACTGGCGGTGTCAGTGCGAGCGTGAGCACTCGGAGATGGATTGATTCCGTGTTTACAAAGTCGGGAATTAAAAAGCCCGACCCCGTGAAAGAGCAATGTATGATGATGACAACTAGAAACATATATGCCGTCATTCATTGACAGCATAGGCAAACTACTAATAACTGTCAAACCTCGAAATTCATGTTCATGTCAATTTGCCACACGCATGAAATTCTGTTCCTCATCCAAAAGCAGTGAAAATCGAAATATTTTTGCAAAATTGGTGCATAGACTGTCAAACGTTTGCACTAAAATTATTTCAGTTCGTTAAATATTTGCTCGGAAGAGAAATAAATTGATTTTTGTTTGTATGCGTGTAAGCGTAATGAATATATACATCTATAATTTGAAACACTCGCTCACAGGGCCCAGTTAATTTAAAACAAATGCAATGAATAAAACATTATCAAATTTCAATTTAACTTTGTTGATTTTTTGTTTCTCATTTATTTTATTTTTACTTTTTAACAGGTCAGCACAAATTGTTGTGTCCAGGTGGTCCTGGTTTCCGGCCGAATATTGTTACTGTCATCCTTGAAGGTAAATAGCGTTTTAGCCTTTTCTGTTATTTTTTATGTCCTTTGTAAGTTAATACATTATCAGGAAAATCGATAACAACCACTGATGTTTGCAGCATTGCGTACATTTTTAAACGATTCATGCAAAATTCGCTACTAATTACAAAAGTAAAATAATAGTCTGGTATTGAATATAGAGGTGGAAAGGAAAGTCTGGTATTAAATATAGAGGGTTAATAATGGGTTTATTAAAAAAAAAAAATCCCTATTAATTCTAAGCCATTATAAGCGCTCGTCCAAAAACTTGGACAGTGGGTATTAATGGGTTAAGAATCTCCATTAGAAAATGTATGTCAGATTCTATGACATGGCGATATGGATATTTCAAATACTTTCAAAATCCTATTTTAGATTTTCACTCAAATGTCTGTCTGTTATTTCAATAACCATTAATATCGAGTGTATATCGCATCATTATGCTTGTATTAAATTCGGTAACTCTATCGCGTTCCATTTATAGCAACCTCTTCTCCAAAGAGGAACTGATCTAGAAAAATTTCTCAAACTATACAAATTGAGTTTACTAAACATATTTTTTGACCAGAAAACTCGCTCTCTCTATCGACTTTTCCCCTTCTTGTCTAACCGTCACTATTTCTATCTCTCTCTCTCTCTCTCTGTATATATATATATATATATATATATATATATATATAGATAGATAGATATATAGATATAGATATATATATCGAAATATCTTTTTTCCCCATCTTTCCCCTTTTAGCTTCGTTATGTCGAATTTCTCTCACTTGTTTTTAACAGGAACTCCTTATAAAAACAAACAAACCTCTTTAATTACATTTGATATTTTTGCTTTCCTGTATTTACTTTTCGTTTCTTTTCTCTTCTTCACTACAGACATCGACGAATGTACTGAAATCGAAAACGTTTGTTTGGGTGGAAGTTGTCAGAACACATTCGGTAGTTTCATTTGTGAATGCCGATCAGGATACGCCTTGGATTCCAGCCTCCACAAATGCATTGGTAAAAAAAAAAGTTTTCTTATAGATACGCACTTATCATAATTTGGTGTTTTGCCACTAAACATCGTAATATGACTATTCGATTTTGAAACTTCACGCACATTTTAGAAACTTAGTTTTTTGGGGGTTTTTTTCCTCAACATATGTGAGTCTAGTTACATAACTGCATAATCTAATGTTTAATTGGAATATCGTTTGAAAACCTCGCAAATATCAACAGAAAGGACAATTCTAAAGAAGAGATATCGGACAAAAGTTAACATGGATACGAGTTTACAGTCGGACTAATATCCTCATCTTTGTTGAAAACACCTAACTTTGTTGGTTCCCTAGCCATAATCGGATCGTTGGGAATAGCAGGGCTGATAAAGCAGCCAAGGAATCCTCCTCAATGAACGTATCAAATTCAAAAATTCCCTTTACAGGCTTGAAAGCCACAACTCTTACATCTTCAACCAATGGCAAAAAAACATGGAATACACACAAAAACAACAAATTATATTAAATGAAACCCCTTCTGATTATACAATATCGCAGTACGAGACATTGAAGAAAAGATGTAACACTTACAAGAATCAAAATGGGGCATACCCACATAAGCCACTCCTTCCTTCTAAAATATGAAGACCCTTCAAAATGTCCAAACTGCCAAGAAGTATTCACAGTCAAACTATTTTTGGATTAACTGCAAAAACTGGTACCTATACTAAAATACTTCTACAATGTACCTAACTTTAGGGCCTACTTTGAGAGTGCCGAACCCAAAGCGATTCTAGAATTCTTAAAAGTAACAAAACTCTACCCCAAAATATAAAAGAAAGCCGAATAAACACCCGGTACAAAATGCAACTAAAACCGAATTACACCCACACCCTTATATAATAAACATTTCACATTTGTCTGTAAAATAAAAAAAATCTTAATCTATTCGATTTGGCGCGAAATGACCCTTTGGGTTGGTGTACCGGTAAAATAACCCATCTAAATCGAAATCATCTTTGTTGGTATTATCACAACGTTTCAGCTATTGTGTTCTCCGGTTTTCTTCAGATGCCTGGATACATGTATCCTTCGAATTTCAATCTGAACCCTTTATTTCATTTATGAGGATAGATTGTTCTCGCTCCGTGGCCCATGTCTAAGGGGACATCTCGCCTTGTAACAAGACAGACTAAACGGAGAGAGAAACATTTATCCCGTAGAGTAAATAAAGGTTTCAGTTTAAAATTCCCTGAATGATACCCGGTTCGACAGAGGGCCGGAACGTTGTGATAATAACAAAGATGGAGACGTTAAACAAACTGTAAATAATACAGCTCCCCATCCCCAAAATTCAAATAGAAAATTGATCTGAGCATAGACCAAAATAAGAGATATCTTAGTAGTGATCAACCGACAAAAATTGAGGCAGACAAGAAACGCAGCAAGAATAAACGATACCAGATGGAGCAAAAAGTTGTTTCGATATCAAAGAGATAGAGAAACGTAGGAGTGAAAGACCAAATAAAAGATGATAAGATAAGAGATTTTGATGGTAAGACATGGCAGAGAATAACCTAGTTACAATCGCCGTGAAAGTATTTCAGAGCTTAGCAAAAGCTAGTGATATATAAAAACATTTGTGCAGAATTTTCAACAAGGCAAGATTTTTTTTTTTAAATATATCAAATATACATTTTATATAATGGCTTCCCTGTTCGGTCCACTTGGGGTTTTTAAATTCATCATTATTTACCGGATTAGAAATTTACTTCCTCGTGTCCATGCAATTTTTTTTATTTTTTTTTATTTACTTATTCTGCCATCTTTATTTGATTCGGCCTCGGAAATGACTGTGCCCGGATTGAATGATTCTCTTTCAAGTTTGTCCTGTCCACAATGTCAGTTCTTGATACTGTCGAGGTGGCTGGTTGTTCTCTTTATTCTCTTCCTCGACAACACCTCAGATGTAATAGTCTGGGAAATTTTAATCAAGACAACTGGAGGAGCAGAGTCCTTCTGGAACAAGTAAGGACACACACACACCTTCCTTACTCAGACGACGTGAACTTTGTGCGTGTTACGGCGGGATCTCCGTAGAACTATACAAACCTTTCCTTTGGTTCACCTGTAAACAGTGAAAATAGTCGACAATTTGGGAAGGGCCTACTCCGCCCTTAGTAGAAAAAAGAAAACTGTTTTGTTGTTTTTTAATTATGGTAGAAAGAGAATAAAGGGAGGAATCCGTTAGCACAAAATAATTTATAAAGCTGCTAATGCACCCTATACGTCTGAAACGAAAATGTTTTAATTTGGATCATGTCACTTAATATTACGTTAGGTTGTCTTGCATGTATCCCTTGCTAAAGTTTTGTTCTCGCGTACCTGGCTAGTGTAAGACTTGGGAAATATTTTTGAACCAATTTTGAGGGGATATTCTTTAATCTATCAAATAGAGTAAACGAAAAATAATCGAAATTGGGCTGTTATTTTCTTGCCTTATTTTATTTTAATTTCTTTTGAGATGTGGACGAGTGTTCTCTAAATCCTGGACTCTGTGGAATTGGTACTTGTATGAATACAGAAGGAAACTACACGTGTCATTGTCCAGAAGGTCACCTACTCATGCCTGACAGAAACTGTATGGGTAAGTATTAAAGGTTTTGATAAGCCAACGACACTTTGGGCTGCAGGTAATAAAGCATAATTCTTCCAGAAATTATTCGGTTCACCAATGTTTCAGCCAGTTCACTCTCTGGCCTTCTTTCAGTTTCGAATGGAATATATAGTTTTGTACTTGTCAAGAAAAGAAAAAAATGTTGATGGTCGTCCGGATAATTCCTGATGAAAATAATGGAACTGGTGGAAAATTCCAAAAGTTTTGGCGATTGGGATTTTTGGAAATATGAGCTTGTTTACGGACAAGTCATGCTGACAGTTGGGAGGACGCTTAGAAGCAGCGAATACTGTAAACATTATGCGAGTAAACCCTGATATAAACAAAAATTCGATCTTTGGAATATAGCCACACCCACACTGCTGGTCGCCCATTTGCTGAATGCTGGCGTGAGCGTTAGGCGAAGGTAATCATGTGAAGTAGGAGGGGAGGCCTGTTGGCACCCATTGAAGAGATCGGTATGAGATGCCACCGTGAGAGAGAGGGGAAACACGTTGACACCCTCTGAGGGTATGGGGGAGATACCACTATGAGAACAGAAGAAGGTGGCAGGACGAAAGACTTCCAAAAATGGAAAATAATGAATTTTCCTGACCGAAAACAAAGAAGTGGTGGTGGATTTAGAATTATCAAGGAACCTCAAACCCCGACAAGCCCACCCCGGTTTTGGTCGGCGTCCATATAAGCAGAGTCGCAGCGAGTGAAAAGCAGTTGAGTTGGCAGTTCGAGTTAAGTTCGCAGTTCGCAGCTGAGTTGGATTGAGTTGGGCCCGCCTCTCAGGAACCTGACTGAAAGATTCCACGCAAATCACGACCTCAACTTCTAACCAAGAACAATTTATTTTTGAAGAACGACTTAGACTCACACCACCAAAACAAGTTTTACGAATATCGCCTGAAGATACACCAAGAACCAGTTTCTTAAAGAACAAACAACTTAAAATGTTAAGACTCGCCTAACAAACATAAAGTGTCACGAATCCATATAACGGTTTGGGAAAAAGACGCAGTCCTGTATTTCTCAACCAGATATAAAATATTGTTATCCTTTTTAACACATTTGAACTTTTCGAGTTATTATTTTATTTTCTTTTACATATACTTGTGCGGTATTGCCCTTGTTCGGACCCGACTTGCATTACGGCCCGGCGACTGATTGAGTTACTTCGGTAACCAGACGTTGGAGGCGAGCTCGGAACGACAAGGCTGATACTGAATCTAACCAGATTCCCATCCGAATCAGCAAAAGGTTAGAACGTCACACAACAATGTTGTTTTAGATAACATGATTGTCGGAAGAACGTTTTTGTTAACGGCAACGAAATACCGTCTCTATAAATGAGATTCTGCGACATTTAAAAATCGTGACCTCAAATTGTATCAAGTCTCTGGAAAACATTGAGTACTGGATGAAATATTCGTTCAAGAAGCAAAAGGATAATATGTTTCTTGAACCGATTCATTATCTGCGGGATATATATTTACATACAAAGAATAATAAAATACTTGAGCCCACAAACAACAACATGAATTTCAAAGATAAAATGTGTTCTCTTCGTGATATATATATATATGTGTGTCTCCCTATACATGTGTCTCTGTACCCGTCTGTCTCCCTATACATGTCTCTGTACCCGTCTGTCTCCCTATACATGTACCCGTCTGTCTCCCTATATATATATATATATATATAGATTCTGTAGAAAGCTGAAATATATAGTAAAACAAATGTTTACTTATTTTCTATTGACCACTTTCCTGAATCTGAAACCGAATCTCCATAAACTTATACATTTGTCCGTTAAAAATGCAAATAGGATTTGGACATATTTTATTAACGTGGTTAATAGAAAAAAGTTCCATATACGAAAGAATACTTTTTATGTTTCAGGATTCTTCAGCCTTTTATAATTAGTTTGTCCCAAACTTTATCTACAACGAAAATGCTTTATTCTTAAATCTTTTTCAGACATGCGCAAAGGAAACTGTTACTCGATGTATCGTAATGAAACAAAATGGCCGTACAACGTTATCTGTGAAAATGAGTTGTCTGCCAACCTCACCAAGAAATTGTGTTGCTGTTCAGCGGCGGGGAAAGCCTGGAACTCTCCATGCGAAATTTGCCCGACTCGAAACACAGGTAAGGATAAAAACAGTTAATAATATTTTTAAAATCCAAATCTTTAAGTAAATGTGACTTTTTTAATGGCTGCCGAAAGTTAACACAAGGTTGAACAGATATAAGATATGGCAATGACGTAAGAGTTTGATTTATGATAAGTTATTTTTAGCCAACAAAAATTATTGGTAGATCTTTTAAATTAAAATTACTTTAACGCTCTCTATTCTTACGCTTTATTACGAGTTTATTCGTAGCGTCAAATGTGCGCGTATAACTCAACGGTTATCAGCGTGGAATGTTGACTCGGTGAGCTGAGTTCAAATTTCAGTTTAGTCTACAGAACAAAGGCTCTCGGAAAGGTCATGAATCCATATTTATTTCAATTCCCACTATAGATACAATAGCAGAGTAGTTTTCTACCTTTGGGTGGAAGCCAGGATAAAAGGAGGAATTTAAACCGGTTGAGCGTACTCATGACGTTAGAAACGTGAAAGGGCATTCCTTGGATCAAAGCTTGGTTAGGTCATTCACTGTAACTAGATCTCAACTGTCCGGGAGTCTAACCTTGACGTAGAATACTAAGTGAAGTCGATAAAGCCAATGTAAAATCTTACTAGCTTTTTTTTTTAATTTTTTAGTTTATATTTACTGCAAGAATAATCTAGGAATTTACATACAATTGTATTTTTTAAATCTGTATTAAATCATTAAAAGTAAAAATATCCAGTCACCACTAAGAGAAGATGAAATAATAAAAGTAATGTACAAAGTGACTTTAAAAGTTTTTATAAAATCCAAAGAAGAATTCTATGCCAAATTCATAAATCCCGAAGTATTACAATTTTTATTAGTTTCAATGAATTTTGTTTGCTTTTCCAGAAAACTACAGAAACCTGTGTAGCGGCCCAGGAAGCATTAGTAAGTCAGATTCTCACTTTTACTACAACTTGGTGCTACATTCAATCTGTTTGTTTTTTGTTTAACCTAATTTCGCGTCTTCCTTTCCTCAGGCATCTTTCTATGTCCCTTTCATTTCTCTCCCTTAAATCTATTATAAATAATTTTTCTATACGTTTTTATTTTCTATTTTGTTTCTCGCCAGTTATGGACGAATGTAAGATGATGCCACGTCTCTGCATGAACGGACGCTGTATCAACACACCCCAGGGTTTCCGCTGCGAATGTGATCGCGGATTCCTTTATAACAATATCACCCACATGTGTGAAGGTAAACTATTGTCTTTCTTTAAATTCAAACCTTATGCAATCAAATAAATCAGTTTCTTCTTTTGTTACAACATAGCAAGTTAGAAACATTTCACCTCAAGCAAGGTAATAATGCCACTAAGACGCAAGTGGAAGAGAATGAGAAGGATAATAAAAATCAATATTTGGGAAGACAGAAGACTGCGACTGAAATTGCATTTAAAGTTTTGAAGATTCAGGTGGCAGGAAAACAAGAGTTTCGCAGATGAGAAGTGCAAAGAAAAAACAATTAGAATAGAACTTGCGGTTGCATTTAGCTATTTCAAGAGTAAAACGATGAGACCTAATTGCCAATCTAGTAGTGCGCTTAAATAAATTCGGTCGGTGTACCAAAGAGATTTATAATACTTGATAGTTTAAGAATGAGTTTCATGCTTAAGACGAGACATCAGGGCATATTACGGTCTTCCCTTTTAAATGAAGTCAAGAGATATATTTTTAGGGTACTGATTAACTGCAGTGTCCTGTCAAAATAACTAAAACTTATGTGTCAGTAGACTTAGAAACTAGTGTTATATAATTCTTGGATTCGGTTAGGTTTGGCATAGGTCTATCTGTATAAAATATTCGGTGAGGAACAACGCTATGAACAATAACTTACAAGATTAGTGCACGTTAATTTTACGCCATGCCTTTTACGTTCATGACTTTGTAGAGAATCATTTTCTTTATCTGTGAATTACCATGCATTCTTGACAAAGATCAATGTGATATCCGGTTGCATTTGTCATGCTTTTGAACGCAGTTTTCTTTCCCTTACGCTGGTTACCATCCAAAGCTACATTAGTCCTGGGTATGACACTAAACTACATCCGACAGAAAGGCCTCTAATCGGGAGATTGGATGTTTTGAGGAGCGTCGAAACACCTCTTAATTGCTGTTGTTCCCATGTCCACCCTGACCCTGGGTGGTAGCACCTGTAAGCGTCTACCCTGAGTAAATAGTGAACACCCCACCAAAATAAAACACTATGAAAGCATAAAAATACTAGCAATACATTTTTATATAAAATATTAGCAACAATGCATATTTATAGTAAAATTACCAACAATGCGCACATACTTGCAAATTGTAACTTCATCCAAATAAGTTCAACATTATGAAACAACCAATATCAAAGACCTCTTTCATGATATCAGGCAATTACTTAAATCAAGTTGTATTCCAAACTTAACAAAACTACAACGCAAAACACACATCACCGCCTCTTGTAATCCTTTCCACAAAAGCTGAGTATCATCTACCACGTATTCAATTGTGAAAGCAAAATAACACTTTTATTACTTCCAAGCTCCCAAGAAAATTAAGACCCGAAAGGAGTTGATATGCCGTTAAACAGGCAAATCCATCAAGTCAAAGTTAAATAGCCCAGTTTACCTTGCTATTTAACTTATAGCTGGCGGAAGAAGAAGAAACTGATTTCTGACTAGTCCGGAATTTGAACCCTTATCGATTTCACTTTACATCCTGATATCCATTAAACACATTAGTACACTCATCTCATCTCAAAGCGTAGGTTATTAGTCCAAATCACAAGAGTCACGGTGTCTCTAATTTTTATTTTTAAATCAATTCACTCCAAAAATGCTACGAAGATGCAAGCGGCTACCGAGAGGGAAATAGAATGAGAAAAATTTAGAAGGAACAGGAAACGAGGCTATTTACTCCTATTGAGGAGAAAAATAAAACAAAAACAATAAATAAGATTTCAGTAGATACTTCCAAAAGTGAAGGTTCCTAGATTTCAGAGTGCAGGCGGAAGTGTCAGGTTAAAAGTATAGAGTTTGAACTAGACTTTAGAAAGAAGTGAAAATACAATCCTAAAAAAAATAAACCGCGATGGAGCCTGAACCGGGAAACAGGCGTACCTATCTGCTCCTATGAAATTGAATTGGTATGCATATAATACCTTTATTTTGTGAGGAACATTTGCATTCGTTCGTAATTTTGAAAATTCCATAAAAATTTGGCTACAAGAGTTGGCATAACAAATTTTAGATTAATCAAAAATTTACAAACTCTACGCTTTGTTCAATAAAAAAAACAAACTTTATTTTACCAAAAGAATTAATGAATATTTACTGTACTAAGCAACACACCCTAGTAAGACCAACTGTACCTTGCCTGTTTCCACTTCTCCCAAAATTTGGTTTCGATCAATCAATGTATAGCTATTTGAAAGAGTGTGACAGACAGACAGGCGGACGGACTAAAGGAAATCATAGAATAGATTGTGATAGTGACTTTTTTTTTTTTACTCCCAAGTTCGGAATAAAAGGGCAGGTTGGAAAATTCATTTAAATTAATGTTTTTGGGACAAAAAAAAAGAAGGGAGATGGAATAAACAGACACGGTGAAGTAAGCAGACAGTTTTGAAAAGAAAAAATTGAAAAATAGAATAAACGAGGGACCTGGAATAAAAGTGGGTACATTGGGGAAATTAATTAAATAGCTGAGCAAGTCTATTTAAATATTGATTTTAGATAAACTACTTTAAATTTAAGAATTAGACGCAAGAGGTGGCTTAAAATTTACTCACCCGATATGCCTCTGAAATGACAGTTTCCCGTAAGTAATTTTTGCAGAATTCAATATTAAATATTCTTTTTTTTTTATCTTCAGAAATTCAAATGAAATCATAATTTTCTGTCTTAATTACTCTTTTATTGTTCTCTCTCCATAATAATGTTTACTTTTTCTCGTATTCGCTCACCCCTTACATTTTGTTGGCTTTATTGACTTGTTTGTGTGAAATGATTTTAAAAAAAAATGTCAATATTTGTGAGTTTAATTAATTAATGAACAGTACTAAACATAAGCATTTCACTGTTATCTCTCCTACTTTTCGGTTTCTTAATCTAGAATTTTTATTTTTATTTTCAGATGAAAATGAGTGCGAACGGCTGACCAGTCCATGTGTTGGCAATGCTAATTGTCGCAACACGAAGGGCAGTTTTGAATGTACTTGTCCTGTTGGGTATCGGCTTGCTTCTAACAAACGAAGATGTCGAGGTAAGTTTAGTTAACGGACATAATAAAAATCAGAAATATCTATGCAACCACAGGATATGAGTCTGTTCCTTTTATTATTTCCATTTTACCTCAACGTTCCCTTACAGTTCGGCTACGGAGCCAGATTGACAGGACGATGTTAGAATAAACATGTCGACGTTAACAGGTTATTCTGACTGTGTCATGTCAATCTGGATCCGTGGACGAACTGGTAGAGCTACGCTTCTAATAACTTTATATATATATATATAAAGAAATAATCACACATAGAATTAATCAGAAGTATTAATGCGATTATTGGCGACATCCATCGCTAGAAAACATAATATATGCATTAAAATCCTGTTCATCAATAGTGCGAGTTTTGATCCTCGTCGATAAACTTGTTGTCTGTAGTTTTTCAGTTTATTTGATGTTAAAATGCTAGTACTTACGAATAGTCTTCTATTCGTCATCAGACAAGTGTTTTTTTTTTCTTATAAAATCAAAAACTTGAGACGATATACCTGTATGTCGACCGAAAGATGTTTTTTGAATATCTGCTATTATTGAGGGTTGTGTAAGATCTCGAAACAGGATTTTAATGCATATATTATGTTTTCTAGCGATGGATGTCGCCAATAATCGCATTAATACTTCTGATTAATTCTGTGTGATTATTTCTTTGTATGTAAATCATATGCTGCCTAATGTTTTATATATACAAGAAAAGATATAGAAATTTTTTATATCAGAACAATTTTAGCAAAATCTAAAAAAGTGGGGAAAACTGTTTCGTGTCATGCGTTTGGGCTTTGATCTGATTACATATGGGCATGAAGGAGAGGGGACACTGAAACTTTAAGTTTAAATTGATTTTTTTTTAAATATGTGACTTTGCGTATAGTTTAGCCAGTTTATTTTAATTTCTTTTTAAATTAAATTTTCCTCGGATGATCTAGCGAGATTTTATATATGTGAGAGGCTTACTCAGAATACGTACTTATTTTCCAGCTTAATGAACGTAAATAATGTTGTGCAGTTCTCACTGGCGCCGTGATGTGTGTTCAAGCTTAACATTTTACTTTCATCTTTCTTCAATCTTACCTTGTACTTTATTAAACTTTGAAATTTAAGTTTATTTAAAGTTTCTGAATATGTGAACATTTATAACTCCGACAGTTTAATTTTCGTTAAGACAGGTAAGAATTGATCAATTTATATACCTGACATGATCTATAGAAAACATTTAACATTGCCTTTACTTTTAAATATCAGGTCAGTTTAATTATTTAACCTGTTTCTGCGGCTGTATAAAAATATTTGCTTAAATGAAGAGGCTATTTTCACTTTGTTTTCCTTTATATATATTTTTTAATGCCTATGTATTTTTTTTTCATTTTAAGATATCAATGAATGCCGAGAGAACCCAGGAATTTGCGCCAATGGCCGTTGTCAGAATTTGGAAGGCAGTTTCGGTTGTCTCTGCAATCAAGGTTACCGGATTGCATCTACCAGAGATTCTTGCGTGGGTCAGTAAATCGCTTTTCTTTCATTTGTCAAAACATTAATTTCGATAGATTAGCAGATTACAGCAGCTACAATAGAATGTAATCACGCAGTTATCGGTTCATTTCTGGTAACGCTTACCAGTCTCCGAATAATGTGTCGTAAAGCTGTCAGAATAGCTAGCGAAAGAAATTGACATTTTTATATGGCCAGATTCATTAAAGGTCAACTGAAGGAACTCGTAGGAAGATAACGGGACTGTCGCTTACTACTAACTTGTCATCATTGTATCTTGCTCAAAAGAAATAATGGTTTGATTTATTTTGCTTTACAGCATATTAACCTCGGTGTTTCATTTATTGCCGACAAAATTTTTAGCATAGGTTCGTTAAATAACATATTGAGGTTGATATGCCATAAACCAAACCAAATTAAAGGTCTTTTAAATGCAGTAAATTTACAGCTTTTACGGAGTTTAATATTAAAAAGGAATTAAATGGCTTGATATAAGCGTAAATGGAAAACTGTGTCAGCTTAATTTCTCACCCCCACCTCCTGCTGCTCGACTGATTTCAAAAATAAATTATCCATAACAGTCTTACTAAAAATAAAAAGGAATGATTGCTTAAATACAAGGCTTTCTTTAGAAAAAATATTAAATTTCGCCATTAAATAACCCATTGAGTTAATATTCCGTAAAACACAGAAACAAAACTAAAGAGCTGAGGGTAAAAACCACTGCTTAAACAGAAGGCATGACTTTCTGCCCCCAAGTCAAATATTCAGCAATAAAAAAAAATTACGCTCTTGAAAGCTTTCAAGAGCGTAAAACGTTTTCCCTTTCTTGAACAAAATGTAAACTGACAACAGTAGACCACACAATTAGGATCGAATTCCATAAGATGGCTTCCGTTATCAACATTTGAATTCTGATTTCTTACTTTTTCGGCAAGTGAACTGACTCTACGAATTTGGGAAAAATCTTAAAGCAGTAATAAACTGTACACTTTTTACCAAATACAAGTGCCGGTGAGAAATTTTCAACTTACGATGATCTGTGTGGAATGGAGAATGTCACTCACAAAAAATGTCTCCCACATCATTAGCCCTTGTAGAACGCTAGCGTAGAAATACAGGCGCCGCTATGATAAAATGACCGTTCATCTGCATTGCTGTCTATGTAGGAAGTATGGACTTTAAGGTGTATCGCCACAAACCGGAAATGATCAAATCAAGATCTAACGAGATATCAAAATACAAACGGACCACATCATTGAGGCCACCAATTGTTGTTAAAAAAAATTGCCTCATTTTTTATATGGATGTTCAAAATGACCATAAGTTCAAAGAAATCGAGTTTTTGAGAATGTGGGACTTTCAGGTCACTACTGTCCCAATTAACATAGGGACGTTAGGGTCTATACAACAGAACTTAGACTTACATTAAGAAAATGTTGATAAGGCATGGCAACCCATCGTTTCATAAAGCCTCTGTTGTTTGGCTCTAAAGATGCGAAAGATGCTATCTTATTGAGGTCATACTAATTGATAGATAATGCTTATAACACAAGAATGATCGAAACTGAAAAAGAAACGTGCGGGAGAAGATAATCGTGATACGTCGTAATAATATTAATTGATTGTCGTAAAGCCTTAGAAAGTGTGCGGCAATGTTGGTTCCTTAAGTCTCTGGAAATATACAGTCTCCTCGGTGATAGAAACATAACATAAGACTATGGATAACCATATTGAACTTTAACCAAATCAAGACACTGTCATTTCCAATCCGTTGAATATCAGACAAGGATTTTTTTGAAGGAGATATTCTGTCACCCGCTCCTGTTTTGTCTGTTCTTAATCTCCCTTTTGTATGAACTATATAGTAATAACTATGGATACAAAATAAACAACAGTCTTTAATCACTTATTCTATACATGGATGATATCAAAGTTTTTGCCAACGACGTCTATGAGTAGAAAGGTCTCTTTCTTCAATGTTGTAAAATGTTTCAGTAATGACATCCGCATAGACTTGGGATGAGATAAATGTATAAAAGTAGCATTCAAGAAAGAGAGAAATACCGAAACTAGCTTAACAAATCTCGATTATGTAACAAAGGTTAAGGCGCCAAAGCAAGAAAAGGCATAAAATGTCGAGATGTCAGCAAAGAAGATGGAAGGCAGCATATCCAAATGAAGGAAAAAAGAATAGAATAGACGAATTCACAAAACAGAATATCAACCATAAACAATTTCGCTGTCCATGTGATGCAATACAGTTTCAACATCCTTAACAAGATGCTGTCTGACATTCAGCAAGTTGATTCAGGTCCTCACTTACTAATGTATGCATCATCCTAAGGCCAATGATAATCGTCTATATGTGTCCAGATCCGAAGGAGGCAGCGTATTAATTCAACTCAAACTCTTACAAAACGATAACAATTGACCTTCAAAGATACCTGGCAACTACTAAAGACTAGGTGATGATCTATGTCAATGACCATGAAAGAAATAAGTACCGTATTTGATGGCATATAAGATGAACGGGTGTATAAAACGCACACCAATTTCAGCAGGGCAAATCAATAAAAAAAAATAGTAATTAGTAAAATTATTAGTAAATGGTACAGCCTAGGCTATATTGGGTATTATTTTAGTTAAACAAGCTATAATTACAATTAAACGAAAAATAATAGGAAAAAAGGACACGAGCCTATAAAAAATGTATTATATCCTTTATATAATCTGCGTCTTGTAAACGTTTCATTGGAATAATTAGGATATAAAAATTCTAATTGTATTTATACCAATGGAACCGGAAGTTATCACAAGAAAAATATTAATGAAACAAATATATTTTACAAATATATAATTTGAATTTATTGCATATAATTGTAGTGAAACAAAGTACTAATATTAAACGTGACGAAATTAATATAATGACTATTGTCAAATAGTACTAATGCCTAATAGCCTTTTAAATAATGACAATAGGTATATGAAAGTTACTATAAAATCTAAGCTAATAGGAGTTGCCAGGTAATTAATTTCGGCCGACTATTTCGAATTTTAAACCTCCATATACCATATAAGACACAGGGGAATTTTAAAAGATATTTTATTAAAAGAAAGTGTGCCTTATATGCCGTCAAATATGGTAGCTTTATTCCGTAATAAAGGAAGCCAACAGATTCAGAAGGGAATTTCACGTAGATGAAGAGGAGCAGGTAAGCCATAATCCACCTACTTGCAGCGACAAAGAGGTTGCAAAATCAAATACAGAAATTATAGCAAAAATAAACCTCTTCATGGTTAATACTTTTCTCGTGCCAAACAAACTAATGTCGACAAACACCATACTCATCGATAGTTTCGTAGTAGCAGGGTTAAAAGCTGAAACCGAAGGTTTTATTCTTGCTGCACAGGACCAATGATTGCTAGCTACAAAATATCAGGCAAACATCTTGAAGAATTGTGCTAACCCCAAATGCAGATTCTGACCATTTTGTCAGGTTCCACGGTATTTTCATCCAACGAACAAAAAAAGAAACTCAGGGTGAGCAAATATCTACACTGGAAAATCTGCCACTTTTATGGGAAGGAAACTGCAGAAAAATTAGTACGAACACTACTTATCCCTGTTTATAGACATAAGATTCGTAATAACTTTATGCGATTTTACAATGCGAAGAGACAGGACAATCAAATTCAAATATAGCGATCAAAAAACACACAATCAAAACTGACTTTCTTATTGATATGGCTGTTTCTACAGGCTGTAATATAGCTTTGAAGATCTTTAAAAATGATTAAAATACTAGGCTTTTTTTAAATAGAAATTCTAAGAATGTGGCACGTGTAGAATTCAATAATTCCAGTTGTAGTTGCGGCACAGGATTTGATTGGAGAATGTTCTAATAGGCTCAAGAGGTCTCTAGTGACTCAGGTCTTAAAGAAATAAAAAAAACATTTCTTATAATCACAGATTACATTCTATGAAGTGCTTTATCTATGTAAAATGTCTGTACATTTGTTGTAATGATGTCATTTCTAATCTTAGGCCTCTGGTTGGGACCCCAGAAAAAATGAGTATACAGAAAAACAAGGGTTGGTGATGCTAATGATAATACTAATAAATAAATAGTAGTAGTATTAGCAGTAATAAAAATCGTTCCGCCCAGAATTTTTAATATACTTTAATAAACTAGAACAAAATAATCATGCCGCAAAGAAAATTCTTTAAAAGAAATAAGCGTACAGAGTTGGAAGGAAATAATTTAGACGTGCCGGCACTTGTATTTGACATGCAAGTGTGTATTGTTCTCCTCCAAGAGGTTCGATGAGTGCTCTTTCAAAGTAGGTCTTTTTGCAATGACATCAGCAACTGTGATGTTTATCACCACTTAATCATATCTCACCAAATCATTCGTGGGAAATGGAATTAACAAAGTTTCCTTAGAATTTCCTTTAGTATCTTCCAAGAGTCGAATTCATCAGTAAGGGTTTCGGCCATTTATCATCAACCTCGAAGATCTTCATTAATTCCAATGTATTTAAATTCACCCAATACAACCGGAAAAACTATTCAAAGAAAAGTAAATAATATTTTTTTAAAAATTGGTTGTGCCAATTAATTGCATTCCTTTCTATAAAATCTCTTTTGGGAACAGTGGTTTTTAATCTGTTTTTATCTTAATTGGATATTTTATTTAATTAGGTTGGTGCAAAAATAATGTCGTTTTTGAACGTCAAAAACGACATTATTTTTGCACCAACCTAATATATGTTTTGCTTTAACCAGTTAGATGTTTAAAAATAGTAGCCAACCATAATATTCTTCAAGACATTAAATCTTGTCCTCAAAAAATGTCTTGTTCGTTTTGTAGACATTGACGAATGCACAACTCGACCAGGACTCTGCAGAAATGGAACATGTGTCAATGAAGCTGGCGGGCATACATGTTTCTGCGATAACGGATTTACACTGACTGATAACAAGGATTGTTTTGGTAAGGTTTCATACCGTCCTCATTTACTTATTTCTTTTTTTTAACTACTTTTTTGGCCTTGAACTAAACGATTATAAAACTAAACAAAATAAAACCTTTTTTGTTTATAGTTTCTTCTGTTTTTTGTAATCTCTTCATTTTAAGTCTTTACTATGGACCCCAAAATGAATTGTTGGCTATTATAATACTTTTTCTTCTCGATAGATATCGATGAATGCCGTACATTGATCGGAATTTGTCAAAATGGACGATGCTTAAACACGGTGGGTAGTTTCACATGCGATTGTCAAACTGGATACCGGTTATCATCCGATCACCAAAATTGTCTCGGTAAGTCCATAGTATATTTTATTTGCTTTACTGCTTTCTCTCCTCACATGAATACCTCTGTCAATCATATGCAACTACTTCAGCCATATAATCTGTGACATAGCAACAGTTGCTACAAATCTTTAGTCGAGAAAATAACTCTCGTCATTTATTGAACTTGGCACGCTCGTTCCACATTCCACACGGATAACCGTTACTCTACCCGCATCTATCTAAAATTTTATATATATATATATATATATATATATATATATATATATATATATACACACACATATATAAGAAAGGGGGAAGGAAGTGCTCGGCGTTCAGATTTTGGTAAAAAGCAAAATTTTAGATCATTTTCAAAGCAGGTATTTTCTTGTGGAACTTTGGCATTTTTCCTTTTATTCCTCACTAGCACCTTTTTAGCTTTGTACCAGATTTGGAAAATCCATGAACATCAAAGATGAATATCTGTCCATAAATTCAATTCGAAATAGGTTTTCCAGAGAAAATAAAACCTATCAGTGTGTGTGCGTTGCGTAGCGGTCATCAGTCAGTAGGATGGGCAAGCCGACTTAAAATTTCAACCAATGATGTGGAGTTTATTTTCGCACATGGGTGCTTAGGAAAAAAGTATGAATGCTCCTCTATTTCTCCCAACTCTGTGTTAAATAGCAGGGTAGACCGGACTTGAGTGGTTACTTGTCCAAATTCCAAAACAGTGGATAGAGCAACCAGAAACCATTCCACTATCTTTCCCACGAATGCATGTCAATTCACAAATAATAAAGTAAATAACACTGTAGAAAGTCAAGATCGCATACGTACCAAAGGGACATGGTATTTTTTAATGTTGTATCGTATCTGATAAGCATACAACAAAAAAAAAACGAGTTTGGATAGTTTGACCCAGGGCCCACAAAGGTTATGTACTCCGAAAGGAATCCAACTCTCCTCCGCCTTACCAAATATATTTTTTCCTTTCTTTTTGCTATATTAACGATCTGCTTATGAACATTCCCAGATCACGAGTAAATATATATATATATATATCTACTCTGACCTCTCTTGCATAGCTAAATAGGGGAGGAACTGACTTGTAACATTTAATACCCCAAAACCAGTCTAGTAAAATGTCATCATCATAGAGCAGACTGTTTTCTGTTGTACTCTCCATAAGGCTATGGACCGTCTACTCATTCCACACGTCAAGTGGAACTCGCATATACGATCTATCGCTAGAGTTGCTAGAAAAACGTTCGGTTCCTTGTAGCGCCCCAGAAAGTACCGGATTCCTCCTGCCACGATATATCTTTACAAGAGCGAAATTAGACACAAAATGAAGTATTACTGCCATGTCTGGTCTGCAGTTGCCCAATCCTCGCTTTTCAGCCTTGACAGAGTTCAAAAACATTTACGTAGCCATTTTGGTGATAGTTTTCCACCCTACATCCCCTTTCCCACAGACGAAACGTTGCTATCCTATCGCTAATTTCATTGCAGATTTTCGGAGGAACTAAATTCCTTGGTTCCACCGGTTCAGACGTTCAGAGCTAGGACCCGTCATGCCTTCATATTCCATTAGTGAGGAGGAAGATCCACTCAGATAGCTTCTTTCCCACAACTGCTGCATTGTGCAATCTTGACGAGGGTCAACTGTTTGTTTTTTTTTTGTTTTTTACTAATGTTCACCCAATACAAGGCCCAAGAGTCACTCGGAGTAGAGGATTACTGTGTGGATTTATATTAGCGTAGAAAAGGACAAGCGTTAGGAGTATAGAGCTGGAAGTAGACTTTAGAAGGAACCGGAAACCCAATCCTAAGCGGGAAACAAGGGATAAACCTCTACTCTTGTTCAAAAGACAGAGGAGCGTGAACCGGACGATATCTACTCTTATCCTACATATTTTCATATGAATCTCCTTGCTCGCTGTACTTAAAAAATATCTACGGATTTGCAAGATGAGATTGGTAACTTTTTTCAGTAAATGTCAAGGGAGACAATCTTGTAGAGGAGTACTCTCCCTTGTTATTAATTTTTTTTGTCGGTATTTGTTTATTTCCTCAGTTTTTGGTAGTCTATCTGTTCCGCTCTACACGTCTCTGTCATCCGTTCCTTGTCGGCATTTTTTTTTTTTTTTAATTACTCACTTCTCACGTTTTCTTTCTGCAGATAATGATGAATGTTCGGACAATCCTGGTATTTGTCGAAGAGGTAAATGCCATAACATGGAAGGCTCATTTGAATGTTCATGCTTGCCTGGCTATAGACTTTCACCCAATGGCGATGAATGTATCGGTAAGTTCTCGTTCTTAGTCATCAAAACTACTGCTTAACCACAATGCGAGATATTTAACAACAGCGACAAGAAGCAGAATGTGGTTGGCTAAGTTGTGCATTTAGACACATCAGACAGCATAATTTTAAAATTTAAGTTATGCAGCTCTGCATCTTAAGCGTTTCTCTCGATGTATAACCTAACTGGCGTTTGTTGTATTTCTATCCCTCGATCTACCACAGGTTGTCCTCCCCAAAATTGATATAATTTTGTAGCCTAATAACGTAGTTAATTATCGAATTTTAACAAAATGTATAAAAACTAAGTTGACTGTGCGAACTTATCTCAATAAGAATCTACTAAGAATATGAATTGGGCGTGCCAGTGATAAAAACAACATTCTGTTGAAATGGCCATCACATTCACCTGACTTGACACCTTATTTTTTTTCTATGGGCCTATGTGAAAGCACATGTCTATATCCACGATTTCATACAAGCCTGGAGAAACTTAAGCAGAGAATCACTGAGGCGCCTGAGAATGTTATTACAGCGTGTTTGGCAGGAGCTGGACTACCGACTCGACGTGTGCCGTTCCACAAGTGATGCGCATATTAAATATTTGTGAAGCTTTGTGAAATCGGTTATAAAAATCTACATCTCATTGAATATCTTATTCGAATGTTGATGAATAAATCTTATTTTGTTCAACATGAAGCCTATTTAATTTCATCTGCCTGAGACATGTAATTATTCAGATATTCACATTTTAAATTGTCAATTTTGGGTCGGGAGTGGGAAGGACACTGTGTATCATACCCTTAATAAAAAAAACACATTCAAAAGGCTTCTTCAGGTTAATAAAAGACAAAGGCCTTTTGGCGAGGATCAAAGGGCAGTATCTGTTCTCTTCTCTTTTGAGATGGTGGAAGGCTCTCAGATCCGAGGTTTCCATCCCTGCCATAGTACCTTCCTCATTACACTGAGAGGTTGAACCAACGTAATATCGACGCCAGCATGACAATGGTCGTGAAGACTTGGCAATTTTTTTTTGCTTATATATATATATATATATATATATATATAGACAACATGCATTTTGTGCCCATAAATTATATTGATCGACTTATGATCCTCGTTCTCGAAGCAATATTCGTACAACAAAAAACAACTATCTATAAATTAAAAAAAAAAAACTATAATTTAAGAGCCGTCATCCTCATATATATATATATATATATATATATATATATATATAAACATAAACAAGCGAGCACACGTCACAACACTCTGGTCAGTTTACCACACTCACTAGTTCTCCAAAACCAACCATTTGTCTCTACCTACCCCGATGTCAGAAAGTAGAAAGTTTGGACTATATTTCTTCCGAAATGAACTTTGGTCAATTTCTGATGGAGTTTCCTCTTCATTTTCAATTTGGAAAAGTCGATCAATAAAATTAACCTGCACAAAATGTCCACTGTCTTTAACAATATTTTCTTTAAAAAATATTTGCTGCCTAAATATATACACACACACACACACACACACACACACACAGGTAATAAATAATCCAAAGGTATATAATCCAAGAGAATCCTAATATGAAATATTAAAACTGATCCACAAAAAGAGTTCAAAAGAGATGTTAGGAAATGAGATGAGTGCTTAAAATTTAATCATTTAAAGAGTAAAAGACGACGACGAAGAAGATAGAAAAGGAAAAAGCAAAAAGAAAGCAAGAGCAGCAGACATAAGTTTACATAGATTTCCAATACTATAGCGAGAATGATTACATGAATAAAGGAAGAGAGAGAAAAAATAAGGAAAAGAAAAGGACAAAACGCCAGGGAGGAAGGAGAATAAGGAGGCAATGGCAGATTTAAAAAGCTAGTAGAAGTGGGAGGGTCTGGTTCGGTTAGACAGTTAAAATAACCTTGAACTATATTTTAAAATATTAACCACTCAACTTAGTTTTGAAACAGTCACAAAATTAAAGAAACAAAAAACACAAATTTATGCTAGTAAAAATAATCTTCAATAGATACTTTATATCAGAGAAATTACTTCAAGATATTTAAAAATTAGAGAAGATTTATTTTAAAAAATTTGTAAGTAAAAAGGTAACATCTAAAATTAAAATGATATACAGAATACGAATAATACATGCATACAAGATAATAAATAGAATAATTATTAAATAAAATTATTGGAAAAATTAAAAGATATTAAATAAATTTTAAAATAAAAAATAAGTATCAAATATTAAATAAAAATCAATATTTAATTAAATATAAATTAATAAGTATAAATAAAATTAAGTGTAAATTTAATGTCTAGGGTCTTTCTATGTAGAGAGAATCTAGACATTAAATTTTTAATTTTTTTCTCTCTTCCTCTTCCTTTATTCCTTTAATGTTTAGATTCTCGCTATAATACTGGAAATCTATGGAAACAGAGGCTCCCACTATCTTCTCTTTTACTTTCTCCTTTTCTATCTCGCTCGTCTTTTACTCTTTAAATTTTAAGCTCTTATCTCTCTCTCTCACACACACACACACACACACATACACATATATATATATATATATATATATATATATATATATATAATATGATTCCAAAACTACATAAGACTTCTCATGTTTCAAAACAAGAGCCGAAAACTTCAATATAATTATTTGAATTAAAGTACCATACTCTGTTCCATCTTTTTTTTTTTGATGGAACAGAGCTTGGTACTTTAATTCAATTTAATTCAAATAATTGAAGTTTTCGGCTCTTGTTTTGAAACATGAAACCTCTTATGTAGCGTTGGAATCATATTTTTAAATAATTATATTTAGGCTAATGTGTGTGCAGGAAGAAAAAAAAAGGAAATGTGTATCAATCTAACATATTTCACATTTATTAAAGCTTCTTCAGAGATTGTGGGAAAACGGACAAAAAGAGAAACTCTGGTATTTTCAATTTTGTTTGGATCAGTATTCATTGGTCAGTCACGTGCATTAACCGCAGATAATTTATATACGGTTAGTGCCCGTGACTAATTAAATGAGTTCATCGAGAATTTTTTTATTTTTTTAAATCTTATCACGAATTTTAAGAATATAAAAGAAATAGCAAAATGGAACAAAGGGAGCTAACTGATGTTTTTCATAAATTCCTCTATGTGCTGTGTACCTTCAGGATGTTGGCGATCATGGCTCTCCATAATTTTCTCTCCTTTGTCGCTCTTAGTAAAGTTTCTTTTTGTGATCTTCCTTTTATCAGTGTTATGCCAACCATTTACACAAGCTCGTTAGATATGTTATCCTCTTCTTTTTTTTTCTGTCCCTTTTGCCTTCAATCTGCCTTGTGAGTTAAATTTCCCCAAGTCCTTTTTCATCATTATATGCCTTAGAGATTTCAACTTTCTTTTTGATTCTAAGTATGTGTCCTTTTTGTTTCATTTTCTCTAAAACATTGTCGTTGCACACGTTCAGTCCGTGGCATTCTCAGCATCCTTCTGTAGAACCGACTTTCTTTTGTCTAAAGTCTCTTGATCTGTGACGTGATTGTCCAGCATTCACTTCCATATATAAGGACCGATATTTCTTAAGTCTAATACTCTTTTCTTTGATTCAAACTGAATTTTCCTGTTTCTTCATAATTTGCTTAGCTTTTGATAGGAAAATTTTCGTTATTCCAATGTGTCTTCGGATTTCGGTGTCACATTTTCCGTCCCCTATTAAAACACTTCCTAGATATTTGAATTGTTGTATTTGCTTCAATTTGGCGCCTCCAATTTTTAGTTTGCACCTTAGATTGTTCAATTTGTTGACCGCCGTACAATCTGCCTTCTTACAATTGATGTTTAGTCCTTTCTTCTCTCTTTCATTCTGTAGGAGTTTTTTTTTTCTTTCTATATCTACTATGAGCACTGTGTTATGTCAAATTATCAAAACAAAAGATTTCTTGTTTTTTTTGTTTTTTTTTTGTCTTTGTTTTTTTCATTATTAATTTTGATCGTTTCTCTTTAGACATTAACGAATGTAGAACTGAAGCAAATATTTGTTACGATGGAACTTGTACCAACACGGACGGCTCGTTCATTTGCACATGTCAAAAGGGCTTTGTGCTAAGTCCAGACGGAAGAAAATGTCAAGGTAAGTCGAGTTTTCTATTCAATCAACCAAACGTCATTATTTGTGGGGAAGGATTTCTTATAAATTTTATACAACGGAGTCTGCTTAGTGGCTGAGATAGTTGCTTATCTTCCACTTGTATCAATGTCGGAGTCAATCTAAAAGATAGAATTTCGAATGCTGATTTTCACAAGAAGTAGGCCAACTCTCTCTAAATTTTAAAACTTAGCCAAAGACAATCTTTCTGTCTCCTGTTGTAAAGTTGTGTATCTTCTACCGACAGCAACGGTCGGGGTTCGAGTTCAAGTAATGGCCAGGATCGCGATTACCGATTATATTTTAAAGGCAGGCAAGTTCCCCCATCCCTCTTTCTCACCTTGTATCATGTGTAGTTAATCTTAGTAAATATCTATAATTGTATAAGCGACTGAGCAGACTAAACTGATGGACAAAAAAATGGGGTTGGATGATATATGAAATAATAAACAATCCTCAGAAAGAGTTTACTCCTTTGTAAATGCATACTGGATAATTTGATGACTGATAACCTAGTGTTTATAACTTCATTATATAAGTAACAAATATGTCGGTGACTGTAGAGAGGGTAACCGAATTCGATGTGTTGAACACCAATAAAGAGCAACTAGTCATTTTTAAGAACGACTAAACCTAGAAACTTTAATGGTCGATTCAAATGGCTATCGGACAAAAATGTGGGAAAATATATTCCTACTAGAAAAGTGTATGAATCATTCATTAAAGATTCAACGCACGCGTGTTGGGCCTTCAGATATTGAAGGTGTTCATAACCATTAATGCGATAAAAAGCAAATGAAATTAAGATGGCGAAATATTAGCCAAAAGCAAGCAATAATTAACAAAAAAATTGGAAAAAAAAGACAAACAAAAAACGAATACAGTTAATGTTGTTTTATTCCTTTTCATTGTTTTTTGTTTTTTTTTCCCCAGATATGAGACGTGGTTTCTGCTACCGTAAATTCGAAAATGATCGCTGCTTTGATCCAAGCAGTATGAACATGACACGCTCGGAATGTTGTTGCAGTCTTAGCGTAGCCTGGGGAGGTGTACACTGCGAGGTGTGCCCTAACCCTTTAGAAGGTAATCTCCCTCTCTCTCTCTCTGCTATTTATAAAAAACATAAAAACTTTATTTAAGCAAAAATGGTGTTTGTTTTTTTTTTGTTTTTTTTGTTTGTTTGTTTGTTTTTTTAAATTTATTTATATTTCGGAAGGAGGTATTGTTTTTGAAACTCATTCTACATATGAATAACTGTTTAAAAGCTGAACAATTTTATAACTAATTCTTACCGGTGACTATACCGAGGAGGTCCCAGTTTACTTTAGTCACAATGGTGTCATCTAGTGAAGATCAAACTCGCAGGTATTTAGCTAACTATCGAACTACAGCCAGAACCTTAGTTAGGTATCATCATCGTTGTTTTGTTTTTTTTTTTTTTTTTTTTTCTCTCTAGATGCAGGACAATATGAAAAGTTCCCTAGATAAAGTAGCGTAAGAACAAAAGAAAATTTAATCGGGATTTTAACTACTTGGAACAGCCTAATGGGATATCTTGCTAGAAAGTTCAGTATCCATGAAAGGTTACTATTTCGCCTATAAGCTGGATAGGCCATGTAACAACTTATACACTGAATATGGTGAAACTATTTTTCTGCATTGATGACGAAGTCCAGTTTTTTCCATTTCCACAAAGGGGCCAGAGTTATTCCTACAAACAAGATCAGGGTGGTAGCACCTATTAGGATCCAAGCTATGGAAAAATAGTAAACACCCAAACTGGGGTCAACATAAAATAAAAAAAATCACTAGAAAAAAATTATCACCAATACATTTGGTGCTCAAAACTCACATTTAAAATTAAATTTCGATATTAAATGACCCATAGAGAGTTGATATGCCGTTAAACAAACCAAACCACTGACATTGACTGAGATATTAACGAGAAGAGAACATCCTGACATTTTAAAAAGGCTTAATATTACATTCCATGCCGTTTCCTTGTCCCCGACGCTAATACGTGAAATGGTATTAACGAAAAGGATCATTTCGTTTGCTTATTCGTTTTTATTAGAAAAGAGGGATAGACGGGGCAGGTTGGGTTCTAAGAGGCAGCGGGAGGAATGATGTCACGGGAACGGGTGTGTCTCATTGGCTTAACATCCCTCTGAGTGTGGTTTGAGTCGGTTTCACGAACATGATTCTTGCGGCTCTGTTGAATTTGCGCCGTTTTGAACTTATATCCAAACCCAAACAAATCCATCACTGTCAGAATAACACGCCCATGAGGCATTCTGTCCAATTGTTTACCATTCTGGCGCTAGTCTTCGCATTTTGTAGCATGAACCCGTGAAGAACATTACTGAACTCTTCTGTAATGTCAGCCCTCATATATGGCAATGAGTGCTGGACCATCTCATCGCCGATGAAGAAGAGACTTGAAGCAGCCGAAACGTGGTTCTACAGAAGGATGCTAAGAATAACGTGGACTGAAAACGTGAGCAACGGCGGAGTTTAAAGAAAATGAAAAAAAGGACACATACGTAGCATAAGAAATAGCCAGTTGAAATTTCTAGAGCTCACAATAAGGAAAGAGGGCTTGGAAAAATTGGCACTCACGGAATATAGTGACGGATTTTGTGTAAATGGTTGACAGAACAGCGTTTAAGAGATATAGTAAAAAGACACTTTATTAAGAGATATAAAGGACAAAGTTGTAGAGAAACATGATAGGCGAAGTCCTGAAGGAACACTGGACATAGGACAACAATAATCCGTGAAGAAATGCCATGTGTAGACTTCTGAAGGACTTGGCGATACTTTTGCAAGATCTGGTTCTGCGTATTCTGGCAGTTAATCAGAAAATGACTGAAAACAATTTGTCGGTGTCAGTGAAAGGATTTTTACCTGGAGTGGCTGATAATATGACGTCATAATATGTCATTGATAACACATAGAGCCTCTACCAATTTCCAAAAAATATTAAGATTGGAGACTATCAGATAGAAAGTGTTTGTAGAGACAATGTTGACATAGGAATCAACACATCTTGACTTTCACGCCTCAAGCGATCTTTAGAGCATGAAAATTGCGTGAAGCAAGATTTTTTTTCCTATACTGTCTGTATATTAGGGAAAAAAAAACTAGAATTGACTGAAATAAATTTACCTTCGTCTGGAAAAAAAATCTTCTTTATAGGAAAAAATTACTTTAGATTTGGAAATAGTCCTACACACACACACACACATCAGTCCTAATTACCATAAAGGAGACGATTTAAAACAAGCATACATTTTTCTGACTATTTTATGGAGTTCACCAATCTAAGAAAATTTCTAAAGTACCAAATAGTCAGTTATTTATTTTTCTTTGAATGTCATGTCCTTTCAGGACGTAGGCAGATCATATTTAATCCATAGCTGGCAGGGTGGGAGGTGATAAAAAAAAATGATTGATACCTCCCCAAAGGGCATTTATGTGAAAATAAATGCAACAAACGAGGCTGGAATATGAACTCAACATGACATTTTCTGTACCGATAACCGTTTAGCTACCTGCACATATTATTACTGAATTGATTTTAGCATTTAAAGTGGAAATGTTGCTAAATACAGTCATAGAATGAGCGTTATCTGATTTGAGTCGAAGCTTTTTCAATATAGCCACTTTGACTATGATCATCCTTGACGTTACCTGTTTATATTGTTGTTTCAACTCTGTGTAACACCAATGCTTGGTGGCATGAGTGACAACTCGCGTTGTTCTTTACTCGGCCGTCCTGCTGGGATCAAAGTGTAGTAACTGCTCTTCCCACTGGAATATTTATACCTTCCGAGCAGTTCATAGATATTGTGATAAGTAAATCCCCAGTCTCGGGGAATTTAACCTTGGGACAACACCTCTCTCATTGCACTAAAGAGGAAGGTTTGATTAATGCCAACGCCAGTCTGACTGACAATGGTTGCGGGAAGATGTCAATTTTTGTCCCATATAATTGAGTATGGGTAGCTCACGTGTAACCCGACAGTGGTTGGGTAGGAAAATGTTTCAGTAAAAGATTTGAGGGGGAAAAACTCTATTGAAAATTCTATTCTTTAATAGATTTCAATTACAATGCTATGTATTTATCATTTTGTTATTGCTTATCTAAAATAAACTGAATATTTGGCTTTATTATTCAATTTTAGTCTGAACAGATATGTAAGCCGCTTTCAGCATTAAATATTCATGGAGTACTTCAATAATCAACACCAGATAATGGCTTAAAGAGGAGCTTCCTTGTCGTATATGGAACACAATACGATATTTCATTTTCACATATAAAAAGTGTCTTGTAGCTATTAACTAAACTTCGTTTCGGCAAAGAGCTCCATGTATAATATCTAACTCGCTATTCAGTAATACTTAACTGCGTTTCTAGCTTATTAACCATTACATCACCGGGAAGCACTTAACGAGTGTGTCTTAAATATTGTCAAATATAGTAATAATAAAGAACTGTCTAATCTAAAAAGGTTACACAGTTTTATTTCATTGCGATAAATATCACCTAAAAACTTGCTTGGCACTGAAAATGCGTCTCTTAAGCTGTTTCGTCCATTGTTCTAAAATGGAAAGGTCAATGCATTGTCTAGTCTGTAATTAGTAGTATCAGCATACCACTAGCATTTTGTGATGCTCCCATTATATCAAATTGACCCAATGAATTCTGTTTGATAGAATGCTTTTATTTTATTGAAAAAATGAGTCTGGATTACACTAGTCAGCGATATTTTCATGGATACGCTGCAGGAGCTTGGCAGAAAATATTTGTATAGTTTAATTCTGTATACATTAGTAAGCTTTCGGCATTTCATGTCTCTGCCCACTGACTTTGTCTTTACTCTACCCACATTTAGATTTAGTCATTTTTTTTCACTAAATATTTGAATGGTGGGTCAAATATGTTGATTATAAACGGAATTTCATTTTCTTTTTTATATCTAAGATACATTTCAGCAAGTTTTGACACCACGTACATACAAAAAAAAACAAAACAAATCAACCTAACACCAAAAAGAACATCTCAATTAGCGCATAAGTTAATTACATCAAATGAGTATAAAGATAACGGGAAAAATTCGTTTACGAAGCTCTGGCCTCTAGGTGCTGAATGGAACATCAATCAGTGAAGTGATACATTTTAGATATATATATATATATATATATATATATATAAAAGTTATCAGTCGTGTAGACGATATGCAAGATTTACTAATAAACTGAATAGTGTTGGGATAAACAATAATTATCTGCTTTGACATATAAAATGTCACGTGATAGCCCTGCAAAATAAAGTCAAGCAAAAGGCTCGGTTTTGGCACAGGACTCAAAGTATCTCTCTCACATTATCCAACTTAACTCTCCAGGTTAGATATTTACCGGCCCAATATTTTTATTTCTGATGAATCAGTTTGCCATTAAAGACATTTTTTTTTCTTTCATTTCTTTATCAATATTTCTCCTTGCTTATTATTCCAAGTGTGTGAGAATTTTTGTGGCAGCATTGACAACCAAGTTTTTCTCTATCTTCTACTAAGACTCTCTCTCTATTTGTATATAAACATTGTATTGCATACTTTACATGGCGTCTTTTCATATCCTTTTATTTCAGTGTTAGTTCAACCAACAGACTCTCTAAATGCTAAGAATTGTCGTGGAATATTCCCGTATCAAACCATATATGGATTATTATATATATATATATATAAATGCATTGCCAACAATTTTACTATAGAAATGCACGTGAAGAACGAATGCAAGGCTTACTGACAGACTTATTTATTAAGATAAATCGCGCAAATAAATATTTTTCAGATCTATTTCAACATAATTCTAAAAACAGCATAATGATGGAAATTATACTTGTGATTTTAAACACTATTTTTGAAAGATTTTAAATGATATTTTTTTTATTTTACTTAACCATCTGATGGTGCGTCTTGACAATTGTAACACTATATTCAGTATGACGTAAGTTTTTAAATAATCGTTGTCATTAATGGTAACTAATTTTGTTAATTTCACTTCAGAGGCACACAAGAGATTATGTCCCAACATCGGTCGAATAGAAATGAATGGCGTCCTACACGGTAAGCAGAACTTTATTTCATTTACTATTCCACACGTACACTTAAAGAACTTAGCCAAACTCTATCAAAAGATTATACAGAATATAAAATATCTCTTCGAAACCACAGAACCCAACAACATTTTGAACTTTCTAAACGAAATAAAACTTTTTATATCAAAATTTAAAAAGAACTCCCTACTCGCATAATGCAAATAGCAAAATCATTCTCCTGTTTTGCCTTTTGAGTACGACAAAATGCAAACCCAGCCAACTTAAATTGGCTCTGAATAACTCACTAGCGGTTGAAGGGTCGTTAATTACCCAAACCAACCAATCAAAGAATTATTCCAGCTCTGAATTGCTTTAGAATATAGTCACAGGGGTCTATTTATTAATCAAGTCGATTATCTGCTTAATAAGTTGAAAGAAAATATCTTCTGGATTTGAAAGGATCCTTATCGAAAAAGGAAAGAAAACTGATTTCGGACTAATGGTTGTAGGAAAGAGAGATTAATTTATTACCGACTCAATTACATAAGTGATCGGTTTTCCAGATTTAAATTAATAAAAAATTTCAAATGATAAATTTGGGGTCCAATTTCTTGGAAATTAACGATTTTCCGTTTTTTTTTTCTTCCATCGTCTGCCACCCAAAGCAAGAGTGTCTAGTCTGCTTATTTAACCCATAGTTGGGGATGATGAATTCATGCGTTAATTTTCAGTCATTAATGTGAAGTACACGAGACACGCACTGGGAATTTGAACCCGACTCGCCGATTTCACTTTCCGTGACAATAACCGTTGCGCGACACGTTTTAACTATTTCCAAAACAATTGCGCTTAACATTTATAAAATCAAATCACAACGTTCCCTCATGGAAAGAAAATAGTCCATATTGCAAGTATTAATAAGCAGTTGAAAAAATGCATAGGCTTTGTTTTTGCTGGGGTTCACTAAATTCGTTCATTTTAAAGTATGGAAGCATAAAAGATAATCTTGTATTATTTTTCCCGCCGGAAAAAAAAAGAAAATGTTGCCTGTACCCATCGCGACAACCCTCACCTCAACTCTTGACCCTTAAAATTGAAAATGTTGTATATTTTGTTAGTAGTCAACCAGAAATCCTCAAGCCTGATTCTAAAAATCGAAATTTTGTTAGTAGTCATTATAATTCTCACCTCAACTCCTGACACTAAAAATCGAAAACTCGGTTATCTTGATCTGAGTAAAGATTGGCTTTGCTTATCAAAATTCGTATGATATTTTTTCTTTATTCTATTTAATTACAAGTCGCCAAAAACTTGCAAACATTTTTATTAGTAGTAACTCAACAGGCGATGTTGGTTTATTTATTTGAATAATTTTCTAATGTTTCTATTAATACATATCTTGGAGAAGAAATCGTTAAACATAGTTTCTCCATGGATCTAAAATGTGTTGATGATTTAAACAGAAAAATCTTGCAAAGTTAAAAATAATTTTCTTGCTCTACTGGAAATATATAGAGATCCATTTCGATGACACGGCACAGTATCTAAAACCATTATCAAAATACAATTTTACTGCGTATCATCACCTGAATACAATAGTAATGGCAAAGCGTAACGGTCGTGTGAACTAAGGAACTAATGAATTGGAGGGACAAGCAGAATTGTTTTTACCGCTGCATTCCCAGGCCATCATAAGATTTTTATCTTGCATCTGTTAAACCCGAACATTCGAGTGACAATTTCAATGCAAATAGTGATCAAAATAGTGAAAATCATTTTTGTTAGCATTATAATTAAAATAAAAATACTGAAAATTATATAGAATAAATCAAATTAATTGTTAATGATTGCTTGAGTTTTCTTCTTTCTCGCCAGATATCAACGAATGTATGATGTATCCTGATTATTGTAAAAATGGCCGCTGTATCAACACAGATGGTTCGTTCCGCTGTGAATGTGCGACAGGCTTTGTCGTGGATAAAAGTAAAACCAACTGCATTGGTGAGTTTATTGCTAACTCAAGCTGTATTCCTTTTCAAAATGACCGCATTTATCGCTTTTTACGACACCCAGAAGAAGAAAAAAATGATTAAAAACAATGACTTTTGTATATTTTAGACGAGAATGAGTGTTTGTCAGAGAACGTTTGCGGCAGAGGAATATGTACCAACAAAATAGGTGGATTTTCTTGTTCTTGCGAAGATGGCTACGGTCCAGGACCTGATGGTACATGTGAAGGTAAGACTCTTTTCTTTTTCCAGTTGTTGTTTTTTTTTTTTTTTTTTTTTAGAACTTCACCAGTAGACTTTGTTATAAACTTAAATTTTATTCTCTTACAAATGAATGATTTATTAAAATGCTACTTCCAAATGTTTAACGAATATTAATGAACATAAATCTGTTTAGAAAGTTTAACTGGACGAGAAACAAGTCGGTTTAATTCAAAATTATTAATGAAAGAAAATATATTAAAAGTTAAAAAAAAAGGACGATCAGAATCGGTAAAAATTCTACGGTACTTGCCAACTATATACTTTGTGTATTATTTTTAACCATTTCATCCCAAGCAAGGCAATAAAACCCCTAAGACGCAAGGAGTTACGGAGTGTTAGATAATGAGAAAAACAAACTATTAAGGGGAGGAAAAAATAAAAGAACAAGAATTAAGCAAACAGATAATGACAGACATTGCATTTAAATTTTTGATGATAAATATTTGGATAATTTTGTTGAAGTGGTTTCTTTATACGCGGAATTATATATATATATATATATATATATATAATGATTAGCCCAACATTGGCATTTTATTACAAGGTTAATTTATTAACATGTTATATTATAGTCAAGATTAAATTAGCAAATAAAATTCTCCTTACAGGATTTCTAATGTTAAATTTAATTTTTGAAAAATGCACGTCTGGCGAGGACCCCAATACACAGACATTTCAAAGCTTCTCAGGAGTACGACAGAAAAGAAAATGAGAGCCCTAAACTATTTAATATTTTCCTAGACTATGCACATATACAAGCATAGATTTGGCACCCCAAAGTGGTGTAACGGTTAGCAAGCTTGTCATGCTAAAACAATTACCAATGAGTAGTGAGTTTGATTCTCAAAGAGTGCCCTATACTTTGGGCCTTGTGCCACATCTAAGCTACGCTTGGAAAATCGCTATACAAGCATAGATCTGAAGAAATAGTGCTGAAATGATCAGTACCTATGCCATATCCCAAATGAATCTACGAATACAAAAGGGCGTTCCTACTTTCTTTCCCGAGGCTAGTGTACCGACAATGAAGTGGGCTATTCTGATGACATAGGTATTCATAATGGGAATAAAAATGATCTTTAACAGAAAAGCAACGTCCTCTTCCAAGTGTTTCGAGAAATAGGACTCAAGATAAACCTTTCCAGAAAAAAAAACTAGGATTTGAAATTGAAATGAAAGCAATAATGGCAAATACACTAAATCCATAATAAAAATTCATGATGAGAAATTAATGAATATTAAACACTTCAAATGCCTCGGTGTATGGATCACTTATAACAGATTTAGTATAAGAGATAAGGAAACTAAACATAGAATAGGTTGTACTAGAGGCAGTTTTGCCCAATCTGACAAGGCTGTTTAAGAACATTAGTAGAATTTTTACTCTACTCATATTCTTAAACAGCCTCGTCAGATTAGAACTTTCATATGGATGCCATGCACAGCGCCCAAACCAGTTCAGAAATATCTAAACCCACGACTTCATACGACCGCTTTCTCAAATCAGTGGTTAAAAATGGCTTTGAGCGAATGAAGTCTGTAGGTTTCGGCGAGGACCATCCACCTTCGAATGTTGTGGATTGGTGCCACAGAATCACAGAAAGAACTGTACCAAATAACAGAAACCACATCACTTAAGAAATTTCAACAACAGCAACCATTAAAATGGACATGTAACTCGAAGAGAAAATAATGACATAATCAAGAGGTTGACATATCACATTACTTCAAACAAAATGTTAGGAAAAAATCCCCTATCATTACTGGAAAGAGTGATAATAATTACTGGACTTTAGAAACTTGCTTCCTGAAAGATTTTTTTTTTTTTTCATAGTAAAATTGTATAAATTTCAATTCAGGCTACTCGCTTAATGAATGTCGGATGCATCTTTAAAAGTAAAATGGCTCATATTACCATTACTCTTGTCATGAAAGGTAATGGAGTGGATTCCAGTTGTCTTTTCCACAATTTTGAATTCATAATTGCCCTTCTCTTGGATTGGTTGGAACAAACCTACCAAAGCAGAAGAACCCAGTTCTCTTATTTTAAATTTAACTAGGAAAAAAAGAAGTGAATTCAGGCCTTTCCCAACAGTTTCGGATGGAATTTAAACTAGGCTTGTTGATTCTTTTCTCTGTGCGGATAACCATTACGCCACCTACAAATCCATCCACATCTACGTTGTGTATTTCGTGCAACTTTAAAATTTTATAAGCTAAAGATATAAGAACCTTTTTTATATATTTAAATTGTAAAGCTTTCTAATTTTGTTTAAAATGAAAGTTTTGCGTTCACATATTTGGCTGTGCAAAATGATACTTCGATACAAAACTTAATAAAAAAAAAAAGCATCTGGCATCTCTCTCTTTTAATTCATATCAAATTCATTGCGCCTTCTTGGGTTAACATTCTCAGCGCCTTCTTGGGTTAACATTCTCAGCGCCTTCTTGGGTTAACATTCTCAGCTGACATGAGGTGGAAATCCTATATTGAATTAATTGCTAGGTCAGCTGCTGAGGAAGTCGGTTCACTGTGTCGTGCGAGACAATTTTTCTTTCCGTAATCTATCTTGCATATCGATAAATCTACCATTCGTCCATGTTTAGAATATTGCCGCCACATATGGTCCGGTGCTCTTGTTATTTACCTGGAGCTCCTTGATAAGATCCAAAGAATCGGCAATATTATTTGTCCTGATCTGGCATCTCAGCTTCAGTCGCCGTAAGATTGCCTCTCTGTGCCATTTTAATAAATATTTTCATGGTAATTGTTCGGATGAGCTCTTCGCTATGGTACTTAGACTGTATGAGTTTAAGCGCAATACTAGACTGGCGGCGAGATCTCATCAATTTACAGTTGAACTAGCTAGATATAGCCGTAACTTCTATGTTGACAGTATCTTTTCCCGTTTGTGGAACTCCCTTCCGGCTCCCAGCTTTCCAGCCAACTTTAATATGCAAGAATTTAAATGCAGTGTCAATCGCTATCTACTGTCCTCCTGATTGCTCTTTTCTCTTTCTGCTCATTACTAATGTTTCTGTTCCTAATTCATTCACGCCCTGTAACTCCTTGCGTGTTAGTGGCTGCACTGCCTTTCTTGGTGCTATACCGATTAAAAAAATGAATAAGTAATAATAAATTTTGCAATGATTGTAACTTTATAATATACACTTTTACATGTATGCGTATTATATACACAGACAAACACATGTAGTGGGTTCTAAATAGTTCTCAGCATAACCAAGAAGCACTTTGACAACAACAAAAAAAATTAACGTTTGGTCAAATTTTGGAAACTGGATCACGCCGATAACTTATTAGCCCCCACTAATATATGTTCAATAAATCTATTATCTAATGTCGAAAATAATCATTCATGTCACTGCACTTGATGCTTCTCCAAACAACGCGTATATCAAACTCTGTATAGTGAAAGTTTTAGATCAGACTACGGACTTATTGATTTTCCTCTTTTATATACTGAAATTTCCAAATCTGAGTATAACGTTCATAATTATATATTTTTTCTTTTAAAAAGACATTGTATATAAAAAGAATACATAGAATTTGAAACTGAATTTATACATTTATTTTTTTTTCCTTTAGATTTGAATGAATGTCAGACGGAATTAAACAAATGCGCTTTCCGTTGCGTCAATACTCCGGGTTCATTCAGGTGCATTTGTCCCATTGGCTACAGACTGGCAGATGATGGCATCCACTGTGAAGGTACGCCACTCTAAAAGACACTTAATGTATACTCTTTTTCTAAACGTAACTAATTTACCATTCCCTGTTGAATCTACCTTTTTCACACTTGACCATACATTTGAATTCTTTAAGCTTTTTGTCTATTGATTGAATTCTTTTTGATCAAGACCAGACTTTTGGCTGTGGAAATGTAACCAGCTTTTGGCAATCGTCGTCTTGAATTGTCTCATTTTTCAAATTTGGGCCGCCATCACAATTAAGAACATTTTGTCTTCCATACTTTTATCCCGAAAGTCAGTAACTTTCTAATTCAAAACTAAAGAACTATTCTACATTGACCAAATGAAAGTTCAATGATTCCTAAAGTCGATATTATTATAGATTTTTCAGTAGGATAATGACAATTTATTTTTTTTTTTTTTTTCGGTGTGAAAAAGGATAAAAATATTAAATATCACTCGTATATCAAAATGAATTATTTCGACTACAGGCTTCAGATATGGCCGGTGATTGTTATATTTAGGCCACTTGACAATTATACTCTGACGTGCCAAAAGTCATGTAATAGCTGCTTAGTATGGTGTCGAACATCTATCGCCCTGCAAAGGGCAACAACTTTGTAGCATCGATTTCAAAAGTGGTCGGATGACCACTAGGGGGATCTTGAGTTATGTAGTCTCGATAGTATCTCTCTGATACTTGCATGTGTATCGTCTTGCGTGCGAATAGATCTATCACGTCTCATAAATGCTTCATATCGGGCGAATGTAATGGGTGGCTATGCCATTCGTCGGAAATCTGCTCCAACCAATTCTGGGCAACTTCGACCTGATGACCTCAGTCATTACTCCATCGTTGTTGGAACGCGTGTAGTCTATGATTAAAAAAAAAAAAAAAAAAAAACGGAACATTCCATCTCTCTGTCACCTGCTATTTTGCGTCGTTCAAATTTTGATAATTTATGCTACATTGTCATGAGAAGGAAAACTGATGTTCACACTGACTCACCAGATATCAGTGCATAACTGTTATAGATCTAGGCATTTACCAGACGTCAAGGTACGGAGGCGCTACTGGCCATTATGTTTACATACTGCTATTCCATAATATGTGGCACGTCAGTGTAAGCTGACAGGGTGAAGAAAAATTATTTTTTCATTTCACTTAAAACATTTTTCATTTCTACTTTTTTTTTTTTAATTTAATTTATTCTGATTCTGGGAAGAAGTAATCTCTAAAAAGTTTTGGGGACCATTGTAAGGGAATTTTTTTTCCACTTTTTTTCATTGTTACACTTTTCCTTCTAAGATATTGATAACTTATGCGTTTCTGATAAAGAAGCAAGATTTCTCGCTTCAAAATTTAAACACATTTTTTGTTTTTGAAATACTGACTCCTACTGCCCAGTTAGTTCGTTTCGGCTGAAATATCTTGAAAGCTAAGAAAGCCATCAATAGGAAAGATAGTTTACATTAAGATTGAATATCTCTAGAAAAGGTAGTGATAAAATCAGATCAGCGAACAAGGAGAGAGGTGGGAAATAACTTTGAGTCTGTTACGCATTAAAACCAATTAAACATACTTGACTTTCTTAATATCAAATGTTTTGCTTTTTTTTTATCTATTTAAGTTATATGTGCTACAGAATCCGTAGTTTAGACGAAAATGGCAAACCCTACCGTACTGGTCAGAACTTTGACCCAAATTGAGTGGGGGTGATTTGGACCACGTGGGGCGTGGAATTCTGACAGTGATAGATTGGCTTTGATTAAGTTGTAACATAAAGCCATAAAACGCACGAAGACAGTCATTACTCTTGGTGATACAGAGAAGGGAAGACACCGCTATGGTCCTAGTTTCCTTGGCGTGCTGTAGCTTCAGCCGATTGAGACAAGCCATTATCTGGTGATGGCAAGTCGCTGACTAACCTGTCGAGGTTCGTTCTCTTTTTCCTTCTCTTCAATAAACGACGCTGCTACTACTACTACTATTGTCTCTTACTGAAATAAAGCTAGCAAAAAACGCCCGTCGTTCGGTTAGTCTATGATGCAACGTTGGGGCCTGAGGAATTGCCTATGAGCCACAAAAAGCCAGAGAAAGTACAAAACGCAACATTTGAATGTCTGTTTTATTATTAGAAATTGGTCCCTTCATCTTCATTTATTTTACTTTATTTCTTGGTAGTAGATACTTGTGATATTCAGTAAAATTTTCGAAAAGATATTCGAAAAATTTTTACATCGCAAAAAGATAGTTTGATGGTCTTTTTATTGTCATTTGCTGCTACAAGAAACGTTACATGATCAAGAATTGTCAAGCTGCATTGGAGTGTGGTCGTTATAATGATGAAAAGTCAATGTATGTTCAATAGCATAACAAAAATTATAACATTGGGAATCATCAAATACTTAACTGAAATGGATTTGAATAAAATCAGAAATAATTTGGCTCATAAAATATTTGATGCTGCATACATCCTCATCATTCAGTTAGCGCATTTCGCGCCATCATGTTCACTACTCCCCCCACATCTTTCTGTCCGATGCTGCCCTTACAGCTTCACACAGCATACAGAAATTAGTTTTCAAGTAAAATGGCTAAAGTATTTTTAAAAATCTGTAATATTACTGGATGAATGTGTAAATTTATTTACTTAAGTGATTTTAAGTTGTACAGTGAGAAAAATGTATTTGTCCGTTTGCAAATAAGTTTTTTTTTTTTTTTTAATGGCTAAGAATAGTTGTCAATTTGGGATGTGGGCGATCATGATTCTCCACAATTTCCCGTCTTTTGTAGCTTTGCTCTTAGTAAATTTTGTCTTTTCGCTATCTCTCCTAATCCATATTCTTCCGGTCATTTACACAAGCTCTTTAGGGGAGATTATGCACTTGCTCTCCTGTCTCTCGCGCCTTACTATGGACAAATTAATGACAGTTAAGCTATTGACTTAAAGAATAGCTTCATCTTTATAAGTTGGATAAAGGATATTTATTTAAATCCTTTTCTAAAATGCTGTTCGTTTGGTTAATTATATTTTCTATACATACTTTATAACTATATATTAATATAGACGAGTGACAGTGGAAAGATTTTCACATACGGTTATGTCGCCTTGTTAGCGTTAAAAGCACATCTGGAATTTCCCCTCCAGCTAAAACAACAATGAAAAATTTTCATACGATGTGTTGACATTTCAGTCAAATTCTTCCCTTTTTTTTTTTTTTTTTTCTCTATCCAATTCCTGTTCAGCATCATTTATTCCTCTCATCTTTCCGAGCCTCACGCGCAGATATTTCTTTGTTGCTTTTGAGATTTTCCCGAAGCTTCCTACAGAATAATTTATCTTCTCTGGGTAACAAAACAAAACAAAAAATCTGATCTTTCTGTTGATTCGCGTTTTTTTTTTTTTTTTTTTTTTTTCTTTTGTCCTTTCACTTTTTTGTCTTTGCTCTTCTGTGACGCGCAGATGTTGATGAATGCCAAACTAACGCCAACAAATGTCGCTACAACTGCAAGAATTTGGTTGGTTCCTTCCTCTGTGTCTGTCCAGACGGTTACAAATCAGTGGGCGTCGACCAGTGTGTAGGTAAGATAGTCATTTTTTTTTTCTTCGTTACCAATTTCTCACTTTCAAATGTTTTCTTCTAAAATACAAAATATCAAATATAAAAAATAAACAAACAGTTTGATTGTAAAGCATTCTTGATAAAACTATTTTAACAAACGTACAGCACTTTCCATGCACTTAGATTTGTCTTTATATCTTTTACTGCTTGTGGGTGGGGATGGACAATGGCGTTCACAGTCGCACGTATCCAGAGCACATTTTGCACTTTTACAACACCCAGATGCTGCACTTGATAAATGTGCATGCGGATTAAACTTTCTTTTTTTTAGTTACCTCTTGGCTAAAAGTGCACAAATATGGGACCATCGATTGATAATTTGACAATTTGTAAGATTTTGCTAATTATTGTTTCACGGTGAGGCTTAAGCTAGTCTGTCACATCATCACAACTATTGGGCACCCAATGAGGATCACCATCACCTCACAACAAGGTTATTTTTTATAATGGTCAAAAGCAAGCCTTCCTGTCTGCCAATATTAGATCGTGTTCCAATAAAGTCAGTTGACAAGCGTATCTCGTCTTTTATATGTCCTCATGTCTAATTCATTTATAGAGAAAGATGGTATAAAAAAACACGAATTTAAATCTAAATAAAAAGACCAGCTATGTGCATAAATTCCACTTGATCTTTAAATTTTACATAAAACTTTGTTTATTCTCTTCAATTTTACTTTCCGTCTTGAGAGATCTACTTCAAAAACAAAGGCGATGTTGCTTAGTTTCACTCAGCAGATCAACTGTTTTTTTTATGCAATTAAAAACGAATTTTCTTTATTTCTTTCTCTTAATTCAACAGTTTTTCAGTCAACCTTAAAACCAAGCGATTACGACCAACATTTACAGATGAGAGTAAAAAAAAAAAAAATTTTCTTCAAATTTGGACTACCTTTTATCTTTAAAGATTTTCTTTATTTTATTTTTAATGAAATGTTGCTGTTTCCATCGGTTTTTGATGAGATTGTCATTTCCAGCATTTTCTTCCAAATTCTGTTCCATTGAGAGAGACACAGACCCAGTCGCTATTATGTCCCACCTGCCAAATCTGTTCTCATGTGTTGTGCAAGAAATATAACTTTTCTTTTCAATTTCACTTTCCAGAAGATCTAAGGATAATCCGTGTCTTTCTTAAGCCGCATATATTTCTTATCGGCCATCTTGTTGGTGAGTCTCTGTAGTTTAAAAGTAGATGGTTTGTTAGAGCGGGAAGAAATGTCCCGCCTGTGACTGCCTTTTCAGAACCTCCGTTTCTGGTGTTTTTGTTTATATTTATGTCTAAATAACACGGATGTATATTAAAATTGTTTTTTTATATAATCAGACTTAATCTGGGTTTGGTCAACAGGTTTATTTATATACCTTGCAACGAGAGACTTGTCAGTGTACAAGTCATTTCAATCTCTCGTGTCTTGGTTACGATGACAATTGGAACTATATTGAAACGGCCTGTTGTTGTTGACCTTTCATAAATTCTAATATATATATATATATATATATATATGTATGTATATATGTATGTATGTATGTATATGTAAAATGTGTTCTCTAAAAATTGGCATCATTTTGAAATCTAATAATGTAGCCAATTCTCGTTCAAATAGTCTCAACTTTTAGCAAAATGTGTAAAAAAAAATTAATTAAATTAAAAATTAAATTGGCAGTGCGGACTTATCTCTGTGAGAATCTACCAGGAAGATGGGTCTGGCGGGATAATGGCAATGAGTTGTGGAATGGCCACCACGTTCACCTGACTTGACGCCTTGTGATTTCTTTTGTTCTATATGGCTATGCGGAAGGACATGTCCATATATCCCTCTTCTTACAAGCTTAGAACTTAAGCAGAGAGTCACTGAGGCACTGGAGAATGTTACGCAAGACATGCTACAGCGTATTTGGCAGGGGCTGGACTTACCGACTCGATATGTGTAGTGCCACAAGTGGTGCGCAAATTGAACATTTGTGAAGCTTTGTAAAATCGGTTATAAAATCTACATCCCTTTGAATAAATCTTTTCTGGTTCAACATGAAGCCTATTTAATTTCTTCTGCTTGGAACATGTAGTTACTCAGATATTCACATTTTAAATGATGTCAATTTTGGGAGGGACACCTTGTGCAATAGAAATACCTCCTACATAATGGTAAGACATTAGTGTCTTCAATGGTGTCTTCATTTCGCTAATATTTTACCATTGTGTGGGAGTTATACCTGCTGCACCATGCACACACACACACACATATATATATATATATATATATATATATATATATATATATTGTATTTGGGCGTCAATTCCTCTTTAATGCAAGTTGCATTTAAAAACGACTGACAAGTTACTGAGGATGGTTTTTATATAATTTTTCATATTTTTTTTTTTTATTGGGCGTGAATTTTATAAAATTGTACAAATTGGACATAAAACATTTAAACAATTCATATATATATATATATATATATATATATATAGCCCAGAAAAAAAGAAAAATATAAGAACACGTTAAATTATATTAAGAAAAAAACAACACCTTGTCAGTCGTTTTTAATGAAACTATATATATATATATATATATATAATCAACAATGACAGGAAAGTTCCAAGTTAGTTACCGGCAAACCCATTCACTGTTCCGTTGTTACTGTCTTGTATTTGTGCATTTTAGGATTGTTAATCAACTCGGCTAACGTATGCCAATGAGCAATCACTATGTAGAGGAGTTTTCCAGACATGGCCTTGGGCCTGTGCAGATGAGTTGTTTCTCTGCAACAGAAAAAAAAATTTCTAAGTAATCTTTTTTATTTTCTTTTTTAATTAAATATATCCTTAACTGTTCAATGATTAGAACATCAAACTGAAAACTGCGACGAAAAAAAAAGTTTTTAGTTTGCATTATTCCTTAGACAACGGAGGATCGTCAGCAGAAATTGTTCAAAATTTAGTTCCAAAATTAAATAAGCTTTATTTTCGACTCATCACGAAATTTGAAATACTAAAAATAAATTACAGAAATAGAGTATTTGATAAAGAATTTTTCAAACGATTAACTTTTATCAATGGCTTACATCCGAACCGACGAGCTGGTATCAAGGCAATTTTAACTTATTTTATTTTACCATATATTCTCGAGTATAATGCGGGTTTTTATATTTTTACGCAAAAAAATAAGAAGTCACACTATACACAGGTAATTTTTTGAAAAGGTAAAAAAATCACGCATTTTGAACGGTTGCACTATGCACAAGTAATTTTTTCTGGGGGTGGGGTAAAATTCAAGCAAAAAATAATTCAGAGTATATACGATATTTCAATTTTTTTTTTTTTTTTTTTTTCATATAAACTCATTCTGCAAACTTAATTCTGGCACATTAATACTAACTATAGACATGAGGAACTGATCTAATCATTTTTAGCACAATGAAAGAGCTGTAGCCGGGATAATGTATAGCGGTTGCTTTGTAAATAAAAGCAAACAAAATTGCCAGATTATCACATTCATGAATAATGCCAACCCTCGCCACGCTTTTTGGGGTTGTTGATTTTAACATAAATTTTCTCACGTTGTGAAAGTATTCGGTTATTTTGAAACAAAAGTTAGTTTAAATCTCTGCTTAAAAATGGTATTTCGACAAAGTGAAAAAGGAAGAAAAAGAAACTACTCTTATCGCCATTTTTTTCATCAAGATGCACGTATTCCCATGGTCATGTTTGGTACACATAATTTTATTTTGTAGAAATTGTTTATAGTAAAGTTATTTTAATATGTTCCTTGCCTGTTCGTAATAAGACTTTCTAAATGTTGTTCTACACATTGTCTGCAAATCGATGTCACTTTTATTATTTTGGCATCGCAATATTACGACCGTGTTTTTCATATTGCAGCTCTCACTGTTACACACGACTATATGTTGAATGTTAGTTCAATTATATTTTTTGAACCGAGGTGAAGGGTAAAAGAATAACAATTTTGAGCTATTTCTTTTTATTATTTTAAGATTTTATCATAAATATTTTATTTTTTTACATACCATAAATTTGCAATAGAATTTAACAAATAAAACCAGGAAAGTAAAAAAAAAAAAAAAATTACAATCAAAACAAGGCATTCGACCATTATTTCCTTTCGTAAAACTATAAACAGGTTTTACTTCCCGCCAATCTCTCATAGTACGCAAGAATATCTGCTTACAGACTTATGTATATTTACATACTCTTCCAAATACTAGTATTGTTACGCACACACATACTCTACATTCTCTGACGAAAAACAAAAAAAGCAACATCCTGAAGGACGATATCGATATTGTTAGGTGTCGCCAAGGAAAATCGAAAAATATTTAAAATATCAGTTCTTTGAATTTTTTTTAACTGTTAGAAATAGAAGAGCACAAATTTACATCTTGCAGACAAAACCCCTTTTAATTAATAAAGGTTGAATTAAACGGTTATGGTCAAAATTTGCCCTTGTATCGGCAAAAGCACAATGGCCGCTATTAACAAAAACTCAATATATTTACGAATTTAAACAAATAAAAAATCTATTAAAAAAAAAAAAATAATCACAACACAAGATTTTTTTTATGATAAATAGTTACTTTAATCTTTATTTGATCTAACTGCACCAAAACTTGCCAAATTTTATTTAAAAAAAAAAAAAATGAAAATAAAAGGCCTGATGAAAAGCAAGGCAAATTCGTGTTGACAACTCTATACAGAATTGCTTCCGTTTGTAAATATGGTGGCCCGTAACAAAAATCAATATTTTATTTGTAAAGTTTTTTTTTTAATAGAACAACCATTACATTTAAAAAGATAATTCTGAAAAACATTGTCAAAGGAAATATTGCTTTATAAAAAATATAAGAAAAATTGAAATACATGTAAATTAAAATTAGTTGAGTTTTTATTGAAAATGATTGATATTTAATGAATAAAAGTTTCATCGTGAAACATTTAGGAAGCAAA